TTTAGCCGGTATAGCGCCTAATCACCGTCTATATCCGCCCGATCTATTACTTCCTACTCTACTAATAACCCCGCTATCGGTTATAGCGCTAATAGCAGCCGTTATATTAGGAAACCGTAATACCCCTATACCCGTAGGGTTCTAGAATAATAGAATACGGTGCTATGATACCCTTATAGCCACGGCTATAGGGCTTCTATTAAATAAAGGAGTATAACTAATTCGGTAAAAAGATAGCTAGAAAAAAGACTATCAGGTTATAGTATTTAATGCTAGCCGTTATATGCCTAATATATATATATTAAATAGGATTCCGCTAACTAAATTACGGTTAAAAAGGTCCACGCCTATAGCGCTATAGCGACGCTTAATAATACCCTACGAATCCACGGCCCCGGCGGTAGCTACCGGAAGTATAACCCGGGAGGCTATATCGGGAAATATAACCCTGGCGGTTACTCCGGCGGGTACTCCGGTGGTTACCCCGACGGCCGTAAAGATCCACCGTAAAAACCTCCCTCCTCCTCTAAAGAACCCTCGCGATATACCCTTATACCTTTACGGCCACCTATTCCGATAGGCATAAAAAGACTACCTACGGAGCCACGAGGAGATAGGGTCGTGGATACGAGTGCCGGCGTCCGTAGCAGATAGATATCAGATTCTTAATTTAATATAGGTAATAATATATAAGTTCGATAAGTATAGGTTTCTATATAAATATAAGGTAAGGCTTATAGTATAAGGAGATTAGTAGTATTAATCCTCCCTTAAGGAGATATACATAGTAATATTAGCTAGACGGTTATTCCGTGCGTTAATAGCTATCGCCGCCCGATTTAACCTTATACTATGATAATTTAACGTTATAAACGCGTTTATACACGCGCCCCCCCCCCACGATATCTTTATATACCCGCCGCTCGGCTTTTTAGCCCCTAGAAGTCGTTTACACCTAAAAAAGGCGTTATATAGACTTAAGGAGTCTTTACTACTTTAGTAAAAGCACTTTTCGGCTATCCTTTTAGCGGACGGCTTCTAGATAATACCGTAAGAATAGTGTTATTTTCTACGCCGCGGTTTAATCCTGTTCTTCTACGTTAACAATATCGTTATGGCTTATAAGGAATAATATAAGGCGTAGATAGAGTCGGTAGTTAATAAACTATAACGCTAATATAACTTATAAGGTAGCGATCCTTTATAGTAGTTCTTTAGTATTAAGGTTATTCGCGACCGCGCCGCCCGTAAAATCTAGCTATTATAACGCGACTATATTACTAAATTAGAACGCCTTTTAAAGCTAAATAGTAAGTATAGTGGTAACTATCGCCTAACGCACCTAATTAAGATCGTAGAACTACTACCCTATTTAGGGACCTCGACGGACGTTAAAAGCTATTATAGAAGATAGGATCTATACTATACGCAGTAGTAATATCGCGCTCTAATATCGCGTTTATAGTATCTAGGCTATACCGGTTTAACGTTAATCTAGGGCCTATTCACTATAAGGCCGCCGATTATCTAATTCTTTATCTAATTAACAGCTAATCGTTTATATTAGAACTAGGGGGTGGCGATACTATCGAAATCTATATTAACGCCTTATTTACCGATAATACCCTTAATTAAAAGAGTAGTTAAGCGTACATAATACGCTTATTTAGCGGTATAATAGCGTGGCACGCTAATAAGCAGGATATAGTCACGACGTCTATAACGGAAGCAGAGCTATTAGCGTTAGTATAAGGTGTAAAAGAGGGTATCTTTATATAACGCCTATTACTTAGTATAGGAGTGGAATTTAACGATCCGAAGTTAAGGATCTTATACGATAATACCTAAACGATTTAATTAGTTAATTAAGAGATTAGTATATTAATAACGCGCCTCCGCTGTATTAATATCCACGGCTACTAGTTACGTTAAGTAAAGAAATAAGGGTAAATACTCGTAATATACGTTACGAGCGCGGAAATAGTAGTAGACGGATTAATAAAAGCGTTATACGGCGAGAAATTTAAGATATTTAAGTCCTAGGTAGGCGTGATAGATATACGGGAACGATTATAGCAGAAATAGCTAGAGGAAGTCCGGATAGAATATTTAGAGGACCTAGAGGATACATTTAAGGGCGGATACAGCGAATAGATTATATAGCTAGATTATCTACCGGTTACGAATAGCTTTAATCGCCTAACTAACGTTTTAGGGCGATTAGGGGGTGTGTCGAATAGACTATAGTCTTTTCGGTTACGTAATAGGCCGGATTACTAAGAGTATAATCCGGGTAGACGCTTACAGAATCTACACTATATAAAATACGGTGGCAGCATTTCCCTAACGGTCTAAGATAGTGAAAATTATACATAATTGCCTCAATCAATTTTTGACCTATTTTATGACGATTTTGACTACGCTTTATTTGACAAACTATACATGTACCGACCTCGCACGGCGAGCAACGCAACATTGTCTTGGATCCGAACATGACAATGCAAAGTTGGACAAGATCTACAGCCAAACTGCAGATTATCTTCTTCAGCTTTCTCAGCTTACGTTCAACCACATCGGAGCCATCTCGAAGGAGGCCGACACCTGGTCCGTCAAAAGAAGACCACTCACTTATAACATGAACGAGTTGGCAACGGTCGCAGGCTACATGTACTCACCCAACCTCTTCCCAACATCACCGTTCGACCGTGCTAGCGACTACCTCCACTCCGTCGGTCGAGAACATCTGGATGCCGTCTACTGGGCCGCACTGCATGACGAACATGAAGGCACCGGTATTCACTTGCTCGACCACGATGCAGGCGCACAGCTGGCGCAATTTATAGAGAAAAAGATGGGCCAGCTAAAGCAGTTGAGTACAACGAGGACTGCACTGCTCGTTTCTCTCAGGCAAGCCCATAAATGAACGCACCCAGTGTATTTGCGTTTCGCGCTCGATACCTTCATGTTTCCAATTTCTATGTTTTCTTTTTCGTATTTCTTAACACACTGGATCACACGGGGTCGACAAGGTCACTCGGAAGTAAGTTCTCATAACGAGTCCAGTATAGAATGGCAACCGCTTGCTTCTTCATAAAGAAAAGGAGAGTCCAAAGCTAACTAGGTCTACCAGATACAAGACCAGAAAGGTTGCCAATTCGTAAACTGCTATGGGATGCCATAGTATCGAAGTGAAATAAAAGGTCGGCCGGGTGATATATGCAATGTGCCGTGATATGTACCAGAATCAGAGTAACCCCCTTCCTCCGCCTAACACACTTGACCCCAAAAGAGGTTGTGATTCCTGGGCCAGCCCGTAAAGGCTGGCTTGGCGTTCCCGGAGTTCCGATGCTGCGGCGGTGCCCGCGCATGTGCTCTAGGCATGCACTGCGCTCTTTACAAGCACTGCGAGTACCACTCGTTCTGGGCACGGCAAGTGCCAGACGAGCAGCACGTGGCGCCGTTCCATCCGCTGCCGCCGCACTGGCCGTAAAGAGCCGAGCAGCCGCCGCTGGGGGGAGGGTTGGTAGGGGGAGGGCTAGTGGGAGGAGGGCTGCCGCCGCTGTTGCCGCCGGTCCAAACGGCGGGGCCGGGGAAGGTGAAGGGGCGGTGGCCGTTGTAGACGCTCATGGTGGCATAGGCATCGGTGGCCCGGTAGGCGCCGGGGAAGCGGACCATGGGTCCGGGGCTGCCGTTGCCGCCCCCCTGGACCCTGACCTGCATGCACGAGACGTAGTGCTCGGGTTGGTTGACGTGAGAGCGGTGGACGCCTAACGCGATGACGATTAGTATCACGGTGGCTTGTAACGCATGCGCTTTTTATCGCCGCGCCCGCAGAAGAGAATACATGTACTCACCAATGTGCTCAACACGGACGAGGTACTCGCCGTTGGGGGTATCCCGGGGGATCGTGGCAGCCACCCAGTTCCGGCCCCAGGTGCACCAAGCATTGGTGGCGAAGTCGCCGTTCGAGTGGCAGACGCCCTCCTGGAAGATCTTGAACCAGTCGCCAGACCCGTCGTAGGCCCGGACGTTATCGCCAGGGGCCCTGGACATGTAGACAAGACCGGGACCTGTTTCCCGTCACGTTAACTTGGAACTTTTCATAGTTGAGATAAATGGAACGGTGTGGACGAACCCGGGTGCTCCATGGTAGCACCAACACCTAGCCTGAAACGAACCTCCTGGCCGGCGTTGACGGTCAGGACTTCGGTGCGGCCGGCGTTGGAGAAGGCGCCCTGGTTGCAGCGAATATCGGGACCATCGGCGTGGGAGTTGTCACGGATGTCCTGGGAAGGGTTCGAGGAGAACTTGATCGGGTTGTACCGGGTTGCGCGGGTGAAGTCGCGGATGTAGCGGAAGGGAGCTTGAGCGACGCCGTTGTGGATGTTGACGTCAAAGAAGTAATGGGCGGACGCCAGCGGGGCGGCGGCGGCGCCGAGGATGATGGCAGAGACCTTCATGGTGGGAGACGGCTGGGGGGGGGGGGGGGGGGGGGGGGGGGGGAGGGCGGAGGTGTGTTCTGTTGATGCTGGAGAGGACCTCTGGGGAAGAAAAGAAAAAAGAAAACGGGCATATCTGGGGTAGCCCGGTATTTAACTTGTTCTTGTCATTCTAACAACTCTTGCGTTGTATGTCCGGGTGCGCTTTTGAAGGAACGTCTTTCACGGTCACAATAGCGCAACATACGAGCCATTCGAAACTGTTTGAACCCGATTGCCGAGATTGAAGGCTAACCAGGTAACCTCGGCGGTTGGTTCCGCATCACAGCCTCGGGATGCCTCTCCCAAGTAGGTAGCTCGTACAAGTTCTGCAGCACGAGTACGTACTCGTATATTAATTAAAGGTTCAACTAGGAAACTACCAAGACTGGTTCCCTCAGGTCGATCAGGGAAAGCTTAATCTATGAAGTTGGGAACAGCCCCGCGTTGGCTTGGCAGTCGGTAGCCCCCTGAGTCTTTATAAAATACGGCAGTTATTACATTCGCCAGGCCTGGTACAACGCTTGGAAAGACGGCCCGGCGGAGGACCCAAGCCGAATCAGGAAAGAGAGTGAATACAAGACACCTGATCTTTGGGTCTGTTCAAGTACGCAGTATATTCATGTTCAGAGTTCATATATGATATGGCATACTGATTTTAATAGGGGCGGATAGGAAGAAGGGGGCGAGGGGGGGGAAGGCGACATAGACCAAGCAGCTCTTGAATCCGTACGTCTAGGCTTCTACAGGTGGTGGTAGATCTGATTATTCGCATAGTCCGCAATCATGAATCCAGATCGAGGCCGATAAATCCGGGAACACCGGATTCATGTCTAAAGAGGGATCGGTGGGGACGTGCTTGGGTCACCTTCATACTACCCCAGACGTCCCACATGGGCACTTGGCTGACAAGCCGCGTGACATGCATCCTCGGGCCAGGGACACTAAAGCAGCATCCCGGAGCTCGTACCACCGAGAATTTGGCTCGCTCTTCGTTTTTGTTTGCAGACTCTAGTGGTTTACATCTGCCGAGCCCTACTTCGTAGCTCTTGGCAGAATGGAGGCGATGTTCATGGTCATATTTCTGTCTATATGTACGTTGTAGGTGGGACGGGGAGTCGTACTTGGTTCGCATGCCACGCGATATGCATCACCCCACGGGGTAGTGAAGTTAGGGCAGATTTTCGCAAGATGCCAAGATGGAGCACCGGGAACCTGGTTCCTTCTTCGTTGTATTAACAGATCCTAGTAGTCAAAGCTTGCCGAACCATGGTTTATGTGTCTTGGCGCACTGAGTGCCTTTGCCTTGCACACGAAGCTACGACATATCTCCGTCGCCGTGTCCATCATCCATGAATCCAGCATTACCTGTACGTATTGGTATGACCGTTTAAGAAAGCTCGATAACAAATTCTTCCCTTTTTATATCCCTTCCTCTACGCGAGTCAAAGATGTTGTTGATACCCCTTCCAGCGTTTACCGCAGTTAAAACTTGTATCGCAGCTCCTAGCTTTCTAGTATGGCCGCATGGCGGCCTGAGTCCTGACGGCTTGAGGAGATATGGCCTATATGGGCGTAAGGAAGAGCCCAGGTTAACTCCGGAACGAAGCTAAGCCCTGTCCGGCTTATGGTCCGGCTTAGCCTACCCCGTGATCGAGTCCAGAAATCGAGTCTGATGTAATGTGCGACATAAGGTACATAAGGTAGTTTAAATACAAGGGGTCGGTCCCGCGACCCACTTCCCCCTTAAAGACCTTAAACGGGATGCCGGGGGTCGCTTAACCCAAAAGGGTAAGTCTAACCAGGTTCCCAAACGCCTGGTTTCGTCTACCCCGTACTTCGTAAGCGCCCTCCTCAGCTTGACCAATAGACGCCTTCTTACACCGCCATTACCAAGGGCCAGCTCTGTGTGGGGATAATGGCGGGATACCAGTGGAGTACTTATAGCCTTATATTAAAGACATACTATGCCCATGTTACTGCTAGGTAGTCTATCTAGGGGAGAACACGGACCTCTTACATCCGCTCCTTACATAATACGGAAAGGTACGTAACTGAAGCCTCCGTCCAACCCTCCGGCGTCGACGACCTATCGGCAATTATAAAATAGCAGTTGCCGTCTTCATAGTTGCTTGGGCTTTGCGAAATATATTGTCACTACCTACGAAGTGTGAGTTGGCTGAACGTTTGTTGAGTTGGATGGTAGACCGTAGTTGCGCCGGATCGTGAAGGACCGAGATAGAATCACACCTATCGATCTGCCCAGAGGTCCTTTTAAGTTCTACTTCGTAAGCCAAGTTCGAGTCTCGAGTCTCGACCGTTCGAGTCTTCGAGACGTCCAGTTACGGGTATAACTTCGGCATCTCGCTGCCGAAGCCGTCTTAGGTCTTTGTGGTGAGTCTGGTTTAGTGTAAACTGTGGACATTAACCACTCCGTCCGCTCAGCCTCTCGCTGTCCTCGAGAACCTCAAGGAGACAAGGATCGCCCCAGGGGTATCTCTCCGGTCTCCACCTCTTCGAAGAGTATCTCTCCAGATATTGACAACCAGGGATTGGATTCCTTCTTGATGACCTCTATGACTTTGGCCGAGTCGATCTATGGTATCAATCCAGCTGCTGTTATTGAAGACGCCGTGGGAAGCCTATTTCTCTTGCTTGTGCTAACCCCGCCGTGCTCACACCTATGCGACAAGATGGAATGGGGTGACAGATGCGCCCTCGTGCACTAATTACATTGTAGCTACGGTCTAAGCACCAAACTCAAAGCGGAGGGAGATATAATTGGGACCCTGATTTTGTGTGTTTTTTTCTTCCCTCTCCGGCTTACTTCGGGGGCTTTCTGTTTCTTCCTTGATTCTTTGTCTCTTTCTTTTATCTCGTCTTCTTCTTCGTCTTCGTCTTTGCTTCTATTTCTTCCTTTTCTTCTTCTCTCTCATATAGGGGTTAAATGGATGTGGATCATTGTACTTTCTCAAGATGGACTTCTATGTCAAGCCGGTTGAACATCCGCAGCCATGGCCCATGGTGTCGGAGCCGAGGCCAATGAGATCCTATATGACACTGCCAGTATAGCCCCGACAGAGACACAATATCTCATGTTGATATGGGGAGAGCAGTTTAAGCCAGCATTGGTATCCATAATGCCCTGAACGGGCCGCCCTTGCGAGCTGCTTATAATACTTTTATTAAGAGGCGGGGTACATATGCTTGGGCAGTAAGTGTAAGAGCTGGGGAGAGGGAATAGATCACATTAGCGTGAAGAGTCGTATTGCAAACTCAAAGCCATGAATGATACGAACTGCCGAGCGGTGGAAAAATAGCGACCTAGGAATCCGCCGGAGGGATCATTCCAAGACTTAAGACGCATGGTTGGGCGACAGGATGGCGGGCACCCTCGGCAGACGACTTTGAACTAAAAGCTCGTCGCGCCAGCAAATCCGATGTATGGCTCCGAAAACCAGCAACGGATAGAACTTCAAGCCAGACATTATTTGTTTCTTTTCTTGTCTTTGGTATTTTCTTATTTTAGGTGGAGAGGGCGGAAGGGGAGGCGGGAGTTGTTATCATGGTCAAACGACAGCAACAGAAATTACAGAACCGGGTATGGTTGAATCTGAGAGGTATGTGCGTGGGACGTTGTAGGGACGTTGGTGGCGCACTATGAGTGACGACAGACTTGATGTCTGTCGTGGAACTACCTGTGCCGAGCATCCACCCTGTGCAATCCTGATTCCTCAATATGGGGCCAGCGGTAGTAAACGTCGATATTGTGAAGTGACGGGAGAAGTTCCCCCATTAGTACTAGCGATTGAAAAGACAACTTATATGACTTATTCAAACAGTAGCTAGCTATATCTGCCACCACCATCGGTAAATATTACGTTCCGCATCGCCTCTCCCCAGTCACCAGTCAGTCATTATGGCTACTTAGCCAACCAACCATTTAAGGTGTCCTTTAAAAACCTTTCAACCAACTTAATACCCTCAGCTTTAACCTTGGCCCGGAGGGGGTCGAAGATCTCCTTGGTATATGGTCTTAATACGCCAGGCTGGTTGAAAGGTGCGAAACCGTCCAGAATCATCTGCGAGCAGTTCCACAGATGATTCCGAAAGCCTTTGACATTGGCGGGTACGCGTCTCGATCCCCAAAGAGCTCAAGAGTGGATGTGATGATTCCAGATTTTGACCGTTAGCCGGGGGGCCAAAGAAGAGGACTCGCATAGTCGCGTGAAGAAAGACAGGCCACTTCATGTTGGCTCTGATCCGCCGCTTCCATTTCACCACATAGTTGTGTGGTAGTATGACCAAGTCGCGCTCCCCGGGGTGGAAGCTGCAGAGCTTGTTAAGTTGCGCAATGAGATCCTAGACGGTCTGCGATGGATGGGTCTCTTCTCCGAACCCATCCATCGCAGACCGTCTAGGATCTCGGCCGGTTCGGCTGCAGAGACAAGGAAAATGTGCACAGTTCGTCGATCTTCTCGATGAGGTGTGGCTCTTTCGGCGAGTCTGCTCCTGTTTGTCGTTGCTAGATCTCGGCCCATGTCATACCATCCTTTAGCCAGGACTTATCCTTGGAGTCGATCCATCCAGGGTCGATGAGGGGCTCTGACCAAAGCCGGTTGCCTTTTGTATCACAGGGAGCCTCGAATGACGGTGTGAGCCTCTGGAATTTGTAGAACTCGCGAAAGATGGTCGAGCCCCTGTTTGGGTATGCGAGGAACGAGTATCCGTCCAGAACATGATTCGACACAGCACTGGCTATGAGCTCCTTGCTCGGGATATGGTGTCATGGACTACTTCTCCATTCTTGTAGAAGGTCGGGGAGTAGACATTGGAGAGAAGGGCGCCACGAGGGACCACGAGAACTGTTGGTAATGTTAATTAGCTGGTCCGTTGGATGAGCAGGATAGATTGAGGCCAACATTACCTTGAACTTGACTGGGTTATTGGCAGCCTCGGGAGCGGGGAGCCCGTCAACAGTACGACTAGAACTCGAGGACCTAGCCGATTGCGAGTCAAGCGACCGAAATATATCCCACGAAATCTTCAGACATGACGGACATGTCGTCCCTTTTCGTGAACTTCTTCAATGGCCTTCACTGCCTAGAGGTGGTCGACGCCGGGGTCAGCGCCCCCGTCGCCCAAGACGGTGATGGCATCAGCGAATCGATGATGAATACCGTGATGCCGGCCTGTTCACAAGCCTCCCGTATGGCAGGTGTCACGTAGCTCGACGTCACGAGGTGAGTCTTGCCCCTGATACCCGAACGAATGATATCGGCATGGTGAATGAAGGGAACGAGAGAGACGAAAACATGGCGGCTCGCAACATATCGATCTAGATCCTGTGACTTGACATCGAGGGCGAGGGCCGTCGACCGGGGCAGCCCGGCCGCCAGCTTTCTCGGCAGTGGAGAGGGTACGGCAAGCTAGAGCCTTCCCCTGCCATCGGACCCGAAGCCGCCCTTCTCTCGGACCCCTCTCCGATAACGGCCTACTGCTTACTACGGAGGGCCCTACCCACCTCGGTCCGTTCGCGGGGCATCGGGCCTGGGGCGCGGTACGCGTAAGTTGTAATAACACGTTGTGCGATTCACCGTTCGCTGAGACGTTTCCGTAGGCGGCGGCCTTGATGCGACAGGGTCCAGGAGGTCGGTATCGAGGGGGCGAACTGTTCATTTTTTATTTTGTAAACCATAGTTTGAAGTGGTTCCTTGTCACGCCGTCGTTGACTCGTTGCCGCTACTGTCCTCGCCTCAGCTTGCATTTCAATACCTGCTGCGAAGTCATATGGAGCACACTTACGTAACCAAACCCCAGACCCTTCAAGCCACCTCGCGCCAGTCTAAGCCCCTTCCAGCGGTATGTCGGGGTAACTTAATTAGATAAGGTATGGACCGTTAGTAAGCAATATACGGAGTAGGTACGTAGATGTATTTTTCGCAGCACGTCACAGTAGCCATACAGTAAAATACTGTGATATATATGTTTCTCGCACTGGGCGCACCCCTGCGGGTTTGGCAGCGCAAAATATTGAAGGGCTGGGACAGATTAGTCAGCGCTACCAGTCTCCCCACTTTCCCGTCTACCCTCCGCTTTGATTCGTTCCGGGTTAGTTTCCACAAGTTAATAGACCGTTATCGCTCCTTATCCGTTCGTCTTTGTCAGGTAAGGTGCCGGTACGAAGTAAACGTACCTATGGAGTGCGTCTTCCTGCCTTCCCTTCTGGCCTCGTGCACACACACGTCTGGGACTTCTCCTCCATCGTCCCTCCTGCATTCTCGTACCCTACCATAGGTACCCTAACCGTCATCATTCCTCTTCCATCACCACCTCCTCTTTTGTTTGGATTGCCCTTTGAAAATTTACTTCTTCTACATTCCATTCCTCACGACGGGGCAAGCGACTGAATCGGCAACCGAGGACAGACCGCCACACGCCACCCCCGGTCGGACTCGACTGCCTCAACCGACAACGCCGAAAACGCCAACAAGGGGGCGGCAAAATTACCCGACTCGGCCTTTCTTCCACCTTCTTCCCTACGATCATGAACTGGCCTCCTACTCTTGTCTAATCGGCAACAGACGAGTACAAACGAATCCCGACCAGAAGTGACGACCAAATTGTTGTCCCTGCCTTTCCCCCCCGAGTGGCAACAGGTAAACAGGTCAACAGGTATTCCGCTTTGTTCGTGGATTCGATCTTCTATTTCGTTTGCCTTCATCAAGCCGATTCTCCCCTACTTCCAGTCACCTCTCTTTGAGCCGTTCCTCTTTACTTTTACCTCGGGCTCTCATCATTCGACGACCTCCTTCAACCACATTACCTCCCGCCCGCGTTGTTGACCAACGCTTCGCCCAAACTACCTCCAGTGCCGAGTTCAACACCCTCGCCTGCTTGACGATCTATACCACGAGCACGCGACATCCAACGAGCGACGCCCTGCGATCGATCCTCCTTGCACACTTCCCGAGCTTGCACCCCAATAAATACCGACATCCGAACCACGCATATCCCTTTATATCTCCATTCAAGTCACTATACAGTGCCAAGTGGTATCGGGTCATTCATCATGACTCCGCCTCTGGGCCCTCACCAAACCATGACTACCGATCGGCGTCCGCGGTCAAACCAAACGGTATCGGTCACTTTCGACGAGGACGGCTCGGCCCTCGGCATGGACTCATCCCGACTGAGTTTCGAGGTGTCCGAGTGCGTCGAGACCAAGACCGTCACCACAACCACTACCACGAAACGAACATTTCCCCCGCTACACGTCCGCGAGTCCCGGCCTCTCAGTCATCTCGATGGCAAGGAATATCCCCTAGCCAATAAGCCTCTGCCCCCGGAGCTTGTCAGCTTCTCCTATAGTATTCCCAGTTTCGTTTCCGATGAGATCTGCGACGGGCTTGTCACCTCCAGCAAGGTAAGTCATCCTCGTGGTTGCATTTTGCCTTTTTTTCCTTATCCCACCCCCTCTTCTTCTTTACAATAAAGAAACTTCCAAGCATAAACACCACCGTGCAAGACCATGGACTAACCAGCTGTACCCCCCCCATCAGAGAATTGAAAAAGCTCCTGCCACACGAATCTCAGCTGGTCTCCTCAAAGATGAGGAGTCATCCCAAGAGTCCATTCGACACGGGCCCGGTTCCCCTTCAGATGCGTATCCTCGCAAGCCACGATCTGTCGCTGCCCCCCCGGCACAATCTGCGGCCGGATTTTGGAGGCCGTCCCGCCCCGCCAAGATTGCCAGTAGGACACAGGCACACCCCGATTCAATTACCCACCGTCTACGCCGCCACTTGGCCATGACAACACAACGCGAGATGGAACGTAGCGGTGGAACACCGGCAAATTTCCTGGCCACGCCCGAGACTTCCGAGGTCATTACCGGCACTGGCGGCGGCGGCGGCAGCGGCAGCGGCAGTGGTAGCGCCACCAGCACCGACCGTCTCACTCGGCCTCGCCCACTGCATTTGGACCGGTTAAGCCGCACACCCGAGTCCGAACCACCCGCCGCACCCATGCAGCTCGAACCCAGCAGTCCCGTGGACAGCGAGACGCAGACGGTTTTTAGTAGCAATGTGGCCACCCCTCCCATCACCGATGCCGATGCAGAGCCTTTCCAAGACGCCGACGAGTCTCTGCAACAATCCATACGGGCCTTGGGGCGACGTCCATCGCTGGACGGCGTCGCCTCGCAGGATGCGAGCCTTCCGAGCCCCCGATTGTCTCCGACGTTGGCTGCAGCCCAACTCCACCCTAATGATCCTGAAGATGTCGAAGAAGATGACGTGCCGTTTGGTTCCAGCCATGGCTCTGGCGACGGGCCCGTTGGTTTCCGCGAGTCGCAAACCGGAGACGAGCTCGAGTCGAACTCGACGCTGAGCATGAACACGAGCATGGTCATGGGTGGCGACAGCTCACATACCTCGGCGGAAAAATTAGACCCACACGCTACCATGCTCGACGTCCGTTCGATGATCGAAACCTTTGATGCCATGCCCAACGAGATGAAGAGCTTTCTCATGTACAACTTCCTTCGTCGATGCCCTCGAAAGACGCTCCGGCTTGTGGCCGACACGGTGACGCCGGCACTCAAGTGCGACTTTTTGAGGCAGCTGCCTTTGGAGCTCAGCTTCAACGTGCTCTCGCATCTCGACCACCGCGACCTGTGCCGAGCGGCGCAGGTCTCGAAGCACTGGCGAAACATCATCGACACCAACGAGACTGGGTGGAAGGAACTCCTTGACCGCGACGGCTATATCCTCCCGCCCGGGGAGCTGGCCAAGGCCGTCGCGCAGGGATGGGGTTGGCAAGACCCTGTGGGCGCCATGGGCGCCGAGGTGGATCTCAGCAAGATCAAGCGGCTCCATTCTGGCGAAGGCGACGAGACGACCAGCAGTACCAGCACCAGCACCAGCACCAGCACCAGTATCGGCAGCAGTACTAGCTCTATGATTACGATGGGAAAACCCGACCCCACGGCCAGGCTGCGAAGCGCCAAGCGGAAGAGGGGTCTCAACCACCTGAGTGGTGCGGACCGGTCGAAGCGCAGGGCCGGGGCACAGGAAGCGTCTAGGAGCGATTCAGGGCGGTCGGAGGCGAGGCAACACAAGTCGGAAGGGCCCCTGTCGGCCGCTAACGCCGCCGCGGCTGCGGTGCCCAATCCGGAGATGGGACTGCCCAGCCTCCAGAAGCTCCATCTTTTCAAGTCGCTGTACCGGCGGCATCACATGATCCGGAAGAGCTGGACGAGCGGGAAGGTCAAGCCCGGGCACGTGGCGTTTGCGGCGCACCCGCGGCACGTCATCACGTCGCTGCAGTTCGACGAGGACAAGATCATTACGGGCAGCGACGACACGCTGATCCACGTCTACGACACGAAGACGGGCAAGCTCCGCAAGAAGCTCGAGGGCCACGAGGGCGGGGTCTGGGCGCTGCAGTACGTGGGCAACGTGCTGGTGTCCGGGTCGACGGATCGGTCGGTGCGGGTCTGGGACATCGAGAAGGGCCTCTGCACGCAGGTGTTTTACGGGCACACTAGCACGGTGCGCTGCCTGCAGATCCTCATGCCGACGGAGGTGGGCAAGACGTACGAGGGGAAACCGATCATGATGCCGCCCAAGCCGCTGATCATCACGGGATCGCGCGACAGCCAGCTCCGGGTGTGGCGGTTGCCGGAACCGGGATCGCGGCGGTACATCCAGACGGGCCCGCCGGCCAACGAGGCGGACTGCCCTTACTTCATCCGCACGCTGACGGGCCACACGCAGTCGGTGCGGGCGATCGCGGCGCACGGGGACACGCTGGTCAGCGGCAGCTACGACAGCACGGTCCGGGTGTGGCGGATCAGCACGGGCGAGTCGCTCCACGTGCTCCGCGGGCACTCGCAGAAGGTATACAGTGTCGTGCTGGACCACGAGCGCAACCGGTGTATCTCCGGGTCGATGGACTCGCTGGTCAAGATCTGGGACCTCGAGACGGGGGCGTGCCTGCACACGCTGGAGGGCCACAGCCTGCTGGTGGGGCTGCTGGACCTGCGGGACCAGAAGCTGGTGTCGGCGGCGGCGGACAGCACGCTGCGGATCTGGGACCCGGAGAACGGCAAGTGCCGGAACACGCTGACGGCGCACACGGGGGCCATCACGTGCTTCCAGCACGACGGGCAGAAGGTGATCTCGGGCAGCGAGAAGACGGTCAAGATGTGGGATATTAAGACGGGCGAGTGCATGCAGGACCTGTTGACGGACCTTAATGGGGTGTGGCAGGTCAAGTTTGACGAGAGGCGATGCGTCGCGGCGGTCCAACGGGGCAGTCTAACTTATGTGGAGGTAAGCCTCAAGCTGTCGCGGTATCTTTCGGAGGTCTGTTGGCGTTGGGTGATGGCTGCTAACTTTCTTTTCTCTTTCCTTTTCACAGATTCTCGACTTTGGTGCAGTACGCGACGGCAAGCCGCCCGAGGAGTTGGGCGAGCGGAAACTTTTAAACGAGAGCGAGGTCAACGCACTTTTGGCTGAGGATACCTGAAGGCGAACTTTTTGACACGAGACGGGATGGTCGACTCGCGACGACGAAGCACCGTCCGAACACAAGGAACACAAGAACAACAACTATGAAAACCACGAAGCCCATCGAGCAAGGGGTTCGGTTTTTGCACATGCAGCATTCTTCATCGTCATACCCAACTACACAACAGCACATGGATACGTGATCATGGGGGGTCAAGTCTTATCGGAGGGAATTTCTTTCCCTCGTTTTATCTTCATTTACATTTTATGGTCGTCATGGGTTGAGCATGGAAGGCGTTGCGCAGGACTGCTTTCCCGAAGAGGGAGGGTCGGGTCAGGACACATAGGTTTATTTCGCGATTTATGTACTAGGCGTCGAGAACACGAGGTATGGGAATAACGGTATGGGTATTGTATTGTGCATGAGGAGCGCAAAACGAACAAAAACAAATGCCCCCGGAGAAGGGTTGTCATGTCTTGTGCCGGCCGATTAGTCCAGTGAGCAGATGGTGGTTGGACTGCAGGCTTGACGATGAATTGTTCTGTAGACCACATGCATCTTTGCTACGGATAATTGATATGAGCGATTCCTACGACGTGCATTGAATAAGTCGCTCCATTTTGCCGAGTGTCATTATGTCGTCGTGTTCGTTGCTATCGTGAGAATGTGAGAAGGTGAAGTTCAACGTCCCTATTAAATGCCTTAATTAAGCAACGTCAACATCAGAGCTTACATAAGACTGAGCCTGGCTCATTATCACGTGATATTCTCTTAGTCGGCGTAATCATTACATAAGCCAGCAAAGACGAGAACGAAATCCTTCACACCGCACCCCGGAATTCTTCTCCAGGGCATCATCATCCTCCATTGACCGTTGCCTTTTCTTCCATCACCATCACAAGATCAAACACGTATCTTGCACTTTTCATCTCGAAACTGAAGTGATATCCGCCCGATTTATATTTTTCTGTTTCCGAAAACAGTCGAGCCCATCCGCTCGCTATTACTCGCGTCAATCAGACTCGCTTCGTCGGTCTTCGCGTCTTGAGTCTTGACCACGATGACCAGGACGAGCCCCTCGCGACGAATGACACAGCCAGAAAGATGGACGACATCAGCAGCAGCGCAGATCTCGCGCTAATCCTTTATGCGAAACTCCTAGCCCGACCAAGAATGCCCACATGCAGCCAATGACACAAGTGGCCCTTCTGTGGACGACCGCCCGAGTCCGAGTGGAAGTCCGATTCGGAACGGGGGACGGGGACGTGTGGTCCGTCATGACCCATGCATCCATCTCCTTTGGCCCCCAATCCCGCTAGACCCTCATTCGATCAACCCTAGTCGCTGGTTCATCTGTCAGTCTATTGTTCCTTCATTTCCGATTCGCAGGGATGGACTAGAGCCATCGTCAATAGGCATTGTGGTGTCTATGTTTGGCTACGGACTGTCCGATACGACGAGGAACCCCTAGATTCTGGATTCTTCCCTCCGTCTCCGCTTGTGGGCCACGCAACCTGTGCCGCATCGCATATCCACAGCTCCGTGTGGCCGTGGCGTGCCCGTGTTGCTCGTGTGTATGTATATCTGACCTCACCTCCACCCACTTCCTGTCCCGTAGCTTCGTGATCTTTCTTTCCTCTATGCCCAAGCCTCATCTTCCAAGTCTCATCTCGAACGTCTGACCCCTGGTACCGATCCCTCCCAAAGGACAAACGTCACCAAACGTCAACAAACGTCAAGACACTCCCAGAAAATGACCCAGACAGACCCCTACGCCAAGTACGTTTGGCGCCAGACCGAACCCGGCGTCTGGAAACGCAGCCTAGACGAAGTCGAAGGATTCTACGCCGGTGCTCACCTCATCTACGCAGCCACCGGTCGAAAGTATCGATATGTCACCGGCCATTTCTCTCTCGACTTCCAACCCCCCTCAGGCTCGTCAGCCCAGGACATCGAAGCCCGAGCCGACGACGCCCTGAAGAAGGCCTGGGTCGCGCTCCGCTACCGACACCCCACCATCGCCAGCAAGACCGAGAGGGACCCCACCACCGGCGACTTCATCAAGGTCTACCGAAACGGCCATGCCGCCACCGCCACCGCCACCGCTACTGCCACCGCTACCCTTGACCTTGACGCCACCTTTGTCACCCTCCCTGCCACCCTCTCCGCCGAAGAACACGCCAACGCCGACCCTCCTCATCCCGACTACTCTACCCTGAGCGTCATCCCCACCCCGGGCTCGGAGGAGCCCGGTCGCCCGCTTCGCCGCGAGATTTTCTTCCAGATCGCCCACGACACCATCGACGGCATGGGCGGCTGGCTGCTGATGGGCGACTACGTCAAGCTGGTCGGCCAAGCCTTCGAACAGGGCCGCGACTACCCCGTCCCCGTCTGCGACGGATCCGAGGCCGACCGCCTCAGCCCGCCTCTCCGCGTCGCCGCCGCCATCCCCCCCACCCCGACCGAGTCGCTGCAAAAGCGCCTCGCGAACCTCGGCGCCGAATTCGCGGCCTCCCAGCCGCCCGAGGGCGCGCGCACCCTCTCGATCCCGTACAAGAAGGGCGCCACCGTGGCCGGCAACCAGCAGGTCGTCCACCTCACCATCGGCGAGGCGGAGAACGTCGCCATCGCGCAGGCGTGCAAGGCTGCCGGTATTTCCGTCACGCACGCCTTCCACACCGCCATCCCTTTCGTCCTGCTGAACCTCCACGCCGGGGAGCGCGGGAGCGAACCCATCCCCATGCGCTACAGCAGCTTGCTCCTCCGCAACGAGCGGCCGAACTGCGTCCCGCCGTACGATAAGGAGCACCCTGCCACCGTGTACCATTCCATCTCGGTGCAGGCTATCCCGGTCGACTTGACGCTGCCGCCGCTGGGGGAGAAGGGAGAGCTGGAGGACGAAGAGATCCGCAAGACGCGCTACTTGGAGGCCGCGCGCATCGTGAAGTCGTGGTACCAGAAGTTCAGCGCCGATCCGGAGTACGCGGCGCTGGGGATCGCGGTGTATGGGAACGTGTGGCCGGTTCCGCCCGTGGGTGCCGAGCCGGGACCGCCGCCGCCGCCGGAGGAGGATGCGGCGGCGTTGTTGTCTAGTTTGGGGCGCATTGATGGGGTGATTCCCTCGAAGCCGAGCGGGGCGCTTGATGTGAGTGATACGTGGATGGTGGCGCATATCCTGGGCCCGGAGATTGGTGTGTACTTGACGGGATACCGCGGGATTACAGATTTCAGGATCGCGTACAATGATGCGTGGCATGACAGGGAGGAGATGGAGGTGTTCCTGAGGAAGGTGCACTCTGAGGTGCTGTGGCAGCTTGGGATTCAGGAGAAGTGATTGGGTCGTATAATGCGGGAGACGGATAGGCTCTGTCATGAGAACATGGTTTAGACTTGTGAAAGCGTTTGTTTTTGTGTTATAGAAACTACACTACTCTTTCCTACTAAACTGACGCCATGTCTTTAAGGCTGTTCCTGAATGGATGTGCAGGAAGATGGGATGTTGGACATAAAAGACATGTACTTATGAAGGCTTAAAGACTTCCATGAAAACCAGAACATCCTCTGGGTTAAAAGTCAGACAACAGTATAGGACTAGGGTTTCTCTCACTCTGTAAAGCGCCCAGGACGAACTGCCGGCAGGCATGGCACTAAACGAACTTGTTAACCCGTCAGAGGCATAGACAGGGGTTTTTCTCTTTCCATCATAACTCCCACGACTCGCAGGGCCGTGATAATATAGAATTATATCCACAGAGTCACCTCCCCAGAAAGCCTTCTTTATTAGGGCACATCTTCCCACGAGCTTTTCAACAAACCTTGCTTCCCTTTCCACTTTACCTCCCCTTCAGTTTCTCGTCAACCACCCAAAGTCCGAGATGGCTCTCATTCCGAGGTTCAGCAAGTACCAGAGCACCCTCTTTCGCCTCTGGGAACCCCTGGTGGTGGCATACCTCTTCCGCCCAGCCCTGGAGCCCCCTCAGGTCCGATGCAATGCTGCAACCGGTCTCGTCGCTACCCGCCGCGGGTTCTTGCAGAATCTGGCATACCTCTGCGATTATAAGAGAGGCGGGGGGGGGGGGGGGGGGGGGCCACCACAACCACGTCCATCTCGGCGGAGATGACAAACGGCGAGCTTCGGTTCTGGGTCTCCGCTAACAGCGGCGTTGTTGATGAATGTTTGCACGACGAAGGCTGAGTAACTGTAACTATGTTAGACGCCTCGGGGCGCTTGCCAACAAGTGTATGGCTCAACTTCAGATGGGACTGGGCGCAAATTACCAGGGAATCCGTGCGTGTACTTTTTTCGGACATCCTCTCTCTTTACACTCTGGTCCGGCCAGATACTGATATCAAATTTCTTGCTTTTCACCTAAGACTAGCCCATCCAACATGCATGGGATGTGCTAGCTGGGTGTTAGCCAAGACGATACTCAAGACAGTACTATTGAGTCTTGACAGAACTTACGTGAAGGGTAAGAGAGCAAAACAGTGATGAGAGCATACATGGCCCATCTGTTGATATCCGCGGGTAATACCGAGAGTGATACCAGACAGGGAAGAAACCAAATCTGCGTGAAGAGACCGAGGAGGGCTCTTTGATCGAGGACCTCGGAAAGCCAAGTCAATATTAACATCTGTGTCTTGTTAGCTTTGGCATCGACAAGTATCAACCTGAAAGTGAAGTTGCCTCTTCCCCTAATCGCCTACATTTGCCGTGGTGCCCACCTGGGCTGGGATGCTTAGAAGGTGAGATTGGAATGTATCAAAGCCCAGCTGCCGTAGACTGAGTGTTAGATACTCCAGGGGGTCGAGCAGTTATCCCGAAGGTCAAACCAAGGGCATAGATAGGCCAAAGGTGCCAGTCACATATCGACTGCCACAGCATCTTTAGTGTGATGGCCTGTCGGTTCTGCATATCCCCCTTGGCGGGGTCATCGCGCAGAATACGGTTGACGAGGATCTTCTCTTCCCGCTCTGTGAATCAGCCAGCCTTTCGGACGATACCACGCCTTTGCTTGCGTCGGGGACGGCGCCATCATGAACCGTGACCAGACGCCGGTGCATAAGATGAGAATGCCTTCTATGAGAAATCTGCGCGAGCGTAAGTCTCTCAAGAGGACGGAGACAAACTCGGCCGACGGCGACTCGAAGCTTTCGCTGGATCTCGTATTTGCACCTGGTGTTACATCCTGGTTGATGGCGCCAAAAGTTGACAGTGCATAGATCTCATCAGACACAAAGTGAAGATCGGCATCCTCGCAGTACTGGAGAAGTGCATCGATGACCTCGACAGGGGTGATATGGCCGTGTGGATTGTGAGGATTACAGAAGAGAATGCCGCGGACGTTACAGGAAGCTTTGTCTGCTGCGGTCTGGTATGCGGTCACGACGGCCCGAGGGGAATGTGTTTCGTGAAAGGGCACACGTACGGGAATCAGTCTGGCTCCATTTCGAAGCACCGCGGATATTTCGAAACTGCCTGTAGAGGAAGGGAAATGAGATGAGTGACTAGAATGACTGGGCCAAGCCCGCCGGGAAGATGAATGGGAAGGGGAGAAAGAAAACTAAATCGGGAGAAGGAGGAGAGAAAAAAAAGAAGAAGAAGAAAAACTCAGGGGTAAAGTCAGGGGTCCACCTACCCCAGAAAGGGGCCATCACCAAAAGCCCATCACCCTCATCGCACAGGTCGTTAATCAACGTATCGAGTATAGAGCTGCATCCCGGACCAGTGACAATATGCCCCGGCTTGACCGGGATTCTGGGCGAGAAGAAGTGGTTGAGGAAAATCGACAAGGATTCCAGCAGCTCCTTCGTCCCTCCCAAGCCGCCGGCATACGACAGGTGCTTCGCGCTCAGGTCCTTTTTGGCGTTCTTCTTGAGGAGCGAGAGCATTTCGGGGCGAATTAGCCAGTTCTCCGCCGTGGCGAGGTCGATGCTCGAAAGGCTCTTCGACCCCTGGCGGCGAAGTGGCCGTTTGAACTGTTCCAAGAACCATGCATCGTCTTTGCGGGCCCGTCGGGACAGCATTGTGCTCTTTTGCAGACAGTTATCTGCAGTGTTTAACCGATTGGTATGTGGTTCGTATTTTCAAGCTGAGGTTTCTATCCTTGGATGGTGGAATTCGTTGTGTTCATTTTCAGGGGTGAACCGAAGACCTACCATTGCCTCGCCTCCTCATCCGTTCCCAATGCCAACGACGGGACTTTTGCAAACTTCCATATGGGCAACTATGATTAGGTCACCGTTTGTTGGCTTATTGGAGATCTCTAAGTGCCGGTTCTGGGATGTTAGATTAGATTTCGTTGTCGGCTGTCGGGGCTCTTGGGGCCACCGTCGGTCTCGGTCACCGACTTATACCAACCATACGGACAAGCCGAGACCGCGCATGCCCAGGATTTGCACCACACCAAAGAAACCTGTTATATCTCGATTCTCATTTTTCATTGTCTTAATGACCTGGCTTTGTGAAGAGACGTACTTACAGCAGGCCGTCCAAAGAATAGCGCACATGCAGTTCTACCAACCGTCCACACGCCGCGACCAGACCTTTCCGACCACTCAATATGTCTGCAGATTCCGACTCCCACACCAGCAACGGCTTAGAGAATGTCGAAAAGCGTACATGCTTCCTCACAACCGTCGGGAGATTGAACGCATGAGAAACCAGCATGAATGGGAGTGTGGATTCCTCAGTATTAATATCCAGGCGTTGGATATTGGTGTTGGGAAGTACCAGCATAATAGGGAGATGGATGTGAGAGGACGCAGGAACATGAGAGATGCAATGAAGAATATGATGTCTATTGCCAGGTGAGTCGATGTAGGATTTCCCCCGGATGTATGCTCATCGGCTGTCTAACGTGTTCTCATACACAGCGCAAAAGATTTGGGAATTTCATAGATGGATAAAGAAACGATGCTCGACCGGTTCGAATCAGACATGGAGAAATACCGGACTGCGGTGCGACACTTCATTATTTGGGCTCAGAGGCCGGAATAGAGTCGTACATAGGACGTATTTCTTCGGGGTTAACGGATAGAACAGGACATATTATATGGCCTTGACCTATTCGACATCCTGCTTGCCCCCGCCTCACGTCCCTGAAAGTCTACCGTCTACCCTTCCCGAACGGGCTCTGAGGCGTCCTCCTCCCGTTCCCGGCCTGCCCATCTCCTCCTCCCTTCTTCTCCAACTTGACATCCCCCTCAAGTCCAAAAGCATACCTCTCGCCACTAGGACTCGCTATCGAAGACTGCTGTCGCTGGACCCCAGCACGGGGCCTCCCTTTCCCCAACCCATCCCCCCTCTCCGCCGCCTCATCCACGAACTCCTCTCCCTGCCCCTGCCCCTGCCCTGTGTCACCGTCCGCCGCCGGCACAACCCCATACCCAACCTTCATCTTCTTAGCCTCCGCCTCCACAAACCCGCCCCGCGTCCACGGCACCTTCTCCAACCAAGGGCCCCGCGTAGCAGCAACGATGCTACTAAACCTCGTAGTCCGCCACAGCCCTTCCTCCCACATGGCCGCCGTACCAAACCCGACCGCCAGAACCGCCAGCGCAATCGCCGCCGCATACACGGCCCACAGCTCCCACGCCACATACTGGTACCGCGTATCGCTCCGCGAGCGGGAACAAGGGAACTTCGTCTCGTCACCGCCTGTCCCCACGCCGCTGGGCCCGCCGTCCGGGTTCGCCGCCCAGGTGACAGCCAGCATCTGCGGATTCGAGAGCATGGAGAGGAGGATATCCTCGTACAGCGACTGCATGGCCTGCGGGAGGTCGGGAACGGGGAGCCAGTTGCGCGGTTCGATGAGGCGGGTCTGGATGGCGCGCGTGTTGGCCTTCTTGTGCGGCTCTTCGATGGTCCCGTTGACAAAGCTGCGCAGCTGCGTCCCGATGGAGTGGTAGGCCATGGCGCGGCGGTAGCGGTGGACGTCGCCGGTCGGCAGGATGTAATTCTCCTCCGGCACGGCTGTCGTGTTGTCGGCGGTTCCATCGTCGGCGTCGACGCCGGGGATGAAGGTCGTGTTGACCACCGGACGGACGAACTCGCGCCGCGTCACCTTGGTGGTCTGTTGGAGACCGCAGTAGTCGAATAGCACCTCGTATTTCGTCTCGTAGTGCTCGCATCCCAGGAGCTTCGGGGTGAAGGCCGTGTCCCAATCCGGGTGGTCGCGGAATTCCGGTTGCGGTTTCGTCGGGTCGTCTACCTGCGCGTAGCCTATCCACATAATCGGCTCGGTCCGAAGTGCGCCGAGATGTTTGGGAATCGGGCCCGGCTCGCTCGGGATCCCGCCGGGCCATACTTCCTGCATCTGGGTGGAAGAGTAGTGGCCATCAAAGGCGCGGACAATGTACGTGAAGTTACCGGTCGGGGCCAGCAGGTCAAAGTCAAACGGCAAGGTCGCGTTACCGAGGGGCTGCGGCGTTGACCCAACCCCCGAGGCGAGCTCGGTGCATCGATACCCCGGGCCGGTAAAGTTGACGGCGAAGGTGCAATTCCAACCGACTCCGCAAATCTCCTCGGCAGCACCAACACGGGCAACGGGCTCGGTCGAGAAGGCAGCCATGGTAGCAATCTGCTCGAATTGCCAACTACTGGCGGTGAAATAGTCGAACCATTCCTCGATGGTCTCCCCATCCTCATCCACCGCTCCCTGCGTCGTATTCCAGAGGCTGACCGACAACGGAAAGAGGCCGTCGATGCGGTAGGCGTCGCGCCAGTCCCTCGTCTCCTCGGCGGCAAAGTTGAGGGTCCGGACGGCCAGGCACTCGGCCTCCTCCTCGACGAGCAAAAGCCGGACAGCGAGGGTCTCGGAGGTGAAGATGACGACGAGCGGGGTGCACCAGACGTAGATGGCGAGGAGGATGGCGACACGGGCATGGCGGAACAGTTCCGGGTTGACGATGGCGGACAGGTCATCGACCGCGGCGAAGAGCGAGTCGACGGCACCCAGGGACATCACTTTGCGGCGGACGGTCAGCCAGACGCGCTGACGGAAGGCCAGAATCACCGAGGTGGCCAGGCAGGCCTTGGAGATGAAGGACAGGGCGGCACCGTAGCGGAGCATGCGGAGTTGGTCGCTGGCCAGGTCGCCGTGGAGCGAGGCGTAGAAGACGTGGTGGCCCATGGCGAAGGCGACGCCGGCGAGGAGGAAGAAGTACATGTTGTAGGAGGGTCGCCAGTAGTCCATCCAGATCGGATACGATCTGCGAAACGGTCCATGGCCTTGCTGGGCAGGAGGCAGAGGGGGGAGTGGGCGGTCATTGTTGTTCTGCGGCCATTGCTGTCCGTCAAGGAGACCTGTCTGTTGGCCACCGTGGACGTGGGCTGGGCCAAAGGAATGCGAGCTAGGATACATGTGCGATTGAGGATACATGATAGCTCCGTGAGGCATGGCCGGGTTCGGGTGCCGGCTCGATGCCATGGGGCCTCCGAGTGTGGAACCATAGGCTGCGCCAGTGCTGCCGAAGCCATTTACCTGGATGAGAGCCAGTCTTGGTCGTTGCATGGAGGGGTAAGGTGGTGAAGGCTGACCCGGCGCAGCACCCGAGAGAGGGGAGGTCGGAGTTTTCGAGCTGGAGAAATGTCCGCCCCTTGACTCGCCTCTGACCGTGGAAGCAGACTGAGGCGAAACTGCCGCGCGGGCCTTGGACGCGGAGCTGGTGTCCGATTGAGATAGAGGTGAGGGTAACGACACGGGAGAGATCAAGTTATGTCGGTATCGAGGGCTCGTAGCATTGGCCGAAGCATGAAGAGAGGTCGGGTTCGAAGGCGCCCAAGGCCCGGCGGTGGTGGCGGCTCCGACAGGCCTCCGCTGGAGGCTGACAGGCGAGCCAGACGAAGAGGCCATGCGCGGGGCAGCGGATATGGATGGACTTCGGCCCGGCCTCGAGACATCGCGGCCGATGTTAACCCCCATGTCGGCTGTGTGTATGATGTGTACGTCAGTTGGGATGAACTGGTTATGAGACAGCCTCGCTGGCAATAATCAAAGGTTCGGGAAGGCAGTCATACTCTGTATTTCGGGGGATCTATGTCTCCATGACAGACAGGCGGGCAGGTCTCGAAATAAGAGTGGCGAAAATGATTGAAAACGAAAGGAATGACCATAACAAAGAGCAAACTTCCCAAGGAAGCAAGGGAGGGACGGTCTGACGCCGCCTGAAAGGATGAGGTCGAAGGCAGGGATGAAGATCGCCGGCCGGCCACCATGCTGCTCTGACAAAGAAACCGCGAAACCCGGCAATGCCAAAGGGGATGCGAGTTCGCTCGTGGACCTCCAATGCAAGAGGTCGAAGGTAGATATCCGGAACCATCCTCATCGAATGCATGTCTTGGTGTCCTTTGCTCGAGGATCCGATATCGAGGGCTAGAGACCGAGGTCTCACGAGTCACCCCTCCATGATCATGACAGTGGAGCTTCCGAAGCGTGATGGATAACCCGGTGAGTGGGCGACTTTGGGCATCGCATTTTGGCCAGGCAAGAACTTATAAGACATGTATGTCGTGTCCCCCCAATTTTCGATGTTTGCTCCCATGGTTGAACCTCCCGTGACACCAATTGTTTGTGCTGTCGTGCTGTGGTCAGGAAGGTGAAGTCGGACCAGTCGCTATGGTGGATTTCTCTAGATCACCCACCATTTGGTTCATATCGGCTCCATATGAACGACTAGAATGGGTTGTGGCAGACTATCGAGAGAGACGCAGGCGATTACGCTCATGCATAGTTCGTGATTGTCTCGGTGGTGTGTGTGAATGGGAAGTTGAAGATTGGGAGCTGGAGACGTTCGTGGCGTTGATGGCGTTGAGGGAGGAAACACAACACATGTACTTTAGTAATACCTTAGTAATACAGGGACACACTGGACGAAGGTACATAGGTACGTATCTGCAGCCATTACATTACCTTAGTAAGGTTCATTATATTCTAATACAACAAAGGAATATTCAGCGTCGCGTCCAAGGGAGGTAGAATAAAAATAGTATCTTAGGTATATACGCTATATACGAAATAAACAGGCTCCGACATTTCCCTCACCCTTAGCCAGATGGGTCTTTCCATCGGCGCCCACGGCATCGAAAATGTCGTGGACCAGGGCCACCAGCCTCATCAGATCGGTGCAAGGTACCTGGTACCTCGTAAGTGCAACATAATTACACATAGGTACCTGGTCCGTGGGCTTGGGTCCACACATTGCAACCATGAAACTCAACAAACCAGACGGGCCCATTCGGCGGTTGCACTAGAACCAACGCGGCAGAATGTGGGGCACCACGTTTTCCCCCCTTGGGCTTGTTTTCCGTGATCGGGATAGATCCGATCGGTTACCCTTGAATGGCCCCCAAACCATCATGGGCCCACGACTTGCCCGCTGGACGGGAACTACGGCCCTGAATGGTTTCCAGACTGTAAAACGGCAGAATCTCCCCCCCGTCTGTGCAAATATGCCGCCCGTGTTTGGGGTGAGTTGCCGCGCTTCATGGGTCCTTTTGTAGCGTATCGGCCATTCCGTCCCAAGCCAAGGGACGAACGGGTAGGATTCTGCCATTTCAACTAGAAACGTTAGCGGCCAATGCGTTGATTCCTAGTTCGTATGGGACCGTAGTTGTAAACTATTCTCGGACCAACTTGTCGGTCTTCGGTCTCTACATAACACCGACCGAAAGCTGAGATGTTCATATTTGTCAAACATTAGCAACGGCTCCACGGACCACGGCATTCATATTGTTCGCAGCATGTTCCCTAGCGTGGGGCAATATATTATATACCCGCCGGAGAAAAGAAAAATGATGGTTGGGAGATCAAGCTTTTTGGAGCTCGACATGTATGGCGCATTGTACATAGCCCGTGTGATGAAGTCGGACTACGAGTATTACGTTGTACTTTGGACAGCGCCTGGCAGCAATACCGGGAAGTTGCTTGGGTCCGCTACCCGAGCATCCGCCACAAAGCACAGCCATCCCCTGCAAGGGAAATGCTTGAAATATTTCGTGCAGGCAATTGCCTCATGACTAGTGTGGTACCCATCACTAAGCAGAACTTATTTTTGGATATGCAGGGTCCTCTCTCTCTCTCGGGTCATGGACAACCCTTTCAGCCCTGTCAGGAACGGACCGATGGGTGGTAGCGTGGACCTGCGGTGTAATTCAGTTCTTATGGTCGGCACTAGAGGAATATCGGCAGTGTTCCTGTGGGACTGATTTCGGCACCCTTTTTTTCTCTCCTTTTTTCTCTTCTCGGTTATCCTTATTTTCTTTTCTTTTTTTGGCCCTCCCTATTCTTCACACGCTTTTCAGGCAGTTTCACTGGTAGTTTAGCCCCCATGGGCCCATCCTGTCCGGGTAGTTGACTCCACATCTTCTAGAAATCTGCATTGACAGTGCTTCAAAGCCGAGCCGGTGTACCGTGTGGCAGTGAAGGCGGCTCGAGATTCGCTCCGTCAAACTTCTCCCTCAAACTTCTCCAGCCTAGCCGCCTAGGATCCTAGTCTCTAGAGAATCGGGGTAAGATGCCGCAACTCCTCGACAGTGATTTTAAATTTTTGATCCGTCAGCTAAACAAAAAATAAAAACAAGTGTTTTCGAGGTCGAATCGTCCGATTCCAGGGTCTGGCGAGTCTCATCTTGAACTAGGTCAAGTTCCATTGTTCCTTCGTCTCTTCGGGGAGCCCGTTCAGACTCATAGGACCCCTGGTATATATCCAAAGAGGGCGATGAGTTCGCAGGATGAGCCACGAGTCAGTACATGACAGCACTAATAAGGCTATCTTTAGAGTCAAAATATCCGATGTAGGCATGGCAGCCTTGCAAGGCGGGGCTTCTCAACACCCTAGGCATCATCTCCGAGCAGATGGCATGGGCTCATGGGTATCGTGACACTAGTGCTTACGCATAAACTGAGCAATATTGGCACATGAGGCCGACCTGACATGATGCTTGCTAGCCACCGGGAACCGACTCCGTGGATCGTGCCTGTTCAGACTTTAGAGGTTGGACATCGTCGCCTCGCCAGCTTCCTGTGCGCCTCTGGCAAGGCTCTTTCCAGAGTCCTATCCTCCTTCTAATCTTTCACATACAATCTTCACCTCCTACCAATCCATAAGAAATCTATATAAGTGCGGCCGTCTCCCGACATCTGGATAACTTTCTTCTCCCCAGGCAACTCACAGTCTCTCTCAACCCGACAACCCACTTCTCAAAGCCTTCACACTCTTTGCCAACGAGAAACCAACCATCCCTTCCTCCCACCCTCACACTTACACCCTTTCACCATGAGACTCAACGAGGTTTTCCTGGCTCTCACGCCAGTTGTTCTCGCAAACCCCGTGATCCGCGCCGAGGAAGCCCAGGATGTCCACATCACCCTGGAGCTCAGCAAGGTCGCCTCCCCCGCCCAAGCCGCCATCACCGTCTGGAACAACGAGCAGACCGAGGTCCTCGCCAAGTCCTGCTCGGACTCCCTCGCCACCGGTCCCTTCGCCGACCACCCCATCGTCTTCAACATCAACAGCGAGAACGGTGCCGGCAGCCTTACTATCGGCAGCGCCTCCTTCCAGATCGGCGGCGGCGACAGCACCCTCACCTGCGGCCGCGTCGCCAGCGAGACCGAACTGGTGATTAACTGCATCGTCCCCGTCCCCGGCAGCCTCCAGCTGCGGTCCCTCGAGAAGCGCAGCCTCGCGGAATGCTTCCCCGACGGGCCCCTCGAGGTCTCCCAGAGCATGGACATCTTCGAGGGCAAGGTCGAGGCGGCGGAGGGTGCTATCGAGTTCGACTTCCCCGAGCTGAACCAGACCCAAATCGACGAGATCGTTCGCCGGGAGGACCTGAACAGCAAGTTCAACAAGCGCCAGACGGCTGGCTGCGATAATTGGGTCTCGGACACCCGCCGCGTCGGCAACGGAAACCCTCACCAGAACCCGTGGCACATCCAGCTCAGCGTAAGAAAAGCATCCCGAGAAACCATGTACCTTCCGCTAAGGCTAAGCCTTTACTAATAACGTATCTTGAATATAGGAGCCTATGAAGTGCCCTGGCCATACCGGCTGCTCCACCTACCACACCACTACTAGGTCGTACTCCGTTGGCTGGCAGGCTAACGCGGCCGTGACCTGGATTAATGGCGGCTTTTCCGTCGTCCAGACCACTGAAACTGGTAACAGCTACGTCTGCAACGGTGAACCAAACGACTTCCTGGCCGTGTGGAAGAACCAGGGCACGACTGCCTACACCGTGCAGCCCGGCATTCGGCACGTCTGCACTAATACCTGGCACGAGTCGGGTAGCCGTACTATTATCTGGTCCCCTAACGCGAACAACCGTCGTGGTTACTACTACTGCGTCTACGGCGAGCGCTATGTCCGCGCCATTGGCGACCGCTGGCTCGACACTGCTGCCAATACCCCCGGCGGTCCTTAGATGGACACATTCGGACTGGCATCCTTGCACACGATCCTTCAGGCCCTGTTGGCACTGGGGTTAGACAACCCTTTGGGATCTTTCATCGTCTTAGATTTTTGTACTAGATAGACCATCTTTCCTTGCTTCTACCTTCGTTCGATGCATATAGACTTAGAGTATGCAACACAGATATACAACTCATCCTTGATAATTCATCGCTACTCCTTTTCGTGGGATCATCCTTAGTTGACCTTGGACTATCGGCGTCTTTGCCAAGTTATCCACCGTATCGACTCTGCTCCTGAGTTGGTTGGGTGTGGGGTTGTTACCAGAGGTAGTCTCTTGAGTTTCCTATCTCTAGAGTAGGGTTCATGTTTCCATAAAGAAGCCGCTCCTCTGCGGTGAGATGCCCAATTAACCGTTCGGCAGGCAGGGTTGGGTTCCATACAAAAGCCAAACAGTCTAACATTGCCTTGGCTCAGAAAACAACGGCCGACACCCTATCCTCCTTCCCACGATCCCCCTTATCCTTCTTCTTAAACAGCGACTTGAGCATGTTCTCCTTCTTCGGCCGCAACACGGCCTCCAAGCCCGTATTCATATCGTCCTCCCGACCTTCCTCGATGGCCAGCGTGCTAGGCCGCGCCGACCGCTTCGACCGGTGACTCCTGTGGCTGCGGTGGCTGCCCGCCAGGCTGTCCCCGTCCCGGTCCCTCTCACGGTCTCGCTCTCGCTCCCTATCTCGGTCCCGGTCTCGGTCCCGGTCTTCCGACTCGCGATCCCTATCCCGCCGGCTATGATGCGTCTTGTGCGACCTGTGGGACCTATGGCTCCGGTGCGTCCTGGAACTCGTCTCCGTCCGTCCCGATCGGGACTCGGCGTCGTCGGCGTCGTCATCATGGGCGTGGTCTCCCCGCCTCTCACGATCCTCCTGCCGCCGCTGCTTCCTCACGGCCCGCTCGGCCTCGGGGCTGATCAGCTCCATGTCGGCGATCTCTCCGTCGCCCAGCGGCTCGATGCCGCGTCGCCACGTCTCGATGGTGCTTAACTGCTCTTCCAACACGACGGCCTCGTCAAATCCTTCCTGGTCGCCTCCCTCGACGGTGTAGCCTTCTGGGTAGACCTCTCCATAACCTTGTTCATACCCTGGCTCGTAGCCTTCTTGTGCGTAGCCGCGGGGGTACGCGCCGTCGGGTGCCACCATCGTCTCCGGGTATCCGTACGGTTGCTGCTGCTGCGGTTGCAACTGTCCCATCGGGTACCCCGCCTCCGGCACGGGCATCCCCGGCATGATCTGCGGATAAGCGATAGCATTGGCCGCCGCCGCTGCCTGGAGAGCCTTCCTCTCCTTAACCTGCTTCACGATCTTCCACCCCCCAAACATGACGACAGTGACGCCAACAGTGACACCGGCGGCGATGAGGAACTGGGGAGACGCCAACAGGGCAAAGACGGCGGGCGAACCGCCCTTGAGCGCGCCCAGGAAGGCCGGGCTCATACTGCCGACCAGCTTGCTGAGCTCGGCGAGCGAGAGGGCGACGGCGGCGGCGGCCTTGGGGTCGTCCTGGAGGCGCTTGATGGTGGCGGTGGCGGAATGGCCGACGCACTGGGTCTCGTCGAGGATGTGTTCCACGTGCTGGATGAGACCTTTGGCCTCGACTTCCCTCGTCTTGCCCTGGTAGGCCGGGTCGAGGTCGACGCGGGTCGCGAGATCCGGGGGCACGTTGCCGTAGGCTAGGTTCATGTCGATTTCCTTGACTTTGCGGGGCCTGTCGGCGACGTCGAAGGTGGCACTCCTGACGAGATGACCGGGTCCTGGCGGGGGAGGGTGAGGATGACGGGGGTGAGCAGAAGGCATGGCGACCGAAGGGGTTGCGAGATGGGTGTGGTGCAGGGTCGGACGGCTCAAAGTCATGTCGCGAGGGGCGGTCTCGGCGTAGGGTGAGTGGTAAGCCGGCGGGGGCCCACGTGAGGGAGGGACAGAGGCGACTTCGGAGTGAGAACGGAGGTTGTCGGCGGTCAAGGCGGTACGGGCGGACCGGTGGGACCGATAGGACTGATAGGACCGGTGGGAAACTTGCGAGCGAGCATCGTCGAATGGTTGGGCGTAGTTGTCGTCGTAGTACTGGCGGGCGAGGCCTTGAGGGACGGGGCGTTGGTAGGCGACATCAACGGCGGGAGGTGCGTGGGCATCGAAAGTCTGGGAGCGCTGGAGAAAAGCGCGATCGGCCCGGATGGCAGCTTTTTTGGCCTGGTAAGAGGCTTTGGCTTCTTTGAAGACGCCGAGGAGTTCCCTGCCCTGAATGACGGAGAATGAGTGTCAGAGGGAAACACTTGTGGTGCGTCACATCCCTCTGGTATGGGAGTGGTTGTTATGGTGGGGGAAGAAGAGAGGGATGGAGAGGAAGAGGAAGACAAGAGAGCGGAGAATGGGGTTTTACATACGGTACTGATGATTTTCCCGGAGTTATTAATGATGGTGATGGTCTCTGTGAGGGCCATGATGGTACGGTTGACCGTCTCACCAGGAGGGTGAATGTAGTCCTTGGGTGAGGGACGGTTCGATGTGTCTCCAAGTGTAGAAAGGGAACCGGTTGGTTGTGCGTGAGAGAACGGAAAGGAGGGAGAGAAAAAAAAGAAAGAAAAAAAAATCGAAAATGGTTGAATCGCTTCGTTGGTCAACCCGACCTTGGGCGGGGTGTTCAGGCCATATGCAGTGCAGGAACGCAAAGCAAGCGCAGTAAATGGACGAGGGAGCTGAAATAATGAAATAGAATGCGAGGAAGAAAGAGCTTGAGGCCTATGATGGTCGCCTGTCCATGAACTAGTGGATGCCGAGAACCCGGCCAAGATACCACCCCATGGCCAAAGGGGTGAGCCGAAAATGCACAAGATCGAGACGTTGATGGCTGAGTGATGACTTGTCGGTTGTGAGGGAGGAAGGGGGCTGGAGAAAGAGGCCTTGGAGGCCCAAAGGGCCACTGGAGATGCGGTGAAGGAGGCGGGGGGAGGGAACCAAACGGGGAGAAACGGGAAGGCCCCACCCACAGTTATGTACAACAAACACCAGCCCAATGGCCAATGGCGCTTGCCAGTCTCCCGACCCGAAAGACACTGTACGCATACTGAGTACGTACACAAGGGCGCGGATATTACATTACGTGTACCTCACCCGTACACCTTCCCCTGGCGACTCAGCGGCTCATCACATAGCATACAGGTACTAAGTACCTTAGTGTAATCGCAGCACAGTATGTCCTCTATTCATGATAAGCGCCTAGGTACAGTAATAAGGTAGTCTATCTTTTTCGACTTCTATTCCTCCAGTCAAAAACACAGGGCGACAGCTCTCGAGAACAGAGAGCCAATGACTCTGTACCCTCACAGTGTGCTCCGCATCCGTACACCGTCCTCTCACCTCAACCCATCGTGCCCTCATTGGCCACGGACGGAAAATACATGTAGACCAACAGTTGTCTTGGCCCGGGTCGGCGTCGCGATGTGATGTCCTCGCCTTCAGGCCGCATTGCATACGAATACCGACCTTCCCCTTTCCCCTTTTTTCCCCTACCACCCTACCTCAGTTCCTACGATCGATCCGAGTGCGCCTGACTATCAACCCATGCGGGCTCGTCTCAGAAAGCATGTCGCTCCCCTTTCTCTCATGCTTACTTTGGACATGTACGACAATCCAAGCTGGACCACCCGTCCGAACCATAGGGAAATCATTTCGAAGTCCGGATAAGCATCCAGCAACTACCTTAGTTATGCGTGGCAGGGGCGGTGTCTGATTTTTCTCTCTCTGTGTGTCAGTGTGTGTGCTGTCCTCCCACTCGATTTGTCGGGGTGCCGCCTCATTCGTGGTCCAACATGACTGTCTTGCCACCTGGGCATCAACGGCCTACCGACGCGGACAGGTACGAATAGAATTACCGTCAGGGCTTACAGCCTTACTTTGCTACGTGATATTTGATCCCTGAAAAAGAAGAAAAAGAAGAAGAAAGGCTTCAACCCGTCCCGTTCAACTCGTTCTGCCATTTAATGTGATTGCCCACATACATTCCCTCCTGTAACCGGAAAGAACATATGGCAAGGTAGAAGTGCTCGGTCCGTCCCGTACGTGTACTACGACAGGGCGGACATTCCTTTCTCCTCCAAGGTTAAGAACATATATTTTCCATGGATGACCTGCCAAAGCAACCGGTGGCTCAACGTTATATCAACTACCGTTTTATGAGGTTTCCTTTGCTATAAGGCTATAACCGACGGTTCAGTACACCGTTGACAAAAACTTCTCATTACAATAGTACAAACTATACCAAAACCTTAAATCCAAAGCGATTCAATTTCTTCTTTCTCATTTGACATCCCGTCCGTTCCTCGGCATTATCGACTTAACCTTAACAAGAGTCGCCGAAATACTAAGAGTAGATGTCCCGTCTCATCGAGATGGCCCAGTCTTACGTAATGACTTAGCGCACCTACTCCGGAAGGCGTCACGTGACCTTTTAGCGGATATGGGTCAGACACCGGGACCCTGCCGCGCGAGGAGCTCAGGGAGCCAATGATCGTCCTCTCAGCTCTCACCTCAGACAGAAGCCCCACACAAGCTGTCATCTGAGTTGCCTACCAGCTACCTTACCTTAAGGTGGGTAATTACCTTAGCAGCTCGTCCTAAGTCGTACGAATACGTAAGTACCTTATTAAGATCCAGAGCCCGAGCACCAGGAGGGCTCAGTCCGAAACGAGGTCCTAAATCTTTCCAGGTTCTGGCCCGAGGGTCTTCTTCCCTCTCCCCCCTAATTTATCTGTCACTCCACTCCCTTCTGCACTCGCGTCTCATTTTCTGTCTACGTTTCAGTCATAGATCTCTTTCGACTTTACACCTTTCTGTCTTCCTCCGTCCCTACACAGCTCCCCCATTGAAGTGCCCATAATGGCCGACGAGAAGCCCCAGACTGTCCCCGAGGCCCAGACGCCCGCGGAGAACAAGCCCGAGTCAGAGACCGCCCCGGAGACGGCCAAGGTTGACGATCAGCCCGGCACTGTGGCCGAGTCGGAAGCCGCTGCGGTTGTTCCATCAGCCGAACCCTCTGGTAGCAAGGAGGAGGGCGCCACTCAACCCTCGGCTCCCACTCCTGCTGCCGACTCCACGGAAGCCAAGGAGGAACCCGCCAAGGAAGAGACCAAGGAGGTAACACAAGACGAAGCCAAGGAACCGGAAGACAAGAAAGACGAGACCAAGGTCGAACCCGCCTCTGCAACAACCGCTGAGGCCACCACCGACGCCGCCAAGGAAGACGGAGAACCACCAGCCTCGCCAATCCAACAGCTCTGGGCCGCCGCCCAAGAGCACAAGCACGGGGAAATCTGGGGCGTCGACCTCGCCGACCCGGAAACCCACATCCCCTCGCAGATCGTGTTCCAGAAGTACCTCAACGCCAACGACGGCGTCGTGGCCAAGGCCAAGGACCAGCTCGTCAAGACGCTCGACTGGCGGGCCGAGGCCAAACCGCTCGAGCTCGTCGGCAAGGCCTTCAGCAAGACCAAGTTTGATGGTCTGGGCTACGTGACCACCTATTCTGCCTCGGAGGGGGGGACGGACCCGGAGAAGCGGGAGGTGTTTACTTGGAATATCTATGGCGCTGCCGTTAAGCGCGTTGCTGAGACGTTTGGCGACCTGAACGAGTATGTTTCCTCCCCGTCTCCTTTCCCTTTTCTCTTTCCGCCCGGTTCTTGTCCAAAATAAGAGAGAGTGTGTGTGTGTGTGAGAGAGAAAAATTAACCAAAGTCGCCTTCTCCCAGATTCATCGAATGGCGCGTCGCCCTCATGGAACTCGCCCTCCAATCCCTCAACATCAAAGACGCCACGACCCCCATCACGGCCGACAAAGACCCCTACAAGATCTACCAAGTGCACGACTACCAATCCATCTCCTTCCTCCGGCAAGCCCCCGAGGTCAAGGCCGCCAGCACCAAGACCATTTCTGTGTTTGCGCAGAACTACCCGGAGCTCCTCCGCGAGAAGTTTTTTGTGAACGTCCCCGCCATCATGGGCTTCATGTACGCCTTCTTCAAGCTCTTCGTCGCCGCCAAGACTGCCAAGAAGTTCCACCCGCTTTCGTCTGGTGCCTCCCTTGCCCGGGAGCTGGCCGAGTCCCCCGTCGACGGTCTGGGCGAGAAGTTGCCGCTGGCGTATGGTGGGAAGGGCGGCGAGTTGGCGTCGCAGGGTAGGGGGCCTGAGCTGGCTTGAGACCCCTGGAGGAGATGATAGGTAGACCGGGCGGTGGACGGCATAGAGCGGGTTGTGCGCTTTCGCCTGGCCTCGCATGAACCGATGTTGTGGGTTCGGGCTGCGTGAATTGACTTGTCTACTGATTACGGGAGGATAATTAATACTCGTATCGGTGCAACCCTGCCCGAACGGGTCCTTTGGCATAGGGTCATTTTGTTTGCTAATACCTTGTACTTATACTGTTACAACGTTAGATACACCATCTTGTCGAGAAGACTTAATTACTGTACGAGGCTCGACCCTGCCGAAACAACGGGCGGCGTACTTATGCCAGGCTTCCAATGGTGGTCCTCCGGTTGAAATAGTCATTAAGATTAAGTATACTGTCGCTCATAGGCGCATCTAATAATGCTCGTAAGGTCTATGATCGCGTCTCCGCGTCGTGAATCGTCATCTCTCGTAGTCGTATAGGTACTCCAGAGAACCCGGTCCCGCCCATTCTATCATGCCTCGGTGGTTTTTTTCTTCTTTCTTTTGCCCCTTGGGGTATTGTCTCAAACAACCCACGCGGCATGGGTAGTCTGAGCCCTGCTCAGCAGCCAGCCATCCCTCACCATCCAAAACGCGGCCATCAACGGCGTGGTGAGCAGCGCCAGCGCGCCTCCCAGGACGGCCTTGAAGATCTGCGGCGCCCAGCGGTCGTCAAAGACCCAGTCGCCGCCGCTCTTCCTCCCGATGGTCGTCAACACGCCGACGGATACGGGCCAAAATAACACGAAACTGGCGAGAATGAAGGCCGCCGCTCGAGGAGCCTGGGTCGCGACGAAACGTGCCGCATTGGCGAGGGCGGTCCTGACTTTATTCCGCCGTGGCCCGGTATCATGGTGGGTATTGTTGTTGTTGTCTTCGTTTAGGAGCATGAACCATCGTGGGAACCGGCCTTTCGGCTCGGCGACGAAGCCGATGGGTTTGACGCCCCCGTTGTGGAGATCGTGCCGGACGAAGACGCGTTCTATGAGCCATGTTATGATGCACTGGATGATGATGGTGACGGCGGCGTCGCCGGCGAGGGTATTGGGGAGCTGGAAGAGACGGATGGGGTTGCGGGAGAGGTCTTGGGTGGTGTACATGGCTGTGACGTAGGGTTTTGTGTTAGCTTTAGGTAGCTGAGGGAAGAGTAGTGGCGGTGGTATGACTCGCGTCCCGGGGGGGGAGGCTCTGGGGACTCTGCGCCTTCGAGGAGAGACGGGCAATGAGGAGCGAAGGACGGAACATGGGAACAACGAACCGTAGGCAATGGCAAAGTTGATGATAGCAGATATGGCCATGGCGCAAAGGCCATGTACGACGAAAAGGTAAAAGGCCTGGTGGGCGGTGAGCTTGGTGGTCGGAGTAACGACATCGGGCCTCTCGCGGTGCTTGAAGAGGGCATCAAAGGAGGACCATGACGGCCTGCCGTCCATGAACGACGCGCGCGTGCCTGCCGACATGGTTGATGTTCGTGGACCAGGCATGGTGTCGTCGAGCGGCGTCCGTCTGTCTTTAGAGGAGTATGAGTGGACAAGTGGCACGCGTATCGAGTCGCGTCGCAAGGCCGAGGTCAGAAAGGGCAAGAAAATATTACAGCAAGGGACGCGAAAGGGAGGAGGGTGGAGGAGGGTAGTAAGTAAGGGTTAAGGTAAATGGGAAAAAGAAGAGTGAGAAAGGGATATCAGTACGGAATAGGGATACACGATGGTGATAATAGCCTCGTCCAATCCTCCGGTTGAGCCGGGAGGCACTTGGCCTTTTGGCTCGGCTGACTGAAAAGTTTAATATTGCTTCATTTCTTTTGTTAACGGCAGTCAAATGACTTGTGACTTGATCCGGATGCCATTGCCATGTGCACAAAAGTACGAAGTACGAAGAATTCTCCGTAATACTTCGTGGTTGATGACAAACGGTCCCTTGATCCCTTGTGATTACCACGCAACTACCGGCATTTCCTAATAATTTAGTAAGGCCGAGTCCTCCGGGTGCCTGAAATTTCAATGAATTCGGGTCCTCTGATTTGCTGGTCGTGGACCCTTTTGGTGGACATCGGACCCGTGATTTTCGTGGTCTTCTTACCGACTCACCGGTTCACCGAGTTTGACCGAACTGCATCTCGGTGGACACAGAAATTCATACGTATTTACAGTTCCCTTTCTCGACATCTGGATCTGATACGAGAACAGAAATGAAAGTATCTATCTGGATTAGAGTCCGGTGAATTAACCCGCTTGGGGCTGAGGAATGACGAAGGTCCCGGACAAGCTCTCGCAGAAGAAACGCCTTGCTGCAGGAATGTGCGTGGTAGGTAGGTCCACGGGGGATCATGGGGAGCGTGACGCAGCGGTATGGATAGGCATCGTGGGAGTGGGCAGTGGTTTATGTAAGAGGTGTCGAATGTCGAATGACGCCGATGGAAGGTCGTGGACGACTTGTACTTCGTAATGCTTCGTGCAAAGTGCATTGTAATCATTCCTAAGATGCATCTCGTACGAAAGGCTCGGTAGACGTACGATACGATGGTACTGTATTAGGTGGTACAGAGGCCAGGGGAGGAAAGAGAGAAGGAAATGGGAGGGGGAGCTCATCTCTCATCTCGGGAAAGGCGCCCGATCGCGTCGCTATGAGCGCTAAATTAGCCTATGGTGGGGTTGTGGTTGCTTCAGATAAATTCAGCACCTTGTACCTGGCGCAGGTTGGTGGGGTTCGACCCGGGGGCACCTGTTTCAGAACGTGAGGGGGCATCAAAGCTGCTGTGGGTTACTCCTTCCTTCAAACCCCGTGCAGAATTAGAGGTCAGGATCTCTCTCCGCTTCAGATCTCGCATCATCGCCATCATCGCCATCATCGCACCCTCACCTGCATCATCGTATATTTCCAAGGCCCACACCAAGCATATCACAAGCAGTCCGGATCGCAAATGATAGCCCTTCATCTCCGACGCCAACGGTCTTTCCCTTCCCCTGCTTCTGGTCTCGGCCGCTGAGGCTCAACCGGGGTCATCAGGGGGGTTTGTGTGTGAAGATGCATCTATCTGCCACTCCCATTCTTCAAACAGAGAATCCGGCGGCAAGTCGAACAGAAAACAGACATGGCGCTAAAATCCATTGGTGTTGATGTGGCAAGCAAGACTGACTGACTGTTGTCCCTTTTTCTTGTTTTTCTTTTTTCTTCCTTTTACATTCAAAATGCCTGTCTGTTCCTTCATCTCCCAAGCCGATTTCCATGCAACCATCGTCACCGACCCTGGTCCGCCGAGGTGTTCCAGATGTTACCCGCCGAGCTGACCCTGGCGTTCCATTACACGCCATTCTCCTGCTTGTTCTTGTCGTCAGTCTGGCCGGTGCGGATACAAGACCAACAGGAAAAGATGAGTGGCCTTCAATTTGCACATGAAACGTTGATGAATGCACTGACAGGGCATGGGTCAGATCCTCGCCCCATCGTCAACCTCGTCAACTTGGTGAACCTGGTCCCCGGCTCCCGGCCGTGCGGCGTACTCTTCGAACTAGCCTCAATTCCTACCTTGACGCCGAAGCCCCTGGTCTGCCTTCTCTTGACAGCCCAGAGATGAAGGGGAAAATATAAGGTCGCTGCCTTCGCACACCCTCTCCCATTTCCTTTCCCTTCTCTCCTCACCAGGCTTGCCTTCTTTTCGCAGCTTTCCAATTCTACATTCCTTTCATCAAGAGTTCATTCTTTTCGGCTTCTTGCCACTCTTCATTCTCTACTTCATTGATTGAAGTCTTTTCAGTCTCTGCCTTTCGTTTACGCCAGTGGCCTATACACCCATCCGTTCGAACCGGGTTTTTTCTTCTTCCCACCCTCGATCATCGATCATTGATCCTTCAAACTTCACTTCGACCGACTTGACGTCTCTTGTTTTCCCAACCTTTGGAAAGTAAAGCAAAATCCAACAAACCCGAGAACGGAAAGAAAAAATGCCTTCCTTCAAGACCAACGCCGTCCTGTCCGCCCTTGCCGGCGCCGCCTCGGTCATGGCCCACGGCCACGTCGAGAGCGTCATCGCCGACGGCCTGGAATACCCGGCCTTCGCGCTATCCAACTTCTACAACCCGAACCACGGCCCCCTCGTCGGCTGGTCCACCACCGCCACCGACAACGGCTTCGTCGAGCCCTCGGCCTACCAGAGCGGCGACATCATCTGCCATCGCGACGCCACCAACGCGGCCGGCCACGCCGTCGTCTCGGCCGGCGGCTCCATCTTCCTCCAGTGGGACACCTGGCCCGAGTCCCACAAGGGCCCCATCATCGACATGCTGGCGCCCTGCAACGGCGACTGCGCCGCCGTCGAGAAGTCCTCGCTCGAGTTCTTCAAGATCCAGGAGGTCGGCCTGATCTCCGGCGCCGGCGTCTCCGGCACCTGGGCCTCGGACGAGCTCATCGCCAACGGCAACGGCTGGCTCATCAAGATCCCCGAGACCCTGGCCGCCGGGAACTACGTCCTCCGTCACGAGATCATCGCCCACCATGCCTCCGGTCAGCCGAACGGCGCCCAGAACTACCCTCAGTGCATCAACATCCAGGTTACCGGTGGCGGCTCCGACCTGCCGGCTGGTGTTGCCGGTACTTCGCTCTACACCGCCGACCACGCCGGTATCCTCTTTAACCTCTACACCAACTCGCCCGAGTACGAGATGCCGGGACCTGCCGCTCCGGCCATCGCCACTGTTATCGAGCAGCGCGTTCCTGAGAAGGTTGGCGACGCCGAGCCTGTTGTCGGCGACTCTGCCCCTGCTCCTGCTCCTGCTCCTACCCCCGCTCCTTCTCCTGCTCCCACTGAGCCTGAGGTTCCCGAGGTTCCTGAGGAGACCCCTTCTCCGGTTCCCGAGCAGCCCGAACAACCCGAGCAGCCTGAACAGCCCGAGGAGTGCCCTGCCCTCCGTCGCCGCCGTGCTCGCCGTGCTGCCCGTCGCGCTGCCCGCCGCCACGCCCGCGACGTGCGTGCTTAAGCGCGTTTAAGCTTTAAGCTTTCAAGACGATTTTTTCTTTCGCTTCATTGTACATAGGCTTTTTTTTCTTCTTTCTTTTCGGGTTGGTGTTTTTGATGTAACACCAACGATTTTCTTCACTGGCTCATCTTGTTCCTCTTCCTGGTATTGGAACGGTGGGGTAGGTGTTACGAATACCCGGCGGCGCCGAATATTTTTCCTTCTTGGATATGAGGCATGGGGTGATGTGAATATACCTGCTCTCATGACTCTCCAGACATATTTGGACTTTGTGCGCGTGATGCTTGCACCTGGTGTGATGCGAAGGTCTCCTGGGGTTTGAACCTGTGACACAGACTATCGTTTATGGTCGGCCGTTTGATAATATTCCCTTGGTGTTGTTTCTGCTTATTCTATTTTCGTATTTGCAGAGAGAAATAGGCAGAGTAAGTACAACAACATCTACGAAGTACTAGAAGAAAACTACGACAGTTTTATATTATCAATTATCAATGCGGGTCATTCCATTGAGGCAAGCTGGACTCCATCCACCCGCATATGATTCCGTGATCGGAGCCGAAGTTCCTCTCGTGCATGGGCATGAGGCATTTGAAGAAGTCTGCTGTCCAGCTTGTATCAAGTACCTTATGCAGTACATCCGACAGTCGGCTCCGGGAACGATATCACGTCAGCGAGGAGGAAGTAGAAGTACGGAGAAGGGAGTAAGCAGTACCTTATTATGGGATAGGCAGGTTACAGATACTCCGTACCATACAATGCAGCATTGTCTCGCAGTGTCCTAAGGCAAGGTAATGAATCGTCTCCCACGTCTCGTCTGATTATCTACAATATAATTATAACCTCAACTGATCTTTATCTAAGGGCATGTATATAGATATTTATATATATCTAGGACTATTCTCAGAGCATCCCAAGGACAGGAATGGTCGAGACAGCGCCTCACCCCTGCACATGCACGTCTTGCACCCAGACTCCCGGATCGGGCCAAATGATTCGGTGGCGTTCCGGGCCAGAATACTTAGGTAAGGTATCTTACTTAAGGTACACCGGAGATAACAGTCGTCCGGGGAGAAATGGCGAATCGTCATTGGTGGTTCAGTGCCATGCCTTATCTTCAACCCCGGCCGGTTGACGGAACGCTTTGTGTCTTATCTATCGTGTCTTATCTGTCCCCCCTTTTCGTTCCCCTTTCCCCCCGTTCACACGCGACGATGCCACCTTCATGCTGCCGGACCCGGCTGCCGTACCGATTCTATGGACGTAGTCTCGGGCCTGGATTTAGCTCAGTAACTAGCAGGAGACCTACCGGTTGGTTCTCGAGCCCATGTGGGGAAGCAACTGATTCGAGGCAATTGTCATTTAACGGGCTAACTCCCCGGTATTATGTGAAGTCATTGCTAATGAAGACTCGAAGACTAAGATCCCCAGAACGCCCGCAGCCCGCATGGATGGACGACACTCCGGAGACGCGCCTTGCTAATGCTGTTGTTTCCTTCCCCCCATACAAACCAACGTACCTCGAGACTCCCGCTCTCTTTCGTTATCTGTGCTGTCTTTGCCATCCGTTATCTTGGAGGCGAACTACCTCGACCTCACGGCGGGGCGCCATGATATGCTCAATGGCACTGATTCACTGATTCCATGTCAGTGCGGATTGTTCCGGGATCTGACGCTCAATACCGTATGCGTCGAGCAGTCTGTGGTGGGTGTGAGGTGATATGCTTCCTGCACTGTCTTGTAATTTACGTTTCCATGTCGAGGTGTCGGGAGAACGGATATATCATATCAGTGATGTTGGATCTGCGTGATGCAGCTCCTCGTCGTTCTTATAGATACAGCATGTTCGCTCACCCTTGTCGTTGTCGATGGCCTTGCGTCTTCATATATCACCTTCTTCCTTGGTCTCCCTATCAACATCCTTCATTCGACCTAGCAGTTGACCTCAAGCTGAATCCTACCTGATCCGTCACGACCCAACGAACCCCTCTGTCTTTACAACTCAGCTTGACCATCCCGGGACCCGTGGCACATGGCAGAACTATCCGACAAGAAGGTCAAGGCCGTCGAACCGACAGGCGATGACGACCGCCAAGTAACACTAGCACACACCACCGCCGAAGTCGTTCTTACCAAAGATGGCTTCGCTGTTCATCCTCAGCCCGTGCAGGGCGACCCGCTGGATCCCTTGAGCTGGTCCTCCCTCCAGAAGCACACCATCCTCGCCATTGTCATGTCCCTGTACGTTGCTGTCCGAATCCTCGGATGCACCCCATGGAGCCCATACCACCACAGTATGTTCTATATATTAACAGAAAGACACACGCAGCTACTTCATGTTCACCTACATCACCACCACAACCGTCCCCTCCTTCCCCGACCTCGAAGCCCACTACTCCGCCACCGCCGAAGAAATCAACTGGACCGTCGCCATCCCGGCGCTCGGCCTCGCCTTCGGCCCCCTCCTCTGGTCCTCCCTCGCCGACATCCTCGGCCGCCGCCCCATCTTCCTCCTCGGCACCGCCATCGCCCTCGCCTCGACCGCCGGCGCCGCCGTGGCCCCCACCTACGCCAGCTACGCCGCCGCGCGCTTCTTCCAAGGGCTCGGCGTCAGCCCCGCCGCGACCGTCGGGCTCGCCATCATCAACGACGTTTTCTTCGCCCACGAGCGCGGGCAGAAGGTCGGGCTGTGGGTGCTCGCCATCGATACGGGGTTGTTGGCGGGCCCGCTGGTCGGCGGGTTCGTGCTGCACGCCGGCCATGCGTGGCTGCAGTGGCATTGCGCGGTTTTGTTTGCGGCCATTCTTGTGGCGGAGGTTTTGTTCCTCCCCGAGACGCTGTATCCGCGCGATTTGATGCTGAGTCGGATGAGGGCCGGTGGTGGGGGCGGTGCGGCCATGCGGCGGAAGGGGGGGTCGGCTACGGATGAGATGCTGCCCGAGGCGGTGGACGATCACGAAAAGGGGTTGGTGGATGTGGGGGCCGACGTGAGGAGAACGAAGACCCTGAGGTTCGTCCATGGCACGCCCCTCCCCGGGATGAAGCATCCTAAGCCTTGGGATACGGTGGTGCGGTTCGTCAAGACGTTCAAGTATGCCGTCGTTCCCTTGACCGTGGGCACCTACTGCTTTGCGTGGTACTGGTGGGTGTTGTCGGTCATCACGCTGGTGCCTGTCGCCTACGGTGACTTTTCGCCGCAGTCTCAGGGGTGAGTCTTTATATCTCCATGGATACGCACATGAACACGTCAACACATGAACACGTCAACACATGAACACGTCAACTAACCCCCGTGTGCTATCTTTAGCCTCCTCTTCATCGGCCTCATCGTCGGTACCCTCATCTCCGAAGTGCTCTGCTCTGGTACTCTGAGTGACAGGCTCGTGATCAGGCTGGCCAAGCGCAACGGCGGTGTCAAGACGCCCGAAATGCGGCTCTGGCTGGCCTACCCGGCGGCGATCCTCACGGCAGTCGGGCTGATCCTGTGGGGTGTCAGCGTGGATAAGGGGCATCACTGGATGGTGGGCCAAGTCGCCTTTGCTCTGTGTACGTCTTATTATTTCCCGTCTTTCTTTCTTTCTTTCTTTCTTTCTTTCTTTCTTGAAGCCCCGACTAACACGGTCAGTCGGCGCGGGCATCCAAATGGGCAACACCGCAGTGTGCTCGTACATCGTGGACGCCTACCCCCTCCAAAGCATGGCGGTCATCGTGTTTTACGCCTTTTCCCTCAACCTCTCCGCCTTTGTCGATCCCTTCTTCATCCTTCCCTGGCTCGACAACGTCGGCTTCACCTGGACCATGGCGGGGCATGCCATCATCACCATCGTCTTTTGCGTCCCCATATTTGCTCTCGTGCATGTGTATGGGGGTCGGCTGCGCGAGAAGAACGGGGAGCCCGATTGGGTTAACCCGGAGTTTGATCACGATATTGTGACGGAAGATGTGGTGGTGGGTGAGAAGGAGGGCTGAGTTTGTGAGTTGAGAGTTGTTACGTTAGTTGAGTGTAGAAGAATGCCTCGGTGGCGATGAAAGATACCCGCGTTATAGTTGCAATAAATTAATAAATCAATCAATAAGAAAAGAGACAAGAGAAAGGAGATGACGGGATGTTCGAGGACGAAATAAAAAGTGAAAAATAATCGTTGTTCGTTCGGGAGACGTCGAAAAAAGGTTGCGAGTCGGGGACGTTGGAATACAGTAACACGGTGTTGGTGTAAGTGATTTGAAGCCACCATGAAAGAATCTCGCCTGAAAGTCTTGGTCCTCAGGAGGATTCGCTCCGAAATGTCAGCCTGATGGGTCTCCGACTCTCTCTCCCGACTTTTCCATCTTGCTAATCAGAAAGTCGGGATCCTGATATGACGTCGGTGGGCCACTTTAACACCACATTGGGAACATCTCGATGGAGATGTAATGGGGGTTTGATGGGGGTTTTGATGGAGATTTGATTCGGTTGGATGGAGATTCGGAGCTTTTCCTTCGTCGTCTTGTCCGGACGATGGAGGCTTGGAACCTCCAACGGACCCAGTTGACCCAGTTCACACGGCGGCAACGAAAGAGTTTCCACTAATTATGGGACTGACCATCTTGCTACGTGTATCATCATTGCCATCATCTGGGTAGATGGCGAAGATGGCAAGTGAAAAGCTTGTGCTCTCAGCTGAGTTGATGCCCTTAAGACCGTGTTGTCTATAGATATAAAATCCCCCTTAAACCACTTCTCACTTCTAAGAAGTCAGATGTCCGACAACCGATCAAAACCAAACCCACGAGCAAACCCATCTTCACCTTGGCTTGTCTCTAAGTGCACCCCCTTGAGAGTTCCAAAAGACACCAAGACTGGAAAAGGCAGGGGACCACTACCAAGTTTGGCATCACATCACATTAAGATGCGTCTCGACCGAAGAAAGCCTCCCGAAAGCCCCCTCGCCACCCTGATGCACATTTTCAACCGTCAAAAGAGGTCAGATACGCAAAAGTCCAAGTCAGACTCACTACAAGCCCAAGAACCGGTGTATCTCAACAAACAAGGCCATGTCGACTTCAAACCCGGCGACGCAAGGGACCCCCTGAACTGGTCCTCCCTCCGGAGGTGGTACATCACACTCTGCACCGTCCTCCTCGTCCTCAACGGCAACCTAGCAGCCAGCATTACCTCCGGCTGCCTCCCCTCCCTCTCTGAAGACTTCAGCGTCTCCGAAGTCGCCGCCAGCCTGACCATCACGCTCTACGTGCTAGGCTACTGCGCGGGTCCCTTCATCTGGGCGCCCGTATCCGAGTTCTTCGGCCGGTCGCGCATTTTCTACGTGACCTTCTTCGTCTTTCAGGCCTTCAACCTCCTCTGCGCCTTCTCCCCCAACTTTGGCGCTTTACTCGTGGGCCGGTTCCTGGCGGGTACGTTCATCTCGGCCACGCTGAGCAACGCCCCCGCCATGCTGGCCGACCTCTGGGATCCCATCGACCGGGGCAACGCCATGGCCATCTTCTCGTTCATCATGTGGATGGGACCGTCCCTGGGCCCCATTGTCGGCGGGTACGTGCAGCTGCGGTTGGATTCCTGGCGGTGGGTTTTCTACATCATCCTCGCCTTCGGGGCCGCGACCGTGCCGTTCCTCTTCAGCATCCCCGAGACGCACGCGTCCACCATCCTGAGGAAGATGGCGAAGAAGGCACGCGAATCAGGCAACCCGGAATACGAGCACGCCCAGGCCGACGCGGACGTGGATAGGCCTACGCTGACGGAGATCTACAAGGTGGCCTTCACGCGGCCGTGGTACCTCTTCGCCGACTTGGTCTCCCTGGTCTGCGCCATCTACCTCGGCGTCGTCTTCATGCTGCAGTACATGCTCTTCAGCATCTACCCCATCGTCTTCCAGGACATGCGCGGCTGGGACGCGGGCGCGGGCCAACTACCCCTGATCGGGACCATCGCGGGCGCCGTCCCCGGCACGATCCTCATCTTCATGGACACGCGCCGCCGGCGCAAGCTAGTGGAGAAGAACGTCCGCCTGGAACCCGAGGACCGGCTCCTGCTGGCTGCCGTCGGCGGCGTGGGGTTCCCCGTCGCCATGTTTTGGCTGGCCTGGACGGCGCAGTACAACGCGGCCCCCTGGGCCATCCCCGCCGTGGCGGGGGGGTTCCTCTCCATGTCGCTGATGCTCATTTTCGTGGCCTACCTCAACTATATCGTCGACTCGTACCTTCACTTTGCGGCGTCGGCTGTGGCGGCGAATACTTTTGCGCGGCTGCTGGGGAGTGCTTCGGCCCCGCTGTTCACCAGGGCCATGTTCGAGACGCTGGGGGTTGGTGGTGGTGGTTCTCTCATTGGTGGTGTTGCTGCTTTGCTGGCTGTCGTTCCGTTTGTGTTCCTCAAGTACGGGAAGCAGATCCGGGTCAAGAGCAAGTACGCGCCTACAGATGATGAGGAGAGGGACGAGCGGAATGAGGAGACGGGTCCGATGGAGTATGGCGTTGCTCAGTGGGAGGAATGGGAGGAGGAGCATGAGGAGAAGGAGAGGAAGAAGAGCCTGGAAGAGCATGACAAGGCGGCTCGAGAGGCCGAGGAGGGAGAGGCAAGTGGTCTGGGGAACTAACTCATTGGAAGAGGAGGAATCCATCAGTGGTTTTTTTCTTTTCTTTTTTTTTTCTTTTTCTATGAGCACCGCATGAGCAAGCGCCTGGCAAGGAGTTTCGAGAGGCCGCACAAAAGATGCCATAATGAGCGATTTTATGGAGAATGAATGAAACATGAAGCCACTAATGAGCGGCGAGTCCTAATTGGAAGACCGAGCGAGTCTGTGGTCTGCCTGTTATAGGAGGGGATGACCTACAGAGAATAGGGGCGCTGTTAGCTGCAGCAGCTGACCACCTGATGATGCTCCGCCTCACTTGTGCGACCGTTGACACCTCTCCTTCATATACATTATACGCTCTCATACCCTCAAGCCGTAGCAACTAACACAAACCAACAGACTGAAAAGCCTGAATCGTCAGCTGGTCCCTTATTTAATCTTGAACTGCTTGAGACCTGCATCCCCAAGCCCCTGAGCCCCTGAGTCCTGAGTCCTGACTCCCCCTGACTTCCCCTCACTTCTCCTGACAGCTCAACAATGCCGCTCTTGTCCCAGACGACGAACAACGCCTGCCCAACCTGTCTGTCCCTTCTTCTCAAAGACGACTACGTCGACAATGGTCTCCGTATACCCTTGTCCGAGCTCCGAGCATCGGCAACCAGCACATCCCCATGTTCTGCCTGCCTCTTGTTATGGCAAGCCGTCTGCACCGGCATGAAGCCACCAACACAGAGACCTGACATGGCCTACCGGTCGATGCGGCTCGAAGGCAGACCTCTAACCTACTGGGATCCATTGGTTATTCACGTCTATCCTGATCGTGTTGCGTGGGGCAAGACTGTCCAGACGCTACAGTTATACATCACCAACGGTAAGCACCCTTGATCTATCCCGTATATAGGGCCTCGCCCACGGTCTCAGGGGCTGTTCTTGGTCTGACTCCGAGTGAACAAAACAACAGATGACAAGCCCACGCCCTGGAAGCTCATCGGCAGAGGATACCACATTTCCGAGCACGGCTTGTCAGATAACTGTGTCTCCCTGGCCCGCGAATGGCTCGACATGTGCGTCAACACAAAGGGAAAACACAAGAACTGCCCCCCCGTCAGCATCCCAGAACTGCCAACCCGCGTAGTCTTCGTCGGCGACCACCACTCCACCGCACCCCGACTCGTACTATCCTCACCCGGCCAGCGAGCCCACTACGCCGCCCTCAGCCACTGCTGGGGCGGCAGCACCCCGACCATGACCACAACAGACAACCTCCACCTGTACACCGTCTCGTTGCCCACCGACCAACTCCCCCGGACCTTCCTCGACGCCATCAAAGTTGCCAGGGCTCTGCGCATCGAGTACATCTGGATAGACTCGCTCTGCATCGTCCAAGACTCGCCCGAGGACTGGCAGCGCGAGGCGTCCCGGATGGCCCAGGTCTACGCCAACGCCCACGTCACGATATCGGCCGACGCGGCAGCCGACAGCGCGGCAGGGTTCCTCGACGCCCCGTCCCGGCAAGTGCCCGCGACATTCACCCTCCCGTACAAGGAAAGCGTGGGGGCTCCGGGTCCCGGCGTGGCGCACGTGCGACAGAGGGGGTTCCTGGCCGAAGAGCTGCCCTTCCACACCTGGACGTCGAGAAACGAAGACGAAGACGAAGACGGGAGAGACAGCGACGCCGACTCGGGCCGCAGCAAGCTGTCGACCAGGGGCTGGGTCTTCCAAGAGCGGCTCCTGTCGCCGCGCACGCTGCATTTTGCGAGGAACGAAATGGCGTGGGAGTGCAGGTCGGTCTGCGAGTGCGAGTGTTCGGCCACGTCCCTCCGCACGCTGCGCACCAGGAGCGTCATGAAGCACTTCCTGCAGCCTCCCCATAACGAGGGCGATGCAGATTCCAATGCGAACAGGAATGGGAATGTGTCCTCCGCCGAGAGCAGCTGGAGGGTCGATATCATCCCGGCCTATACGCAGCTCGACCTCACCGTCCAGACGGATCGGCTCCCCGCCATTGCCGGCCTCGCGCAGGCTGCCGAGACGCTGAGACGCAATGATCGGTATGTGGCTGGCCTGTGGCGGAACAGCTTGCGAGATGACCTTCTCTGGGCGGTCTCTGTAAATGCCCTCGGCAAGACGAGTCGCCGCATTGTGGGTGGCGGTGCGCCGACGTGGTCCTGGGCTTCCGTCACGGGGAGTATAACGTATCACATCAAGTCTGGGGCGGAAATGGACCCCGGACTCTCTGTCCTGGACGTCGGAGTCTCTGCAGAAGGACTACGCACTTCGCCCGTTCTGTCTATCCGAGGCCATCTGATCAAAGTAGACCTAGGAACCCCGTGGTCACACAATATGGCGAACGCGACCCCGGACATCGGACTCACGGTAGTTCGGGACGTACTCAACATGACGGAGGACATTGAGGATCTGGCCAAGGCATCATGTCATTACGGCTTGATTTTCGGTTCAAGCGCAAAAGGAAATGGCCCTTTTGGTCTGCTGCTCAGGGGGGGGGGGGATCAGAATCTAATCAGCAGTGGCCAGCCAGACGGATCGAGATCATCTGGTGTAAACATGAAGACACCGTTTCGGAGAATTGGATACGTTCAAGGGTACCGCGCCGCAAGACGAATTCGGCGCTGGGGGAGCGGTGGCTGGGATAGTGACAGCGATGATTTTTTTGACGAGAACGATCATGGGCCTGTATTCACCCCGGGCGGAATGAAAGATGAGAAGAGGCAGAGATGGCTGGAGGGGGTCTTGCAAGGGGAGACTACCACACTAAAGATCGCCTAGATGGATTTGAGGCGCCTGGTTCAACAGATGTGCAGTCTTGGCTGTCGTGGCTGTCGTTGATGCAGTTCGGGAAGTCGACTGAAATAGGGGCTGACAGCACAACACATACATGTAACATAAGGATCCCCTGATCTCAACTGGCTGCTAAGAGTTGAATATAGTATCGCTACAACTATGCGTCTATTTCACTCACGTAGGCCTCCCATCCTCATAACGCACCACAAAAGACTTGGTCTGCAAAATAGCCCTCTCGCTGTGATCATCCCCAAACCCCTGCACCGTCGCCTCCTTGCCCCCCTGGACACTAACCGACACGGCACCCGCATGCCGCCGCCGCCGCCGCCGCCGCTGCTGCTGCTCCTCCTCCTCCAACTCCGGATCCGACCCAGGCCTGGTGCGGGGCATGGTATCAAGATGCATGTCATTCTCGATACTACTCTCGGGGAACGGCTCGTACTGCTTCCGGCCCTTGCGGATGCGGCTCTGGGTGGCGGCGGAGAGGCGGCTGGCGTAGCCATAGCCATTCCCGCCGCCGTAGCCGCCGTAGGACGGGCTGGAGGAGGACTGGCCCATGAGGCGCGGGGCGAAGTGCTTGAAGAACTTGCGCAGGGTGGGCATCGAGCCGCAGATGATGAAGAGGTTGGCTTCGAGGAAGGTCCATAGGTTCGCGAAGGCGGCGTCCCAGGAGGGGTCGTTGCTCACTAGGATGGGGGGGAGGTAGACGAGTCGAACGATGGATGTGGCGACGGTCCTGCAGAATGTCAGTCTTTGGTCTTCGTGGTGATATGAAATATCCCCAGCCTTCTCGCCGATGTCCACATACATAGAGCCGATCCCAAAGATGATAATGGCTCCGACTTTCTGCGCCCAACTCATCCGAAGATGAAGAACCATGGGTATAGGCAAAATAAACAGCAAAACGTCGGTGAGGATGTTGGAGACGGCGGTGGCAATGTACAGGACGGCCACGTTCAAGCAGGAACCCCCCTGGTGCCGGAAGTTGAAGGCTTTCTGGACGGGGTTGCAGTGGAAGATCATCAGGAGGGTGAGGACGGCGGTGTACAGGGCGACGATGACGATGCTGACCCAGACGGCTATGCGGAACCATTTCTGTGGCGAGAGTTAGAGGTAGAAGGTCAGGAGAGACAGTTTGGTGAAGCCGTTGCAGAGCATAAAGACGGGGGCCGCGATGTAGGTTGTCTGCACTTGTCCCCTTTACGTCAGATTTTACTTTGTTTTGTTCCACTTGGACAGAAGCACAGCTCTGTAGACGAGACGTTACACGTACCACCGAGTATTCTTCAAATCGGGACAACGGCATCTCCCAAGCGTGGGCACACATGCCTCCTTGTGAGACGGAATCTGTGCAGCATCTGTTAGCTTTGCCTCGGTGTGGCTACTGAGGTCCCGGGTTCAGAGTCTGGTGCAGCCTACAGACAAGGATCGATTGTGTTACTATAGAAGCAGCCTGGAATTCACACTCGTGGTTAGTTTGGAGGACAGAACTCGACAACTGTCGTGGTGTCGAGGACGGTAGGCGGTGGACTGTGGTCAGGGGTAAAGGCTAGAGACTCCCAAGACCACATCACGCTCTCCAACAACTCCAATAGTAAGACGACGGGAATAGGGGACTCACCCATGCGAGAAACATGAACGCTAAAGAAAGAAACACAAACCAGACGTTAGTTGACACATTACATCAGGAAGCATTTGATGATGTGCTTCAACAACACCGCGAAGACAAGAACAATCATACCATCATCAGCCTGTAGCCCCTTGGACAGCCATATCTTGGTGTAATACCTCTGCAACAAGGCAATCAAAGCAATAGGCCCAAAGACACCAAAGATGATGTAGTGTTCGAGCGCATACTGCTGTCTCGGGTTATCAAAGTCGACCACGTAGCCTTCCGGCGGCGGGAGCAGCGTCTCGACGCCGTTGGTGAGGGGAAATCCATTTTCAGACAAGCCAGTGTCAGACATGGTCCAGATGGAGAGGTGTTCTCAAAGAAGGAGTATGACGAGGACGAGAACGAGGACGAGGACGAGAAGCAGAAGCAGAAGCAGAAGAAAGATGAAGGCTCGAGATTTTCAGAGGCTCCCAAGTCTTTTACCAACTCCCCCACAACTTCGGGACAGGAGTGCAGGAGGCACCAGGCGACCGAATACAAGCACAGACAACAGACAGGACAGGGTAGAACGGATAAGAGATGGGGGAGGTCTAAGACAGAGCGCGGATCATATTCTGTTGTACGTGAGTATGGACCACACGAAGTACTGAGTAGATAGAGGTGGTCTTGGAGGTGTGGGATACCCAGCACACCGACTACAGATCGTCATGCACGGAGTAAGGAGTATAGTAGGTAAGGGGAACAGGGGAACACCAAGGCCAGGGAGAGGGAGAGGGAGGTGAGGGACTTTGGCCTCAACTTGCACCTTTGCCAAGGCACGAACCACCTCTGCCGTCTCGGTAAGTAGAAACATTGTAGAAGAAAAGGAAGGAAAAGAAAGAAAAGAAAAAAAAGTGTCTTCGTCTGTTTTCAGTCGGTCAGGGATCAACCACCGATCGTTATAATGTGCAATTTCAGGCAATAATTGGCGTCCCGGGGGTTCGGCGACGGGACAGTGTAGTGTTCGTGTTACCAGCCCAACAGCTTTCCTTGAGTCCATGTCGTGAAGAATTGGTGGAATAACCGAGACGAAGATATAGTCCAGACTCCAGACATCCCCTCGGACGCCTCCCATTCGGCCCGTTCCCTTCATGTTCCCACCAACAGTCACGTCTCTTACTTTGTAGCGCCAACTGACATGACAACCCTACAAGTTACATGGTGGAAAATCCCCTCCCCCAGCGCCCTCGAGGGAAGTCCAGGGAACCTAGTTGAAGCTGAGGAAAAAAGGATAGTCTAGGGGAGACCGGAGTGCCGGAGTGGGCGCCGTCGAGTCTTGGCCCGCTAGGCGACCAAAAGTGGACTTCGGTTCATTAATTCCGACTCCGGGGGGGCGTTTCTCTTCGCGTAAGTTCGTTCGGAAAAGGAAAGGTGCAAAGTAGGGAAGGGCAAGGTCGGTAGTTGACGTGGGGGGCTATAAGGCATTACCTATGCTGTCCAGGGGTCAGGGGTGACGGGACCATGCAACGGTAGCTGGGGCCAGCCCGTTATCTTCCGAGCCCTTATGTTCGCGGCACGGCTTGAATCATATCTATAATATAAGCCCTTGATCCTGGATCCCCTCGTCCTTGAACCCTCGTCCTTGACCTCCCCCCATGGGCTCATCTACTTCCTACCAACAGCAAATACCCGCATACTCTGGGATCATCGGGCCATCGCATCAAAAATCGCCGTCCGCCACTAATACCGAGGTCGTAAGTATGTATTCATGTTGGTAGCTGTGCGCTGTGCCGTGCGTCCTAACCCAGTCATCCTTGGCTCACCTTGGCCCTTGGCCCTTGGCCTTTGGCCTTCCACTCTCGCTGACCAACGACCCCCGACAATCCTTTGTACGAACGACACCTCCTTCGTCCGGATGATGCCGATTTCTACAAGGGAAAGGGGAAAGGGGAAAGGAAAAGATCCGGGAATCGCTCACCTGCATGATCGAAATGAAAAGGACCCAACCAGTATTACAGCGTCTCCATTCCCCAGGCCGACCCTCGTGCTCCTGCTCCTGCTCGTGCTCGTGGGCTGCGGCGCTGGCATGCAGCTAGCCACCTACTCACCGGAAGCGAGAGCACGTTGTAAACCACGCCGAGGGGGACTGAGCAGTGAGCACCCGCCGTCCTTCCCATAAAACTATGCAAAATTGCACATCATTCCCCCATTCAGTGCCGATCTCTTGCCCTCGCCGCCCTCGCCGCCCTCCTTTCAAAACGTCAATTCGTTCGTCAATCAAAGAACCGACATACCGTGTCCGTTCCTCCAAATTAATTCCAACCCCAGGTCGAGGACGCTTCCGTCGAGACAGAATAAGTCAGCAATGAAGTTCCCAACAGGCCTGTCCGTCCTGGCGCTCGCGCTGCGAGGAGTTGCGGCGACCCGAGAAGAATGTCACTGCGTATGTCTTGTCCCCATCCATCCATCCATCCATTCATTCCCCTTTGGCCTTTGGACTGTCGTCAGTTAGTCAGCTAACACCGAGCGTCCCAGTGTCGATACCTAGTCGCCGAGGAATCCCTCCAAGGCAAGGTCCTCTTCGCCGACGACCAGCTCTATGAAACCCGTCTGGCGTCGTACTACTCGGCCAACGCCGCCCTGTCCCCCTGGTGCATGGTCCTGCCCACCAGCACCGCCGACGTGTCCAAGATCGCCGAGATCTTCTCGAGCCACTCGTGTCCCTTTGGCATGAGGAGTGGCGCGCACTCTGCCTTTCGGGGGTCCAACGGCGTCGATATTGGCGTTACCGTTGACTTTGGTAAGTTCATTACACCACCCGTGATGACCCTGACAGCTTCACTCCTTCAGGATCCAGTGATCCACCGTTGACCAAAGCGGCAGCATACCTCAACGGCACAACCTACGATGCCGAGAACAAGATTGTCTCCATCCAGCCCGGCTCCAACTGGGGAGAAGCCTACACCGTACTCGACCCGTACGGCGTAACCGCTGTCGGCGGTCGTGCATCTGTCGTCGGTGTCGGCGGCTTCACTACCGGCGGTGGCGTAAGCAGCGTCGTGCCCTTTTCAAGAACCCCTGGCTTTTTCTCACCATCCCCTATAAGACTTTCCGAGGTCCTGGCTGACGTCCAACCGTAGTATTCCTTCCACACCAACTCCCGCGGTTTCGCCTGCGACAACGTCGTCAACTTTGAAGTCGTGTTGGCCAGCGGCGAGGTCGTCAACGCCAATGCCCAGGAGAACCCGGACCTCTGGAAGGCCCTCAAGGGCGGCTCCGGCAACTTTGGCTTTGTCACTCGGATTGACCAGGGTAGGTTGTTCCATCGAAACAGCATGGCATCTCAACTCGACAACTCGTCAAGACACAAGACAAGACACTGACCAGACCAGCCGTGGTGGAATCGACCCAGATGTGGGGAGGCTTCGCCACCTACGACCAGAGCAAGCGCGACGACGTCTTCCGGGCCTACCTCCGCTTCGTCGACAACATGGCCAGCGACCCCGCCAGCGCCAACATCGTGGCCCTCAACTACGACGGCGCCGAGTTCACCCTCCGCTCCATCCTCACCAACACCGACGCCCTCGAGGCCCCGCCGGCTTTCGACGAGTACAGCGCCATCGACACCGTCGACTCCACCCTCCGCGTCGGCGCCATTGCCGAGCTCGTCCCCGAATTTACTGGTCCCACGCCCCTGGGTCTATAGTGCGTAGAAATGACCCCCCCTCCCCTGTTGTGACCATGAACCAACCGTTCGAGGGAGAAGCGCGTGCTGACAAAAATCTTCAGTGCGAGCTGGCTAGTCGGCATGACCAAGTCCGACTTGGACATCATGGCCTTCATCGACGAGAAGCACAAGGAATACGTCGCCTCCATGACCGCCGCCGCCCCGGACGCCCTGTTCAACATCCTCATCCAGTTCCAGCCCGTCACCGAATCCATCGTCCGCCACGGCGCCGCCAACGGCGGCAACGTCCTCGGCCTCGAGGCCGTCGTCGCCGACGGCCCTGCCCTGATGTGGCTCATCGTCTTCACCGTCGACACCGAGGAGAACCAGGACATCCTCCTCCCCCTGGTCATGGACTACCGCGACGCCATCAACGCCCGGGCCACCCAGCTCGGCGTCAACAGCAACTGGGACTACCTCAACTATGCCTTCGCCGACCAGGATCCCATTGCGACGTACGGCGAGGAGAATGTGCGGTTCCTGCGAGAGGTGTCCGACAAGTTTGACCCGAGCGGTGTCTTTCAAAAGCTTCGCAAGACGGGATTCAAGATTCCTGCTGAAGAAGATACCTGCTTGGACTGAGCACGACATGAGTCGTCGTGTCTATTCATTCGTTGCCCTCCGGGCCCTTTTTTATGTCTTGTTGTACTATAATCTGTACCCATATTATAAGATATGCATGCCCCGAACACGTTTTGTTTAACGGACGGGCTCACTTGCATTCCTGACGCCGAAATTATAACCCTGACGCTAGAAACGGAAAAAAAGAAGAAAAAAAAAAGGAAGAAGAAATCGCTTCACAATGACTCGCGTGACTCGTGCGTGTTTGAAACCTGGGATTAATGGACGCGCAATGACGGCACCTTATCGCCATCGTCAAAAAGGGCCACCTCGGCCGTTTCAAAGTCCCTCGTGGGCGTCTTGTTGGAAAAGAGCCAGTCCAGTTCCTGATAGGTCCGGCCCTTGGTCTCGGGAAGGCGGAAAAAGGCCCAGAGCAGGACGGCGGCGGCCGTGGTGCCCCAGAAGAAACCGGCATAGCCCTTGAGGTCGAGCTGCTGCGGGTTCATAAAGTAGGGCTGCAGGGCGTTGGAGAAGATGAGCACGCTGTAGTAGGCGCTGCGGGCCAGGCAGATGGTCTTCTGGCGCAGGCGGGTGGAGCTGACCTCGGCGGGGATGGACCATCCGAGCTGGCCGAGGGAGAGCTGGAAGGTGAAGGTCCAGACGAGGGTGAGGAAGGCCTGGATCATGCCAATGGCGGGGTGCCGGTTCCATATGTTGAGGAAACCGACCAGGAAAAGGATGCCGCTCATGGCGAACAGGCCGCTCATGTAGATGCGGCGTCGGCCGAAGTAGGGCATGAGGGCGAACCAGTTGACGAGGGTGCCGACCAGAGACATGGCGGTGCCGCCAATGTTGAGCAGGTAGATCTGATCCGTGCTCAGGCCGACCTGTTGGAAGAAGTAGGTCGAGTTGTAGGCGAAGGCGGAGCCGGAGAGCACCTGGCCGGCAAAGGCGACACAGGCAATTTCGGTCCGGCGGGATTCTATGACGTGGAAGCAGTCCCTGTAGCGGGTTCCGGCGGTGATCTTCTTCTCCTGCTCGTTGGTGTGGATAATGCTGGCCAGGGTGGCGCCGACGCTGACGTTCCTGGCCGAGCGGCTCTGCAGGCGGCGCAGGGAGCTCTCGGCTTCGTCGATGCGGCCCTTCCGGACCAGATGCCAGGGCGACTCGGGAGCGAAGAGGAGGAGGGGGATGAGGAAGGCGGGCCAGATCCACTGCAGGGCGAAGGGGATGCGGTAGGCCCACTCGTCGGGGCGGGAAACGAGGCCGGCGAGGACACCGGCGGCAATGAGCTGGCCGATGATGAAGCACATGTTCGTCCAGGAGGTCAGGTAGACGCGCAGGCACATGGGGAGGACCTCGGAGGCGTAGGCCGGGGCGGAGGAGGCGAAGATGCCCCAGGGCACGCCGCAGAAGAGCTGGCCAAACATCAGGACGACGATGCTGTCGGCGAAGAAGGTCATGCAGACGAAGCAGGCCAAAAGGGCGAGGGAGGCGACAATGACGCGCTTCTGGCCCAAGGTGTCGACGAGGAAGCCGTTGAGGAAGACACCGGCGAAGCATCCGATGGTGCTGGCATTGCCGAGGGTGGCCTGCCAGCCGGCGGAGAGCTGCCACTGCCCTTTGTCGTCGATAAATTGGCCATATTTCTCGGCGAAGGCCGGGTAGGCGAAGAAGTTGCCGATGAGAATGGCGTCATAACCTGCACGGTGTGTAGGCATCCAATGTATTGTTAGCATGGCATGACAGGGAGTCGGAGCGGTCATTCGTTGAACAAGACAAAAGGGGAAACGTGCCTTCCATAATGACACACATGGAGACCACCAAGCTCCAGAAAATGGCGGATGGATAGGCGCGGATGGCCTCCAGAGGCGTCATGGCATGCTCGGCAGCCATGGCGGCCCTCACCCGGTTTTCGACGATGGCGTATGGGTCGGAGTCTGACGCGCCGTGGTCGCCGTGACCAGAAGCGAGAGGAAGGAGTTCGTCGGAGAGTAGCGCAGCATGTTCGTCGTCTCGGTCGGACATGTTGGGGGATCGACTAGGAGACGGGGCAACAGGAGGAGCTCGACCACCTCGACCACCAGCACCGTCATCGGCAGCGGTACCTTCATGATCACCGTCAACGTGCGCGTTACGGGACGGAGACGCGATGGTGATATGACCCAAAGCGAGAGGAGTGATTTCGGTGTCGGAGAATAGCACGGCGGCATTCTCGTCATCTGGGTCGGTGGCGTTGGAAGACGGATTGGCCGAGGGAGCAACGGGGAGAGACCGGTCAGCTTCACCGTCACCACCGTTTCCGCCGCCATCATAGGATGGGGACGCCATTGGTGGCAGTCGGAACAGGCCGTGACGCACCGAAAGGCGCGAAGAGCCGTCAACTTGACGGAGTTGGGAGGTAAAGAAGGTAAGTATGTCAGATGAGTCTGCACCGTTGTAGGAAAAGGAAACGGCCTGTGTTGATTGCAGCGAATGGCTGTTCGTTGTTGAAGGCGTACAGTCGGGGGACACGAGGGATATGAAATGGCTGAAACTACAAACGCAACGCGACGATAGCCTGAGACTGAATAAGCGCAACGGAGTTTCCAGCGATTGTCTGACGTTCGGGATAGGATATGTTCGGTGACAGTTGAATGTCGAGAGCGAGCGAGACAAGGCGGTGATGATTTTCCAGCAAGATGTTTGGAGATGAACGGGCGAGACATGAAATTACCTTAGGTACGAAATACAAAGTACAAAGTACAAAGTACAAAGTACCCGACAGGTGGGATTGGCCGTTTGGCCATGAGATGAGCAGATGAGCTAATGAGCTAATGAGCTACCTTATGTATGGGATTGGGGTGAGTGGAGACGCAGACGCAGACGCGGGCAGGTTAAGGTTTAGTGGAGCGTTCCAGATAGGTGGCGTAGGTTCTTGACTTGTTTGCACTTGATTTGGTAATGGAAAGAGGGATGAGGAAGGGATGAGGGGAAGCCCGAAAGACAGGTAGGTACCTAGGTATCCGTAACTACCTGGTTTGCCTCATAGTCGGGAGAAGGAGAGCTGGACGCCATGACCACGGGGTATGGCTCTGTGTCATAAAGGTACATGTCCGTGTCCGTGTCCGTGTCCGTGTCCGTATGTTCTGAATTGTCGCGATGCTCCCGGTACAACGTACTCGGGAGTGGGACGCCCTGAGACGCTCGGGGTCGGAAAACTCCCACTTGATCGCAATGGATGCTTGATGCATGCGTCGCCGGTGTCCGATATCCGACGTCCGACGCCCGACGTCCCCTGTCTCCACTACAGCGGTTTTGACATGTTCATACTGGAGCCATGAGTCGGATGCATTGTTTCGTGAAGAACTCAGGAGCCGGCATGGCGGAATATTTAAGTCGTGCCGTTACCCATCCCGATCTCCTCCCCTCCGTGTTGGGACGTCGCAGTCGCAGTCGCACTCGTTCTTTTCTTTCCTGGCTCTTCATAGTACCAAACTCGAACGATTCGGTCCGATCCCGACAGACACCGACATGATTCAGTTAAAGGCCCAATTTATGCTAATTACAGGGTCGTGTCCCTGAGTCGATTAAGCTCGGACAATTCGCTCCGATCAATTCAATTTGGTCGTTTTGGTCGTTATGTTCTTAACATGGCAACGGGGGCGATATTCTCTCGAATTCCCATGCCTTTAGCCTGAATACACCCTGAATCTGTCCGAAGCCACAGCTAGCCACGGGACCTTGTCACCAGTGACCATAACCATAGCCACAACCACCACAACCACCACCACCACCACCTACGACGACCCAAATGATGGCCTTGAATAAGGCAAGATCGAAGGGAGGAAAATGTCCAAGGTAGGTGTCGGGTGACTGGGGGAGGTTTGGTACCGGTACAGGATGCTACCAATGGGGACGCTGGATTGGCGATGCATCATGATTTCTTTGGGCGAAACGGCATAATGGAAGCAACGACTCCGTCTGATCTTGCCCTAAAAACTTGGGTCCACCGTCTACCCAGAGGCATTTTCCTCTTCCCTCGGCTCTGTGCTGTTCTTTCTACCTTTCTACAGTACCTTACCTTTCTACTCCGCTCCCTCCGTCCGTCACGCCTTCCACCCGCATTCTACACTGTACCTTGTACGTACCGAATCTCCACTCCTCCACATTTACCCTTTACCCCACAACCGCCTGAACAAGTGAGTGAGCCCCTTCAACGAAGCGTCGTCCGATCTCGCGTGAAGTTCCCCTCTTGTCTTGTCTCTTTTTTTTTTTTCTTTTTTTTTTTCCTCCTCTCCAACCACTCCAACCACTCATGGCTCGTTTTTCCCGCCAGCAGCGCCTTCGCCAAAACCTCTCCACTGCAATCCATCGCCATCTGCCCTCAAACTGACCTTTCAGCGTCAATTGAATCATCCTAGGTTTCGTCGCCTTAGGCAAGCTCCGTCAGTCGTCATCGAGCAGGCAGAAAGGGACCTGCTGAGGTCCACGTGAATGATGCGACCAGCGCGAGCCTCGCCCAAGAGATGAGATACTCAACAGCCTGCTCCGCTTGTCGGTAAGCTTCCTTTTTCCCTTTTTGCTTTTTCCTTTTTCCTTTTTCCTTTTTCCTTTTTCCTTTTTCCTTTTTCCTTTTCATATATATATATATATATATATATTTGTTGTCCTCTTCCTCTTGGCCCCTGCTTATCGTCCCCGCCCATGTCTCGCCATGATCCAGGACTCGGAGGCGGAAATGCGAGGTCCCCGTACCAGGTGCTCAGTGCGTGTACTGCGCCACCCAGAACATCTCCTGTTCCCGTGCCGGCTCCGTCATTCACCCCAGGATAAAACATCCGCATCCTCACCCTTATCAGCGCTCGCATCCACATCCGAACTCCAACCCCACGAGCCCTGTGTCTCCAGCTCCTCCGATCGCCTCTCATGTCGTCCTCCCTCAGCCTCGTCATGATCCGACTGCGCCAAGGCTTCATGTCGGACAGGCCACCGCCAACCTCGCCCACCTCGCCCACCTGATAGACCCAGCAACTGTCGCCTCTTCTGTTCCCTCCGTTTCCTCGGCCCAATCTCCCCCCTCCGCTCCCTCCGCCCCCAAGCCCCAGGTCATCTCCCCGGCCGCCGTCGTCCAGGACAAGGCCCTGTGCTTCGAGCTCGTGGAACTTTACTTCAAGTACATCCACGACCAGCTCCACTCCCTCTTCCACCGACCCAGCTTCATGCTCGATCTCCACGAAGGCACCGCTCCTCTCATCCTCGTCTACGGCATGATCGCTCTGTCGGCTCGCTTTTCCTCGAATCCCGTCTTTGCCGGCATCCCTCGTATGGCCCGCGGGGAGCAGTTTGCTACCGAAGCCAACGTCCTCCTGAACCTGCGCGATGTGTCCCTGGCCACCATCCAGGCGTGCGTCCTGCTCGGCGCCATCAGCATAGTCGAGGGAGAGGCCGCCGCCGAGTCGGTCTTCTATGCCGCCGCCTGCCGTATTGCCAACTTTCTCGACTTGCCTAATATGCCCACGCCAGATCCCCTGCAGCGGGAGATTCACATCCGAGGTGAGCATCATTCATCTCGCACCCGTCGTCTTGGGTCTTCTTGTCCTTGGGACCGTGGAAACAAAACTAACCACACGCTACTCCCTAGTGTACTGGTCGCTCTGCATGATCGACGTTTGGTCGTCCACCGGCGTCAACCTCCCTCGCCTCATGAACCGACGCCATGACGTCCCCCTGCCCATGAACGAGTCCACCTTCCTGAACATGAGCCGCGCCAGCAGCAACCCCTTCGACTTTATCCTCTCTCCCAACCGCGAAGACTCCCTCCTCGCCCAGAACATCAAGCTCAACGGCATCCTCCTGCGCGTCAACGACGCCATCAAGGCCCTGACCTCCGACTCGACCGTCACCAACATCGACGAGACCGTCTCGGCCCTCTCCCAGGAACTCAAGGCCTGGGAGATCGCCCTGCCCCCCACCATCCGCGACACACCTTCCAACCTGCACGCATTCGCCTCCCAGGGCCAGGGCCGCATCTTCATCGCCGTCCACGTCAGCCACTACCACTTCAGCCAGCTCCTCTTCTACCAGTACCTCGACGAGCAGCGCCGCTACCCGGACTCGCCCACCGCCCAGGCCTTCGCCCGGAAGTGCAAGGACAACGCCGTCGCCCTCTCCCGCATCATCGACCTCGCCAACACCACGCCGGGCTGCGACTGCTTCTTCAACATGCTGGGCCACATCATCGTCATCACCTCCTCCGTCTTCATCCACACCCTCCTCTTCGAGACGGACGAGGCCGAGATTGCCGCCGCCCGCGCCCAGCTGGAGCGCAACTTCAACTCGCTCGTCACCCTCCGCCAGTACTGGCCCGCCCTCGAGGTCTGCTTCGCCCGCCTCAAGACCTTCCACGAGCTGTGCCGCAAGAGCACCGACGACACCTACCGCATGGACCGCTGGATGCTGCGCTTCCTGACCGAGTTTGCGCGGCCCATTGACGAGAGGGAGAGGGACGAGGAGGCCAATGTGGACCGGTGGAGCATTGGCAACATTGGCATCAGCCCGGAGAACTGGGCGTAGGGGGGCAGTTTTTATGACGCAAAAGATGATCGAGATATGGGATACGACGAATGACTTTGCTCTTTAGCGTCCAGCGAATATTGCAACACAAAGAACGGAACTCGGAGACGATATGGAAATGATATGGTGGCTTGGACACTGAGATACCTGGGTGATCTTTGAGGGCGGGAGGATCTTTCATCTTGCGAAGACGAAGTGCCCTTTCGATTCATAAAGGGATACATATTTTCATCTCCTTTGAGAAAATCAAGGCTGGGCCTTTTTCCTTTCCTCTCTCATTTTTTTGCCTCCCTTTTCAAGACCGCGCCTCCTAATCCAAAAGCAACGCAAAGGTAAACCCCTTGTCCGCCCGGAGTTGGTACTCGGGCAGCGTATCAGGTCCGCACGAACCCGTCCCGAGCCCGTGATGCGCCCAGTCGAGCCTCACCAGCGTGTCGTTCCTCCTCCGGCCATGCAGTTCATACGGGTGCTCGCAAGCATCCAGGTCCGCGGTCGCGTAATGCGAAGCTGAGAAGGACGCCCCTTCCAAGTCGCCGAACCGCGCTCGCAGGAGCCGTTGTAGCTGTGGGGTCCCTGTCCCCTGGTTACCAGCAGCACCACACGGTCCACACCCATGCCCACCACACGGCCGCCCGAGAAACTCAACCCACCGCACGTCAGTCCGGTTGCCCCCCTCCTGCGGGAACTCGTAGTCAACGAATAACTCGTCAACGCTGCGCTCCCACGTCCCGAAAGCCTGGCTCATCTTCTTATCGCGGTAGCTTTCCCCGGGACCGCGCCCCCACCAGCGCACTTTCGCCACGCCGCCCACCCCCGCCGTGAACCCGATCCGCGCGAACGTCGTCGGGGAATGCAGCGGTGACGCATGCGGAGGGGGTTCCGCTTCGAGGGCGATGTGCAGCTCGTCCCCGCGGACGTGGTAGGTGGTTACGAGGTCCACGGCCCAGGAGAGGGCGGGCGGGGCGATTTTCGAGCGGATTTGTATGTGGAGACCGTGGCGCTGCGTCGACGACGACGACGACGACGACGAGGACCACTTGACGTCCTGGACGTGGGTCTCGGTCTGGTGCAGTCTGCTTTGGTGCCATTCTTTCCCGAAGCGGCCGCCTCTGTCGTTGTCGGTTAGGGCGCGGTAGAGGTCGATGGTGAAGGGCGCGGTGAGGAGTTGGTGGCCGTGGCGGGTTAGGCTGGCGAGGGTGCCGAGGGGGAGGTTGAAGCCCCATGTGGTGGAGCCGGAGGCCGAGGTTACGGAGAGGGTGGAAGGGGAGTCTTGCGTGATGGATACGGCGCCGGGAGGGGGGGGGCAGAGGAGGGGTTTGGGAAGAGGAGCGGGTTTGGAGAGTTGGAGTTGGGCCCATGCTACTTGGCGGCCGGCGAGAGCCCAGTTTGTGGGTTGGGAAAGGGTGAAGCGGAGGTGGAGATACGATTCCCGTTCTTTGTGAGGCGGGCTGGGCAGATTTGGGAGTCTCAGTACTGCTTTGGTGTGTGGCTTTATACCTTTGCGACAGCGTCAGTGGTCTACTTCCGTGTTCTTGGGAGGAACAAGAGGAAGAGAGCAGAAGATAGATACCCTTGGGAATCTCGAGGTTGGTCTGTGTCATGTCGGTTTTGGCGTCGTCTTCACCTTCGGCGACGATACCATACGTGCAAGTCAAGTGGTCAAGAGTGAGAAAATCATAACGATTCACAATGGTGACCTCGTTGGCTTCCAGGCCCAGTGTCTGCACGGGTTCGATCGCCTTGGCATACTCGACAAGACCGGGGGAGGGTGTGTGGTCGGAGAAACAGAGACCATCCATGACGAAGTTCTTGTCGTTGGGCTCGTCGTTGAAATCGCCGCCGTAGCCCATGTATTCTTCGCCGTCGGGGGTTTTCGTCCGCAGGCCCTGGACAAAAGAAGAAAAGCTCAGCTGCAAAAACAAGGGGTGGGGGGTAACGGAAAGGGAAAGGCAAAAGTTGCAACACGCACATGGTTCGCCCATTCCCAGACAAAACCCCCCATCAGCAGAGGATACTCGTAGAAAGCCTCAATGTACTCCTTGACACCACCAGGTCCGTTCCCCATGGCATGGGCGAATTCACAAAGAACGAGCGGGAGTTTGGCCCCTTTCTGTCTGCCAAAGTCCAGGAGGCCGTCGACGGGAAGATACATCCGGCTATGCATGTCGACCGACTCGGTCTGCCAGTCACCCTCGTAGTGGACAGGGCGAGTGGGATCGAGGGTTTGGATCAAGTCGTGCATGGCCTTGTGGTTCCGGCCGTAGAAGGATTCGTTGCCGAGAGACCAGATGAGGACGGACGGGTGGTTCTTGTCCCGCGCGACCATCTGCCGCGCGCGGTCTAGATAGGAGGGCTCCCAGTCCGGGTTATCCGAGGTGAACTTGGCCGGGTCACCGCCGACACTGACAAAGCCGTGACATTCGAGGTCGCATTCGTCGAGGACCCAGAATCCCAGCTCGTCGGCTAAGTCGCAGAGGCTGGGGTCTTGGATGTAGTGAGAGGTGCGGATAGCGTTGATGTTGTGTCTCTTCATGAGGAGGAGGTCCTGTTCGGTGAACTCGTAGGGCACGGCGCGGCCGGCGTCGGGGTGGTGTTCGTGACGGTTTACGCCTCGGAGCTTGACGGGGTTCCCGTTGACGCGGAAGACGCTGTCGCGAATCTCTACGCGGCGGAAACCTATCCTTTGCGGGACGACGCCACCGGGGATATTTACGAGGAGGGTGTAGAGGTAGGGGGATTCGGCGGTCCATTTGTGAGGGTCGACGATGCGCAGTTTGAAGTGAGAGTGTGTGGTGGTGGTGTCAGAAGGGTCCAGGTATTTTATTTCAAGAGAGATGCATTGGCCATGGGCATCCACCAGCTCGACACTTATCGGGATGGTCTCGGCAATGGTCCCCGTCATGGTAAGGTCGACAACGAGAGTGGCATCGACATAATCGTCGTCCAAAAGGGGCTGAATGTGAAGATCTTCAAGGTGACACTCAGGGAAGGCGTGGAGGTAGACATGGCGGAAGATGCCGCTGAGCCACCACTGGTCTTGGTCTTCGATATAGGAACCATCGCATCGCTGGTAGACTTCTACAGCGAGGATGTTGACATTGGCTTTGTCGGTGTCTTTGTCGGTCTCGTTGCATTCGTTGTCGCCGACACGCGCGAGAGCGGTAATATCAAACTCACTCGGGTTCCGTGACCCCTGAGAATAGCCCACATACAAGCCGTTCAACCAGACGGTAAAAGCAGAATCAACACCTTCAAAACGCAGTCTCAGTTGATGACCGACATAGTGGTTAGGAATGTGAAAAGAGGTGATGTGTCTGCCACATTCGTTGTGGGAGTAGGATACGTGGGGAGGGTCAACGGGAAACGGATAGCGGTAGTTCGTGTAATGAGGACCTCGACCGAAGCCTTGACATTGCCACATGCCTGGGACAGCTATATCATCCCAGGTAGAGGCGTTGAAGCCGGCAATCCAGAAATCACGGGGCCCTTCGAAGGGGGAGGGAGAGAGGCGAAACTTCCATTGACCGGACAGGCAAAGACACTTGGCTTTGGCCGGGTCATAGGCTAGGGCGTCTTCGGCGTTTCCGTAGACAAAGAAGTCGCTCCTGGGGAGGAGAGTGTTGCGATGGAGGACCTGGAGGTTATTCCAGTCGGGGGTTGAGTCTGGAAACTGGCCAAGGGGTCCTGTTCTGGAGGGAGGACTGGGGGCTATGGCGCGACGGACGAGGGTCATTCTTAGTTTTGTGGTGTATTATGTGAAAGGAAAGGAGAAGGAAACAAAGAAAATCACTGAAAATATATGAGAAATATCATCGTGAAATTGACTGTGTTGTTGTTCAATTCTGACTCTAAGGTGGGAGGATGTCGAAGTGGTGAAGAGGTGAAGAGGTGATGAGAAGTGATTCAGTGAGAAACATGTCATATGTGCTGGATGATGACTCATCATTCGTTTGCATGATTGGGAGAAGATGATTGGCTCGCAAAATAGAGCGAGATGCTTAGGTAATGTTCTTTAAAAAGGTACGTACAACGTAGGCAGTTAACTCTCCTCTTCTCCTCTCCGTATTTCCTTCCCCTTCATCTCCATCCCCAGAACATCCCAAAGACCTCGTCGTCCCAGGCCGAGCCATATACTCAATTTTACCCACTACACCCCTATTCGGGCCCTACCTCATTTGTTTTAATTTCTTATTTCTTCTTCGAATTCATCGTCCATTTCTCTTGACAATAATTCATATCCTGGTCTCCCGTCGGTTTACACGCACCGCCATTGGATCGCCAACTCGTCTTCTCATCGTCCCTCGGGCTTGACGTCTCCTCCTGTTGCCGTCGAAATGGGTTTGGCCTTTTCGCAATTTATTATTCGCACAATTCAAAGTCACTTACGACGGAAGAACGAATGAACGTTGATCGGCTTCTGGTGCCTGGGTGTGCTGCGCATCTGTTGCCGGATAGGGTCCCATGGAAGCTCGAATCTCGGAACCAAGCGATTTTCTCTCCCGAATCGGTATAGTTCCAGTTCCCGTCATTTGCAGCCCACCATGGCCCGCTTCTCCGACTGGGCGGTCTTCTCGTCTTGCTGCTTGCAGGGGCGGCCGCAGCTCGCAAATCATCCATTCCCAAACCCAAACCCAGGACGGAGCTTCATTCCCCTTGCTCCCTAAAACGACCTGCCCACACCGTCGTATCTATCCCTGCCCGTTCGTGGGGAAATCGCCATAGATGCTTGATGCTACGTGTTCCCGGCCTGATATCGTCATCCCGTCCCGTTTAGCTGTCCCCACCACCGGTTTATATTATGATCTCGACCCTCCCCTGGTGGATCGCGATGGCTCTCGTCTTGCTCCCCCTCCCTCCTGCCTCGTCCTCGCTTCTCGTCATCCCACGGACAGGCTCAGCTCAAGCTCGGGTTTTCTAGGTCATCGGTCATCGGTCATCGTCATCCTGAGTCTCTGACCGGCCATGAAGCACCAGCTACTTCTCGCAGCTGCGGCCACGGCCTGCGCTGCTTTCGAATGGGAGAACGTTCACATCGGTGGCGGAGGCGGTTTCGTCCCCGGCATTCTCTTCCATCCTAATGCGGAGGGGGTTGCCTATGCCAGGACCGACATTGGTGGCCTCTATCGCTGGAACTCGGACGACTCGTGGACCCCTCTGACCGACAACCTCGCCTTTCATCACAACTGGTATGCGATGCGCCTCGTCTTCGGAAAGTATAAGAGGTCCTCGACTGACTCGGGAAACAGGAATAGATGGGGCATTGACGCCGTCGCCGTGGATCCCTCCGATCCGGATGTCGTCCTCGCTGCTTTTGGCATGTATACCAATAGCTGGTGCGTTTCTTTCCTCTCTCTCTCTCTTTTTTTCTTCTTCTTTTTTTTTTCTCCTTACTTCCGTCCTTCGTAGTCAACTCCAGCCACCGCTTCATGCGCTGACTATACTCTCCCAGGGACCCCAACAACGGCGCCATCGGAAGGAGCGAAGACCGTGGCGAGACATGGACTTTCAGCGAACTCCCTTTCAAGGTCGGAGGCAACATGCCCGGCCGCGGCATGGGTGAGCGCCTCGCCGTGGACCCCATCAACTCCAACATCGTCTACTTCGGCGCCCGCAGCGGCAACGGCCTGTGGAAGAGCGCCGACGGCGGCGCCACCTTCGAGCACGTGACCGCCTTCCCCAACCCGGGCACCTTCATCCCCGACCCCCAGGACCAGAGCGGCTACAACTCGGACATCCACGGCCTCGCCTTCGTCACCTTCGACACCACCTCCGCCCCGCTCGACGGCGCCACCTCCCGCATCTTCGTCGGTACCGCCGACAGTACCGCCGAATCCGTCTACGTCTCGGAAGACGCCGGCGCCACCTGGTCCCCCGTCGCAAGCCAGCCCATCGGCTTCCTCCCCCACAAGGCCAAGCTCTCGCCCGAGGAGCGTGTCCTGTACCTCACCTACAGCGACGGAACCGGCCCTTACGACGGCAGCGACGGCGCCGTGTATCGCTACGACATGGCCACCGGCTCCTGGACCGACATCACCCCCGTCAGCGGCGGGGACCACTTCTTCGGATTCGGCGGCCTGGCCCTCGACGCCCAGAACCCGGGCACCCTCGTCGTCGCCGCCCTCAACTCGTGGTGGCCCGACGCCCAGCTCTGGCGCTCCACCGACTCGGGCGCCTCCTGGACCCCGATCTGGCAGTGGGGCAACTACCCGGAGATGGACCTCCGCTACAACATCTCCGCCCCCAAGGCGCCCTGGATCCAGACCAGTTTTCTGGATGGCGTCACCGAGAAGCTCGGCTGGATGATCGAGTCCCTCGAGATCAACCCCTTTGATAGTGATCACTGGCTGTACGGCACGGGTCTCACCATTTACGGGGGGCACGACCTCACCAACTGGGATGATGCCGACGAGACCATTAACATCCAGTCCCTGGCCGACGGGATCGAGGAGTTCGCCATTCTGTCCCTCGCCTCCGCCCCGGGCGGCAGCGAGCTCCTGATCGCCACCTACGACAACAGCGGCTTCACCTTCGCCTCCGCCGACGACCTCGACGCCCCGCCGCAGTCCACCTGGACCAACCCGCGCTTCGACGGCTCCGTTAGCGTCGACTACGCCGGGAACGACGTGAACCGGGTCGTCCAGGTCGGCAACGTCCGCGGCCAGGAACAGCTCGCCGTGTCGTCGGACGGGGGGTTCACCTGGGGCATGAGTCCCGCGGCCGACACCGACGCGGCCGGCGGCACGGTGGCCTACTCGGCCGACGGCGACGTCATCCTCTGGTCGACCGAGGCGGTGGGCGTGCGGCGGTCGCAGAACGGGGGCGCGCTTTCGTCCGTCTCTTCGCTCCCCGCCCGAGCTGCCATCGCTAGCGACAAGCGCGACAACGATGTCTTCTACGCCGGTGCGGGGGGCACGTTCTACGTTTCGACCGACGGGGGGGCGACGTTCGTGCCAGGTGGCGCGCTGGAGGGCGTGTCGCAGGTGCGCTACATCGCGGCGCACCCGGCCGAGGCCGGCGACGTCTGGGTGTCGACCAACGCGGGCGTGTTCCACAGCGTGGACTTTGGCGAGACGTTCGAGCTGGCCGGGGACATTACGAACGCGTTCCGCATTGCGCTTGGTCGCGGCAAGGGCGAGGCGTGGAACGTCTACGCCTTTGGTATCGGTCCCGCGGGCCCGAAGCTGTATGGCAGTGCTAATGGCGGCGCTACCTGGCATGACGTCCAGGGGGAGATTGGGTTCGGCGCCATTGATGCTAATGCGCTTGCTGGCAGCGGGAATCACCCCGGTCTGGTGTATGTTGGTACCAACGGCAGGGGTGTTTTCTGGGCGGAGGGGGTTGTTGGACCTAAGTGTTAAGGGCTGCCGTGGAACGTGGTCTTGATGCATGTAAATATGTAAGCATTTGAAAACAAAGGGCTGTTGGTATAATTTCTATTAAATTTGAGTCTAGGTCGAGTCCTGTATGCTCTATATCTCCTGTATCACACCCTTGACCGATGGCCTGTCTATGGTTTGTTGCCTATTGTGGCCTCATGTTAAATCCGCCCCTGACGATGCCCTTGTCTTTTTTTTTCCCGTCTTCCCGTCTTCCCTTCTTCCTTTCGTTTACTTTCCTGCATCCACCCCCTCATTCGTCTTCTCATCGCCCGGGTCAATTCTCCCCGCCGCCCCTTCTAATCTCGCCCTCTCCTCCACCGTCAGCTGGCTCTTCGCCTGTCCGGGATCGATAAACACAAAGAGGAGCAAGGCAACCCCAGCGATGCCCGTGGCAAACCAAAAGGCCACCTGGTAATTCTCGCGCAGGCCCAAGTGCGACGTCTGACCGACGGCCACCTCCGCCAAGCCCAGGAAGAAGCTGATGCCCAGGAACAAAGTGCTGTTGATCAGCGCGCCCGCGAGCCCCTGCCACCGCGCGGGGAGGTTGGTAGTGATAAAGACGTTGGTGACCGTGAAGGTGATGTCGATACCGACGGTGGAGCAGACCATGGCAGGGAAGACCCAAGCCCAGTAGTTCGGGTCCTCGGGCATCAGGGCGAAGAGGACCACGGACCCCACGTTCCCCAGCCCCGCGAGAACGAGGAGGACGCGTCCCGGGAGGAGGTGGAGGGTGAACCCGCCCAGGCAGGCGATGACGAGCCCGCCCACAATGAGGGGGACGTACCACACGGCCGTCAGCAGGGGGGACATGTGCAGCACCAACTCGATGTAGAAGGTCGAGTAGAGCAGGAAGACGCCGAAGGTGCCGTAGCCGCAGAACAGGGCGGCGACGAGCCGCTTCATGTGGCGCGGGGCGAAGATCTCGGCGGGGACCAAAGGTTGGACGGCGTAGCGGCGCTCGACCCAGAAGGCGGCGGCGAGGAGGCACAGGCCGAGGACGAGGGGCACGATGGTCTGCGAGCTCGCCCAGCCGTTCGGGGCCTGCGAGCTGTCGGTGAAGGCGTAGACGACGAGGACCAGCCCGGGCACGATGGTGGCGAAGCCGGCCCAGTCCATGGTCAGGGGGGCAGCAGCAGCAGCAGCAGCAGCAGCAGTACCGGCACCACCACCACCAGGCGGCGGGGCGGGGCGCCAGTCGTTGGGGACGGAGAGCAAGGCGACAGCGCATACGACAGCGAGGATGATGCAGCCCAGCCAAAAGTACCACCGCCAGTCGAGGAACTCGCCGGTGATACCACCAAACAGGATGCCGAGGAAGAAGCCGAGCGGGGCGGAAGCGCCGTAGAGGGCGAAGAAGACGTTCTTGCGCGGACCGGGGCGGTAGGTTTGGGCAAGCAGCATGATGCCGGCGGGGAGGAAGGCGGCGGCGGCGAGGCCTTGGAGGGCGCGGCAGGCGATGAGCATGACGTAGTTGCGGCTGAACCCGGCGACGAGGCACCAGAGGCAGAACCAGAGGAGGCCGGCGTTGAAGACGGCGTAGCCGCCGTACATGTCGGCGAGGCGGCCGAAGGGGAGGAGGAAGGAGCCGGCGACGAGGGCGAAGACGCTGGCGGGCCAGGTTTGGGAGGCTTCGGGGATGGAGAGCTCGATGGCCAGGGGGGGGAGGATGACGTGGAAGCCGGAGACGAAGAATTCCTAAACGGTGAGCCAGGGAGCCGAACTTCTAAGGGGGGCCCGTGGGACGTACGGCCATGAGCATGGACCCTAAAAGGGACACGATGAAACCGAGTTCAGCCCACATGGTCTTGAATACGGCGGGACGTTGTCTGCCGAGCTTCTCAATGTCGATTTCCATTTCCGACGGCGGGGTTTCGACGGATGGGGTGGCATGGTCGGCGGGCCGGGAATGGGACCGGGACTCGACATCAGTGGGGGGATTGGGCCCGGCCATTGAACGAGCGGCGGATGATAAATTCGGCCAAGATGCGAGCGATGATCGTACCGTCGTCCGCTGATGGGAGGGGTGCGAGTGTCCTTTGTCGTCTTTATGTAGGGCTCTTCTGAGGGATGCTCATTACAAATACATGTAATGTAACGATACACCACCCAAAGCGCCCGGAGAATAATTATGAGAATCTATTCATCCGAGCTGAAGATAGTCGATCGAGCCGAGTTGGAAAACTGGGTTGGCCCAGGGGAATCAGAACAGGGGGCGGGAAGACTCAAGAGCTCTGGATCCTCTGAGGCTTGAGCTGCAGGTCGGGTTGCCGTCGAGTTCTCTCCATGCAGGATGTGCGGCTTGGGCTACCGTCTTTGGCCCAACAGCCAATTGGCGTGGCAGATAGTCATGCAGTTCTAGTGCTGGTGCTGCCTTGGTCTGAAGGCAATACTCGTTCCCGGGGTCGATCTGGTGAGGTTGATGATGAAGGACGTCGTGGACTTTGGCAACAGTGATGAATGGATTTGTGAAGTACCTTACGGAGTACCGAGCAAGGTACCTGTACCTAAGGTAGGTAGAAATTTGATGTCGACTTTGTCATCCGTAGAGTTACGTAGCTACGTTTGACTAAGGACCTAATCAAAATTCCATACCCGACGCTAATGCAAGCCCTACACAATCATTACCTAAAATGGACTGGATTGTTCTGTGAGCTTTGTCAGCGATGTTCTAGATTGGATTAGCGTCTAGTTAAGGTGGACCGTGCGCAACGGTAGGGGGTGTGATGGGTGTGAGAGGATTGCTGCACTCCACCGCCTCCTCTCCTCGGTGTGCGATTCCGGAGATCGGAGTTGAAAAGCCAGTAACCAATAAAGATGCTGGACGTTGCGGCTTTCGCACACCGAAGCCTGACCGAGGATAGCGAGAACGGCGAGAACGGCGAGAACGGCGAGGACGAATGGAGAAACGGAACTGCACAACTCCCTCAGTCGCCTTTTCCTTCGTACAACGTACTCCGACTCCTTATCTTACTATTGCGCAACCAAATCTCCTCTGAGATCCTTCCTTGACGCCAAGCAGGTTTTCTGGGTACAGCTCTGTGCATCACTGCATCATTGCAATCCTTCATTACGTTGTACTTTCCCCCACCCCTTCTCACCGACTTGACCGAATCGAGCCTCAAGAGTCAAGAGAACCCTGTCCGCCATCTGCAGACTGCATCTGAGGGTCCCCAGCCCTGCGTTACCTTTCCTTTTACCTAACAGATCCTCCTCTCTACCAGCCACTTACGGTGACTTACCCATACTCGTACCACAAACACGACTCACCCCAGTTAAACGCCCAGGCTTGGTGTTTGTCATGGCCAATCCAAGCACCACCTCGGCCACGGCTGCTGCTGCCGCCACCACCTCGCAACAGCGTCCATGGCGTGCCCCGCCCCCGCCGACCAAGCCGTGCCACAACTGCCGCCGCCGCCGTCTGCGCTGCGATCGCTCCTATCCCAGCTGCCACAAGTGCTCCTCCACCGGCCAAGACTGTCTTGGATACGGCAAGCTCTTCAGGTGGGCCGTCCAACCCGTCTCCGTCCGAGGGAAGCGGGCCGAGTCCGACGTCGACGGCGACGGCGAGACGGGGTCCACATCTGCCGCCTCCCGCTCGTCTTTCTCCCCAGATGTTTTCTCTTCGTCCTCCTTCTCTTCGTCATCCTTCTCCTCGTCTACCACGGCATCCCAGTCTCAGCAGCAGCAGCAGCAACAAAGCCACTACTCACAATGGAACCTGGCCACCACCGCCACCACCCCCGTCTCTTCGTCCGACCCTGCCTCCCCAGCAGGTGAACTGCCGCTCGTCCGCTCATGCTCACCCTCACCCTCACGCCCACTCTCACGCTCGCCCTCCCCGCCTGCACCTTGGACACTAGTCGACCCCGTCTTTCAAGATGCGGAGTACCCCTATCGCTACTATCTCTCCTACTGTATGTTGTTATCTTCGTCCTGCTCACTCATCACTCTCACTCTCACTCTCACTCACTCAGTCACCACCTGGCCCCTTATCTTTGAATCCAATGTTCCCTTTTCATTCCTCCGCCCCCCTTGAGATCGACAAGCTGACCTGCCCAGTCACAACCCGTGTCTGCAAAGACCTCGTCTCACACGACATCCCCGAACGTAACCCCTTCCGCGCCCTCATCCCTTTGACAAAGTCCAGCCCACTACTCCAGCATATCATCGTCGCCGCATCGGCCGCCCATCTCTCCAACCTCACCCGTCCGCCCCTCGCTCCGGCCCAGAGATCCGCTCTCGCCAACGCCAACACCAACACCAACACCGCCGCCGAAGCATCCCGCCGTGCCCTCCTCGACGCCCTCGTCGCCAAGCAAAAGGCCCTGCGTCTGCTCAACGAGGCCATCACCAACATCGATACCGTGGGCGGCGACGTCGTCCTCGCCGCCGTTCTCTTCTTCATCAATGTCGAGCTCATTGAGTCGGGGAAGCATGGCTGGAAGGCTCACCTCGAGGGTGCCGGACGCATCATGACTTTTCTGTCGCCCGATGACTCTTCTAGTGATCCTTTGCGTGATTATATATTGTCTGATTGCTTTATGTGAGTTTCCTTTTCTTTTTTCCTTTTCTTTTCTTCCTTTTTCCTTCCTTTTTCCTTCTTTTTTCCTTCTTTTTTTAAAAATTCTTTTTTTAATTCTCTTCCCATTCCCACCTCTGACTTCAATCCTCCAGCTACTATATCCTCGCATCTGCCTTCATGCCCACCGCCCCCGCCCAGTTCTCATACTTCCAATCCGCCCAAATCTCCTCCATCCTCGAACGGGCCGCTGCCAACAGCTACCTCTGCTGCCCGCCCCAAGTGCTCCAGATCCTCCTCGACGCTGCCCGCCTCTCCAACATCCCGACCACCGACGACCACGACTGCGACTGCGACCCCGACGGCTCCGCCCCCCCCTGTGCCGGCGCAGACGCAATCGCCCAGGGCGCCCTCCGCCTCATGCAACGCGCCCAATCGCTCGACCTCGACGCCTGGGCCCAAGACGTCCGCTCCGTGCCCTACCTCCAAAACGTCCCCATCGAGAGCCGCCTGCACGCCGGGTCAGCCCACCGACTCGCCTCGTGCCTGTACATCCTGCAGGCCATCCCCTCGGTCGCCCGCTTCCTGCCCCCGGACGCCGCCGAAACGCTGGAGCGCGACATCATGTTCCACCTCTCCAGCATCCCCGAGGGGGACCCCAACTTCAAGGCCACCACGTGGCCGACTTTCATTGCCGGCGCCGAGGCGCGGGATCGCCACCAGCAGGCCTGGGTTATGAATCGGCTGCAGAGGTTGGTGCTGAACTGTCCTTGGGGGTTCATCTACACTGCCATGGATGCGTTGCAGGTTATCTGGGACATGCAGAGGGGGGAGGGCGAGGAGTCGCGGAGTTGGGTGCAGATGCTCAAGGACCCCGATATGAATTTCTTGATCGTGTGAATGAATGGGCAATAGGAGGAAAACGGGGGAAAGAAAGCAACGAGACAAAGAAAAGATGAAGTCTCACGCCGAACACTCAGAGACGATGGACGGACCGCTCCCCTCGCCGCTTGTTGGGCAGGTTATGCATGCCCAGATTATGCATGCCCAGACTTGACCTCGGCAGCAGCACGTCGCCCATCAAACTCCATCTAGGGTGTTGAGGAGGTCGGCGACAGCGCCAGCCTGGTGAGATGAATGGGTATCTCTGTTCTGCACTTGCAAGAAAGAGACTCCGAAACAAAGATCAAGGGGCATGCCGGACTGGCCGCCCAAGCATCCACTGAGGTGTCGGGTGACGGGTCGAAGGGCCCCAACTCGGAAGAAACGAGAAACACACCAAAGTCGGGACCAGTCGTACTAAGCGTCGGAGCCGAGGCAACACCGAAACATGCGCATCACATCTCGAAGATGACCAGTCCTTAAGCCTGGGCGCACCGCAGCGGCGCAGAGTCCCAGTCAGTGCAGGTGAGTCCAGGTCAAGCCTGTAGCAACTTGTCGCATCCGTGTTCATTGGCCAGTAAATAGCAATCTGCCGATACAAAGAAATACGAATAGCAATGAACTGTGAGGGCCTGAAGAAATCAAAAATCCTGAACAACGTTTTGATCTAACACGGAGACTGAGGAGGAGGAGGATTCCAGGTCGCCTTATGTAAGAGTCGAGAAATAGTAAATTACCTAAGGTAGTACGTTGTACGTACCCATAACGAAGGGCATCCACAGACCGTCGGTAGCCGGAACTAAAAAGCCCGATCACCGAGTTTACCGAGCTCACCGAATCCACGGTCCCAGTTTTCCCGATCTCCGATTTCAATTTCCCCAGCACCATCTTCCGACTCGGACACACGATTCGAATCGGGGCTTATTATCGTGATGGGAGTTCAATCAATTGCCTCATTCACTCCTTGACCCATGCGCGTCTCAACCTTTGTCCCCGCGCGCGATTCGCGTCATCGGCATGCTTGCTTCGCGCTCTACCGCGCCCTCGTCCGCGAGGGCCGCCGGGTTCCTTTGCCCAGCGACCTGCTAAGCTCCGACCCTTCCCATCCGCACAAAGGCCACCCTATCCCGGGGCTCATTCAGAAGCAATTTCGTCGGAACAGGGGCGACGTGAGCAAGAGGCTGGTCTTTGTCGCTTTAACTGCCGGCTACAAGGTGAGCTCCCATCTCCCATCTCCCATCTTCACGTCCCTTCATTCCTTGCCCACTTTCCCCTCCGTTCTTCCCTCTCTACCGGCCTCCGAGTTTCACCTCAATGTACGGAACCGAAACTAATTGATGTGCTCGCACAGTTTCTCTCCATATTCCGCGAAGCGCAGTCCCAATGCTCCGACGCCCACACCAAGATAGTCTCCCTCGTCCGGCCCAGAGTCGAAGCAGCCCGCCGCCACCAAGCCGCAGCCGCAGCCGCAGCCGCAGCAGCCGCCGCTCAACATCCCCCCTCCGACTCGCAACCAAAGCCAAAACGCCCCCCACTCCTCACGCGTCAAATCAGCCCCGACGGAAAAATCACCTACATCCCCACAGGTCGGCCAATCCCCGTCACCGAACTCAGCAAACCGCGGAAAATCCCCCACGTCTTCGTCACGGCCGAAGGCATCCCGTTCCTGCGCATCAAGAAACCGCAGCCGCGGGCCCTGGGCGGGGTGATCCGCGACCTGACGCGGTCGCGCATCAAGTCGGTCGAAGTGGCCGAGGCGCTGCGCAACGAGGGGATCGTGCACGCCGGGTTCGAGGACCAGTGGGAGGACCTCGTGGCGCGGGAGGCGGCGCGCGAGGGCGGGGCGGCGGCGGACCTGCTGGACGGGTCTCGGTCTCGGTCTCGGTCTCGGGGTGCGGTGGAGGACGAACGGAGGGCGAAGTATGCGGGGAGCGTGCGGGCGGCGTTGGCGGCCATGGCGGAGAGGATGCGGCGGTCGAGGTTGCATGGTGTGGCGAGGACGGAGGCGCTGGTTCGCATTGCCGATGAGGAGAAGAGGTTGTTCTTGGAGGAGAGGGCTTATTGGAAGGACGAGCGCAGGAAGAAGAGGCGGGAGGCGAAGGAGGGAGGGTGAAAGCGTTCATTCCCTTGTCAGGAATTCATGCATGGGCAACGGAGGGAAGAGAAAGCCGGCTCTTATCTTGACGGCGTATGACCAGCGTTTCCAAAGGCCCAGGTATCAGGAGAACGAAGGGTCAGCTCCTGCAACGGGAGGTTGTACAAGGTGGGTGCATTGTCTCGCATCTGCCTGGCACTCAGTATGGAGGGGACAGCGGGAAATGCAAGGGAACAGCCAAAGACGACGAGTCGCATGCTCTGGCTAGCATCCAATTTGCGTCGTCGGCCACTGGTGTCGACCAACCCAGGGAAGGGTCACATTTTTTTCACATATACTAACCAACATACACTATGATCCTGGCCTTGTCATACGGATCCTGCGCAAAGAGAAGGAATTGGGAATACACCAGGATCGATTAGAGAATTGAATGCGATGAATAGAGAGACAATGTCCGGTTCTTGTATGGGAAACAGAACTCCCCAAGGATTATCTCTTCGGTTCCCGTTCCCGTTCTCCGTCCTTTGTAGTCTTTTGACGTCGGTCTGCAGGAGACCAGGCCAAGGGACTCGGAGCCTTGGGTCGACCGTCATTTATTGCTGTTGTTGCTTCGTTTCGTTTCGTTTCTAATTTCGTTTTATTTTTATTTCTCACACCTATTCACCGACGAAAGAAAATCTGTAGCTCTCGCCAGCTGTTAGCAGCTGCAGCTGAGGCTGGGAACCCCAGACCCACAAATTCGTCAGGTCCTCTTTCCCATTTGGGAACATGGGGTTGGGACCCACCTACCCCAGGCAGCCATCAGCAAATGGTTAGTCATCGTCACTTTCCCCTTCCTCCTTTCCCAAAACGACCACAGCAACAACTTTCCCAGTCTCACCACCCGGGAGAGCTCAATTAACCATCACCACCACCACTTCCTCCAAGGCCGTACCTCTGGCCCAGCCACCCTCTGACCCTCGAATCACCGTCCCATTACGAGATCCATCAGCAAGACGACCCGTCACGCTTACCGTTTCAATCCCAGACCATCATTACCTCGATTCAGCTGCAGCCAAGTTCCCCGTGCACTTCAATAACAACGCTTCTCTTTATTTGATTGTCCAAGTCACAGTATCTTAGCTTAAAGCTCTATCCACTGCCCTTCTGCTGTCCGCCTTCCTCAGCCTCGCACGACCAAGGAGGACCAGGAACCAGACCCAACCCCCCTTCCAAGTCCCTCCACCGCCGCCGCGATCCTCTTTCTGGCGTCATTCCCGCTGAATACTATCGACCGCAGCGGAATTGGCCCGTCCTACAACTGCCCGCTGGGCAGTCGATGCGCCAATGAGTTCCGAACTTTCCATCCTCAACGCCGAGTCATACAATGACGGCACATCCACCTTTCGCGCCCCTCGGAGTCTGCCGCCCCGACAACACGATGACGCGGGCTCGAGCCCTGGAGCTAACATGACGCCGACGACGGCCTCCATGTCTACGGGAGGGGCTGCGAGTGCGGACGAAGAATCCAGGAAGCGGAAACCGCTTCGCTCTGCCAGCACCGAATCGGAAGAACCTGACAAGAAAAAGAGAGGCCGGCCGAAACTAGATACCAATGATGAAACAGCTCTTGATGTAAGTGTTTTTATCTATTTTTCTTGCCCCTTCTCTGGACCTCCCCGTCCACTCGGAACACTACGATGCTAACCACCCGCAGCGTCGTCGAACCCAGATCCGCCTTGCCCAGAGGGCCTACCGAAACAGAAAAGAATCCACCATACAGTCGTTGGAAGCGAGGGTCAAGGAGCTCCAGGACAACAACGAGCGCATGAATATCGCCTTCATGGAACTCTACAACTTCGCCATCAACTGCCGCATATTCGAGTCCCAGCCGGAATTCGGCCGTGAGCTTCAAGCGACCACCCAAGTCTTCGTATCATTGGCTTCCCGCAGTGCAAGCCAGGACTCCGCAAGGGGAGAGGCCGGGGATTCCTCAGCTTTTGCTCGTCAGCCGTACCAGCTTGGCGCTAGGACTTCGCACAGGCCAGCCGGTGATGGTGGCGGCGGACCGACTTGCAATACGCAGTCTAACGGCCGGGATGGCCGAGGCTCCTCCGACACCAACCATATCGGCGGTCAACGCATTCTCTACGGCGGTATTGTGGTCACCCATGAGCCGGAACCGGAGCCGGAGCCGGAACCGGGACCGGAACCCCAGAACTCGTCAGCTTCGGCCGCCGCTCTGCACGCTACTACCACCACCTCATCATGGTCCTCCCCGCCGCCAGTATCTCAGCCTCCAGCTGCACCGGCCACGGGCTCCTCCCCTACTTCCGCGCAAGCGCAAGCGCACGCGCACACGACGGCCACCCAAGCCTCGGTGCGCGACGCCAGCTTCCCCTTCGGTATGTCCTCTGCGCTTGACTCTGTCACTTTCACCACCACCAACACCAACACCCTCCTCACCAGGAACCCGCAAGCCGCGAGCCTCCCTCTCCTCGCTGGTATAGACCCGTACGCGACGCTGCCGCCGCCGGCCTCGTTCTCCCATCTCGAGCGCACCTTTGGCCGGCGGCTCCAGCGCTTCGCGCTCGAGCAAGCCCTCCGTCTCCTGACGCTCCCGGACCCGCCGCCCACCTTCTACGCCGCCGTGTTCGGCTTCTGCCTCCTCTTCGAATCCCGAGAACGCATCACGACGCGCATTGCTAACTGCCTCAGCGTGAACCAGCGTGAGAACTTGTGCAATTGGCGCTTCCCTTTCCTCCATCTCGGCGGCGCAGGCACCTTCTTCCCCGAGCTAAACAACCTCGACACCGTGGACCTCGCCGCCAGCATGCGAGACGCCGGCGCCGGCATCATCGACCCCGTGGCCGGCATCGACGTCCCGGACGACAGCAGCAACGACAATGTATTTACAGCGAGAACCGATTGCGCCTCCGACGGGTTACCCCTCGGCAACCGCGGAACGGTCGACTTGCACCGGTCCCACCTGGGACGGGACACGCTGTTCGGCCAGGGCCCATGGGACCCGCTGGTGGAGGAGACGCGGGACATGCGCGTCGACCACAAGATGCGCATCACCACGCCAGGCTTCGAGGGGAACTTTTACGACTGCGACGAGGTGGAATGGTACCTGCGGACCCGCGGCATCATCATCTCTCCCGGCGCCGACAAGGTCACGGCCACCATTCCCCTCGATGCCTTCCCGCCCGTACACCACCACGACGCACAACCCGAGCAAAACACGAACTTTGACGCCGTGATTGACAATTCCATCGACGAATGGTTGACCATCAAGGACGGGATGGCGGGTGACGTCAGTAGTCGGGATTCTGTGGGGATACCCACCCCGTGGACCGGCTCCGCGGGGTCGGGGTCGGGGTCGGCGCCGAAGACCCCCGGGTCGGTTTTTTCATCCACGGTATGGGGAGATGCGGCGTTCGGCTCCATGGCCGTGGATGCCCTGGGAAGGCCGATAACCCCTGGGCCGGACAAGCTTACCGTTACTATTGACGTTGCTATGCTGGTTCAAGGTTTGACCAACCCAACCCCCCCTTTTCTTTTTTCTTCTTTTTTTAGAGCAGAACGCTGACATGCAGTTTGTGACAGAACTGGCTGTTCGATCTGTCTGTTTAGGCCGAACCCCCGGGATACGACCAAAGGACGTGAATGCTGCCTTTTGGAGCGCCGTTGTTTTGCAGTGATTGTGTATTTATGATACCTACTCCGTGCCTCTATATACAGCTTGCCAGGACAACCTTGGTCCGAGTTTTTGCCTTTTGGATTTGGAATTATATACCCCGGCGACGATTTACTTGACCATTTACTTTTACCACTTGTTACTATATTTGTGCGTTGTGTTGTCGGAGTTTGCGATTCGTCATGCGTCTCTGTTTCTCATGGTATTGTGTCGTGATGCTTTTCCTATAAGGTAGGCTAGGAGGACATCGCTGCACATAAAAAAACATGCGGTAACATGTCTACTTCTCTACTAGACGCTTAATACGTTCCGGAATATAAGTATCCGAACCACGGGGTAAAGATAGTAAGAACTTCTCTTCCTCGCCGGGTTTCTGAAGAAATGATGATGGGATTTCGTGATCTCTCATCAGATCTCGGATCTAACGTGTAGTGACTGTCAGAATGGCATACCGGTAGTAAAATGCCGTAATAAGGAAATCTGCCCAGGTGACGAAAACTTGGAGCCCTAAAAGAAAATCATTAATTCGAAAGTTCTAGTTATTTTGTTAATAAGGGCTAACTTACATTGAAGCATAGCTCGTTATGCTTCTCTTCGTAATAATTGTAGACTTCGCCTGAAGCCATGATGACTTTGCTAGTTGTTAGGAGAGTATTAATATTGTCCTTGTTATTGATATCCTACTGTAGGCTTTAATACGACGGTAGTTGGACAGGATATTGGGGAAAGGTCAAGACAGAATGATGAAAATACTGTAATACACAAATGGATTTACTTCGTTCTAGTAGACGTGGTCTTCCACATGTATTTAGTATTTGGTATCGCTTTAGGAACTCTTGCTGGCGGTTCTGCTCTGTCAGGAGCTTAGTATGAGTGTTTAGCTCTGAAACGCAACGTTGCAAAGAGGCAGTCGGTGCCAGTCACGTCTTCGAGCCTAGCGTCTTGTTTCTAGGAGAAGAGTGAACGTTGTTTAATAATGTAAGCAGATAGAGCGTCGACTTGGAATAAAGCCGGATAGGTCTATTCCAGGTCGTATAAGGGGCCTTCCTAGTAAGTCTAAACTCTTATACTATTTCCTATACTAACTAACCTTATCGGAATTCAGTCTTTTTCGGGACCGAGGCGTCTTCCTGCTCTATAAAGCGCTTATTAAATAAGCCTACCTTATAATGGTATTCGCCTTGTAATTCCGTGACTATATCCACTAAGGCGACTAAATATAGTCCCGCTATATTAAGGGTAGACTTTATTATTATTATCGTGTATAGGCTGTCCTTACGCGGACTCTTCTACGCTAGCCGGACTCGGATCTCTGAATCCGGTCTAGGTTATATCTATCGACTATATATAGCGTTTATTAAGGGTTTCCGCGATATCGGGTAACTCGAGGCTCTATCCTGATATATCGCCCGGCGTATTACCTTTATTAGGAGACTGCTTAATAGCGTACTTACGTAGCTCTATATTCACTGCCCGTACCATACTACCTCCCAGGCCGGCCAGGCCCGGCCTATGCCAAATCGTAATAGTCTTAGGACATATGCCTTAAGACGAGTAATGGAGATCTCGCGGCACTCTAAAGTCGTTATGTCCTATAGCGGACCGTCTAGCTCCGCGGTAACCTACTATTACACGGGTTGAGAGAATCAATGAAAGATTGGAAGAGCGTAGGTATAAAGGGAGCGGCCTGCATTGCGAGTTTGGATATTAGGTCTGTTGTTCGTGCATGTGTCTTTTACTGCTTTACTAGTGATGTTGGTTTAGTTGAGTTACATAAGAAGAGTGTTGAAATTCTGACTCCTGAGCCAGGGCATGGCATATTTATATTTCCCAAGGCCCTCTAGACAAGTGGACTTTTATGCTAAGATGAACCCCAAGTTGCATTCTTGTTTGCAGCATGACTATTATTTCCCTGAACTACTGGTTTGATATGATGATCATAGCTTGCCTGTATGTCACTGTTTGTTTCCCAACTCCAACTCCAACACCAACACCATTTGACATCTTAATGTCATGGCAGTGTCCTTTCTACTGGCATGTTTCTTGTTTGTGTAGACGAAGGATATAAGGAAGTGTCGTACATTGATGGCAAGATTCAGTTTGATATATATACATATATGCATGCATGTAACTGCTGCGGAGTTTGGCAACACATGCACTTACCTAGACGCTGGAAAGGAACAGGGGGGAACTGAGGAATATCTCAGGGGCACAACGGCACAACCTAGACTCAACCACGCGGAGAATCTCAAGAAAAGACAAACATTCTGAAAATAACCTGCTTGTCGCTGCTATCACCCGTAGTACACCCATAGCTCACACTAGTCTAGTAGTATCGCGGCCAACATCTCCAATGAACAAACAACAACGAGAAATCGCCCTTTGAACCCATACATACACACACACACACACACCCTCATACCCTCACACCCTCACACCCCCAACTCACACCCCACAACACCCAACGCCTCCGTCCCAACCGCCAAAACACCCTCATCCCCCGCCGCGCCCGCGACCCGCACAGTCTGGACCAGCAAAGGGTACAGCCTTAACAAGTGCTTGCGCGATTCGCAGTCCACATTCGGCGCGTCCGGGATCGCCTCAGGCCGGCTGCGCAAGTCGACCAGCGCGCGCAGCACATGCAGCAGCTCGCGGCGCTGCGATAGCGGCTGCGGCATGCGGCCGCGGAGGGGCTGGTCCGCTATGAAGCCGCGGAGCGTTAGCCCGGCGCGGAGGATGACCAAGGGGGCCGCTACCCGCGCCATGCGGACGCGGAGGGCCAGGGCCTGCTTCATGTCATCGCCCGGATCTTCGCTACATGTACCGTCGGCTTCTTCGTCTTGGAGTGCTATGAGCGCGAAGAGCTCGTCGAGACAGACGTAGCTCATCTTCGCGCGGCGTGTCGGGAGTGGATCCACGGTGCGGCCCGGCCTGGACTTGTACAGAGCTGCGAGACCTGCGCCGCCGTCCGAGTTGTTTCCGTATATGAGGGTGGCTTGTTCGCTGGGAGGCGGCGCATGGATGATGCATGTCCGGAAGAGGCTTTCCGCGTACGACTTTCGCGTTCTGTCGGGGATGACTTCGGCACCGAGAGCAGGCGTGATGAGTTTGCGGAGTGTTTGGAAGGAAGAGATGTCGAAAGATTCGTCGTCGGCAATATTGGCTGCAGCGGAAGAGGCCGAGGAGGCCATGTCGGCGCTGACGATGCCGTCCGCAATCCGAACCACGGTTTCCCAGATCTCCTGAACGGTATTCCGGGGGATGCCGTGGAGGGTGTGGAGTTTGGGTAGAACGGCTTCGAGCACGGCGAGCGTCACCTCCGTCGCGAGCCGCCAGGGCTGAGCCGACCTGGTCACCACGACGGCGAACCCGTATTTCGAGGTGATGGGTTGGGCGAGGGCCGAGAGTGCCGAGGCAACCGCCCCGCTGGAGTAGATGTCCGGGTCTGCCGACTTCTGGAGGACCAAGTCCCGTAGGATCTCCATGCTGGCTTTGGACATTGCCACGAAGGTCCGCTTCGACGAAGGTGTACTGCCCTGTTCGGCCTGGGCCGCCGTATCGCCCTGGAACGGAAGCCGAATAAGCTCGGCCACCTGGGAGATGATGACGGCCGGCACCCCGGCCAGGTCGGTTCGGATGGCCTTGATGGCTTCCATGACCTGGTTCTGGAGCGGCGTGGCCTTCTCGACGTCGCTGACATACGCTCCCGCCACCGTCGCCCGTTGGAGCGTTCCGCGAAACAGCGCGAGCATCCGATCAACATGCGCCACGGTTAGGTCCGCCTCCACGAGTCGGTATACGTCGTGGAACGCGCCGACGTAGGCGACGAGGCAGTCCTGGTTGTCTGCATTCTCGGGGCGACGGCGACGGCGACTGCCGCCGTCTTGCCCTCCTGGTATGCCGCGTGACCAGAGCCTCCACACCGCCGTGACCGTCCCGTTGTCGAATACAACAGCACACTTCTCATCCCGCTGGCTTTGATTCAAGATGTTGCCCAGAGCCTTGAAGGTGGCCGTGTTGATATCGAGCACGTTAAAGTCCAGCAGCGTCGTGAAATGGCCCAGAAGTTCCTGCCAAAGCGAGTTGAAGGACGGGTGCTTCGCAAGAACTTCGAGGTAAGAAGCTAAGAGCCCCGAAATGCCACCGAGGACGAGAACGGATGTACCGTACCAGGCCTTGCGCTCTTCGTCGTCGGTTTCGTCTCCTGTCAAAGCTTCAAGTTCATCTTCCATGGACGACAAGAGTGAGAAGATGACATGCTTCACGCAGGTATGCCACGCCTCGGTGTCCAGGTTGTCGCCATATGCATCGAAAATTCGAAGCAACGTCTGCACGGCGCCTGAGATGGTTCATGTTAGCTTTGAAAGGTTCGAATTACCCGCAAGTCCCCTGCTACTCACTGTTCCGGAGTTCTAGCCGCCGGTCAGTTGTCACTGAGGTCAGGCGCAGAAGCAGAAGCATCCACAGCGCCGCGTTGGATGCCTCGTCATCCTCTCCCTTGGAGGCCCTCTTGGCAAGGGCCAGGGCATCCGACCCGTCCATCATTTGCGACGTGATACGCATCGACGTGTTCTTTCCTGAGAGGAAGTCTGACAGCACCCAGAAGAACGTGACAGTCTGTGAAAAGCGTCAGAAAGGGGAAAACAAAGTAGAAGAAAAAAAGAAGAAGAAAAGGGAAAAGGAGATATCGTTCCAAAGATTCACGGATCGCAGGGACACGGGGTACAGACCGTCAATGCCATGTTCAAGTCGTCGTCTTGCGAGCAGAACTTGTAAAGGGTATCAACCAAAATGAGAAAGCAGGAATTGGGCAAAGACGCCAAAAAGTCGGAGCAGATGAGCCGCAGGGAGTTAAAGGACGACCTGACCAGCTTTGGCGATCGGGTCGCTAATCCGCCCCCCTTGGAGTCCTCTCGACCAGGCACGCCCTCCCCCCCTTTGAAAATGGAGTCGATGATTTCGAACGTAATCTGCCAGCCGCTGACAAGGGACTCGCCGCAGTTCTCCAAGAGCGTCGTGAGTCCTTCGAGGATGGCTTTGTGGACATCCACGTCGGTAGTCTGGGTGGCCACGGTGGCCTCGCGATCCTCTCGCCGGAGCAGCGGGACGAGGGCATCCCGGAGGGCTTCCGACGCCTGGAGCTGCACGGTGCCCCGCTGCTCGGCCTCCAGCGAAGTGGCAACGTTGACAAACTCGAGCACGAGCTTGACGAGAATGTCGGCGGCCCTCAACCGAACGGAGGCGTTCATCAAGGACGAGCCGAGAGTGCGGATGAGCTCGGAGACCAGAGTGGCCCACCCCGATACCTCGGGAGGGTAGGCGAGAAGACGCTCGACGTTGATGGTGGCGACGTCGCCCAGCTTGGCAAGGGCGAATTGGTCTTCTTGGTTGGGCCCAGCAGCGGCCGTAGTCGACACGTTCATCAGTCGGCGGTGAGGGCCGGGGGAAGGTGCTTTCAGCGACGCGCCGGCACTTCCGCCGGAGGGTGGTGACTGCGGGCGGTTCGCGTTGGCCTTGGCCTTGGCCTTCTCCTCGGCCTTGAGCTTGTCGTCGTGCCTCCGGTCGAGAAGGTCGCACGTAGCTTCCACCACTTGAACGAAAGCCTCGTTGGGAAAGTCGACAGTGCTCTCAATCAGGCGAGAAGCTGCCGTCTCGACAGCTCGCGTCTCCGAGCCGAAGTTGGCCAAAAGCGCGTCGGCCTCGCTTTCCGCCTGGGGGTCCTGGCCCCTGGTGACGGTCGGCGTTCTGCCGGCGGTCTTGCTGGTGGAATAGAGGACAAAGTCGGCCTGCTGGAGGGTTTCTAGAATGATGCGCCATGACGGACCGAGGGTTGGACCCAACGCGATGCCGAGGTTCAGGAGGGCGCGCAGACAGAGCAGGTTTCGCGTAGTCAATGCCGCGGCGCCGACCTCGAAGGAAGGCTGCCGGCTCCCGTCGGCGGCCGAGGATGCTGGGTTGACCAGGCTTTCGACACTTAGGAGACCCTTGGCGTTGCTGAAGAGGCTGCCGGGGGTGGTGGCAGAAGCAGAAGCGTCCACGCTCGGCGTCCGGGGAGGGCCCGTGTTAAGGCAGGCAGTGAAGACGTTGGGCGGGACTGCGGCTTTGCCCAAGGTGGTCAAGAAGGCATCTCTGGGGGTGGCGAGCTGTAGGAGGCCGGCTACATGGGCAAATTTCTGAAAGGCCCTGACCAGGCCGTGGTAGTACTCGGAATCAAGCGCAGCGTAGAGGAAGGTCGAGCAAGTCGCGAGGAAGGCGGGCCAGCACTCCTCCACGATAGAGGCACAGGTCTTGATCTCAGCGAACAAGGGGTGATCCTCCAGCTTCAGCGGGTTACGCGGTACAGGATTCCTCTTGAACGATCCCGACCCCGACCGCTCGAGCCGAGTTTTAGGGCCGAGCGGACGGGGTGATCCCTCTGGCGTAGGGGCCGGCGAGTTGCGATCCGCGGCTTGTTTGGCGGCCCGCTTCCGGCTACGGGTTTCCGCAGGGACGGTGAGGGGCAAGATGAACTTGGCGATGCCCTCGGAGAGGGACGAGATGCAGGACAAGATGAGGCTGTAGATGTACGACTCGGGGATCGTCGGGGGCTCGGTCTTGTCTAGCTGGTCGATGCAGGGGACGCGCATGGTACTCCACTGGGCACTAATGCCGGTGGTAGAACCTTCGGTTCCGGCCGACGTGCCGATGATTCCGGTGACGCCGCCCGCCTCGATCATGGCGTGGTCGGTGGCGGCGTTGGGGTTGCCATACGGGTTAGACACAGGAAGGGTCGACTGGTGGCCAAGACCAATGACGGCGGGCTTCTCGGTACTCAGTCGCACAAAAGTGGCTGTCAGGGTCTTCAGGATGTCCTTCTCGCCTTCCTTGGCATCGTAGAGCATGAAGATCCTCCTGAGGAGGGCGTGCTCGGCGAAGATGCCACGGAAGACCTCCATGCACAGAGATCGTTTCCACAGGGTGGTGTCGTGGTCGAGAAGCTGGGTGAGGATATCGAGCGCATCGCCACTCTCGGATGGCAGAATGCCGATATGCCGACGGAGTAGGGTGTACAAGATGCGCACGAGACGGACGGTGGTGGCAAAGTTGGGCTTGTCCTTCAAGGCGCGGGTGAGGAAGGGCATGACCCGACTGCGGAGGATGTAGGCTTGCTCCGGATGGGTCAAGAAGACGGCGGCGTGGTTGGTCAGTACGGATTCGATCAGCTCCAAGCCAAAGGTCTGCGGCAGGCCGGCAAAGCGAAGGTACTCGGGGCGTCGGTTTTCGGTTAGGAGACAGAGATCGTGAAAGACCTGGGGCCAACGTCAAAGAACCCGGTTAGCTGTGTGAGCTGGTGAGAGGCCACGGAGATGTTGTATGTCAAGCTTGGTCTTACTCGGTATGCATCTAGGGCGGCCGTGCCCAGCTGGAGGGTATTTTCACCCACTGGCACTTCACCAGCGACAGACCCTTCCCCGGCTCCTGGCACATGGTTAGCATGGGAGGTGGATGGTAGGCGATGGTGTTGGGTGGTGGGTAGTGGGTGGGTGGTGGATGGTTTCAACGCACTGTCTTCCGAGACAACCTTGTCAAAGACGGAAACGACGAGCTGCTGCAGGGTGGCAGCGGATGTGTTGTTGACGATGGCGTTTTTGCTGGTCTGTAGGATGAAGCAAATGTTGAGACTGGTGATCAGGAGGTCGCCCCTGACATCATGGGCATAGTTTTGAAGTAGTGACGGCAGGGCCTGCAGGATCTTGAGCTGGACATCGAGGCCAGAGGACGTAGCCTCACGCAAAGCCTCGAGGACCTGGTTCAGCTTGCCCCGTGGTAGGGCACAGGCGACGATGAGCCTCTGGAGACAGACGATGGCGATGGAGGTGAATTTGGCGTTCCTGGTGCCACAGGCGATGATGAAGGGGTTGACAAAGTTGGGACGCTGGGCGAGCTCTGGGGGCCGGTGTTAGAGGGCGAAGGGGACCAGCAGGGATGTAATGTAATGCACACGTACCGGCGGCAGCTTGAGCCTCGTTGGCTGCCCGGATGCCCTTCAGCTCCTCGAGAGCTTTTTCGGCAGCCTAGGGAATGGTTAGCACCATATAACGTGGGAGATTTCCGTTTTCGTGTCGGTAGTCTAACTTGTCTCAGATCATTGTGCTTCCTCTTGCTCTCCTGGATGAGGTTGGCGAGCTCTGTGGCCAGCAGCTGGGTCGTCATCCTGTCACGTAAGGCCTGGATACTGGGAGACAGCTTGAGCCATCTTAGGGGGACGAGAAGCTGCGGATAGGTTGCCTGAATGTCCAGTACCGGAGAAGAGAGCTTTTGTGGATGAGTTATGGTATAAAAAGGGCGGGAATGCAGCGTCTTGGCGCTTCTTCGTGAACGGGAAGTCGTGGTGATGGACTCGTGTCCGGTGAGAGGTCGAGATGGGGAAACGTGAGGTGAAGGGAGCTGAGCTCATTCATTATGTAAGCTATCTAAGCTCCTCCCTCGATACGTTACGCGTGAGCGGTGTTACGTGTTTGCTGACTCAGTATTTTCCGGGACCTGCTCCACTCTGATGCTTTTATAATATATACTACAGTCTAACCCCTGAAAAAACGTTCAAAGTGGTACTTGCGGAGCCTGAAAAACCAATGGTATCGCGACAATAAGTGGAGTAGAATACAACTAGATACATTGAAAGTGGAGACTTTTCTATATAAAATATAGGGATTAAGATGTACTAAACCAGGGGAACTTAGTATCCTGTCAAACCACCTTGTAGCTCCCTAACACGCTAAAGTCTCTAAGGTATCGTATTAGTACTCGAATCAAAAACAGAAACACTTCTTATATAAGAATGTGAAGTAGTGACTGAATCTTTTCGTATAGTAAATAGTAGTAGATCGATTTCGGATTGACGTCACGATATCCTGTAGTGGTGTTGTAAGATTTTTATGTTAGTGTAGGTACATTTTTCGAACCTTCTTCAACTTCCTAAAAGGGTAGTTGAAGAAGGTACACTTTGAACGTTTTTTCAGGGGTTATATGGTATTTTATTCTATATACTAGCAGGGGTCTAAAAAGAAGTGTTTTAGTGTAACGTGGTGGCGTGTCCTAGAAAGTGGGGTAGGCACTTACTAAGCATTACTATTCCTACGATTGGCGTGTACATAGAAGCCTCTTGTTCCTATTTTAGAAGTTGTTACAGTGCCCCCTGTGATTTGCCGTACATAATTCCCAGGACCATCTCCTTGCCATTTTCTCTTCTTCCCAGATAACTTGAAAAGCTGCTTGTGCTTGAGGGCTGGGAGAAGGGTGGCCCGGTCGAAATCGACGAGCATGACGCGGCGGCGCTCGTCGTTCCAGAGTTGGTTGGCGCCGTGCTCGTCGCCGTGGTCCACGCCCTCGGCCCAGACGACTTGCGAGGAGCGCCGCGCCTCCGCTGCCAGCTCTGCCGCGCCTGCGCCCGCCGTATTTGTCCGAGTGGCCGGATTTTCTAGAATCACAGAAGGACATACTCGGGAGACTACACACGACGGTTCCTGCGGACGAACGGGCCTTCAAAAGCCTGAACTTCCTCCAGGGACTTGGAGAACGGCTTGCCAGGAGGCGGATCGCCAACCAGGGCGATCTAGCGCACACCCAGCGCAACATCGTCGACCACCCTGTGTCTAATATCGTTCATGTCCTCCGCGGCAACACGGCGGCCACGCGCCGGTTTGACCTGGCCCACGGCGTTGTCTTCGACAACCACCAGACCCCCCACCCCCACCCCCTCGGGGGCCCGACAGGGAATCCGCCTGTCCATCCACCTACATATCAATTGAACCGTCCTTCATAATCTCGGACCAATCGATCATCCCTCGCTGCAGCGGAAAAGTCGCGCGACCCGAGCATATAATGAGAGCGTCGTGCTTCGCTTCAATTGCCTACCGAGTATTGCATTCTGTCATTCCTGCGCGACTATCTGCGCGGAGTCGAGGACGCTATCCCCTGGCGCCTCGGTCCTCGTCGCGTCTTCGCCGCCACATGTCCACCCCCTCCGCCCCACAGTCCGTCGTCAATGGGGCGCCGTCGGGTAAAACGTCAAACGTGACCCCGCGCGTCCGTTTCCATGCCATCGACGACGCGGAGGGAATTTGGAGGTACAGCGCCGGGGGCTACCTCCCTGTGGCCGTTGGTGACCGACTCGGCGATCGTTATCAAGTCGTCCATAAGCTTGGCCATGGCAGCTACTCGACGGTCTGGCTGGCCCGCGACGAGAGGCTCCAGAACCTTGTGTTGCTATCAAGGTCTGCACTGCAGATGCAAGCCCGCGCGAATCCGAGATCCTGTCCCTCTTGGGGAAGAGTCCGTTAGACGGCACCGCTAGCCACGTCGTCGCCGGCGGAAAGGAAATGATCCCATCGGTTCTCGACGAATTCCGCGTCACTGGCCCGCATGGCACGCACACATGCCTAGTCACTCCGCCTGCGAGATCAAGTGTGGCACAGACGCGCCTGAGCTCGTTCAACCGCCCATTTCGACTGGATGTGGCCCGCGCCATTGCCGCGCAGCTCATACTCGCTGTCTCATACATACACAGCAAAGGCATCGTCCACGGCGGTGAGTGACATAATGTCCAAAATTACTCAAGTACAGTTTATCTGACTTCACCGCCGGTCTAGATCTTCATTTGGGAAACGTGCTCCTCAAGATGCCCCTAGATTTTGCCCGCCTATCTGACGAAGAGCTGTACGAGGAGTGGGGGGGGCCGGAGCTCGAGCCTGTCACCACATTCAACGGTGCGCCGATTCCGCCTGGTGTGCCGTCACATGCTGTCCTTCCCATCAATCTCATTACCCGCTGCGATGAGCTACCCCTCGCGGATGCTCACATCGTAGTGACAGACTTCGGCGAGGCATTCTTCCCTGCGCGGGAATCAAAAACCGAGTGCAGTACACCGACGCACTGTCGCCCACCAGAGTGTCGGTTCGAGCCCTTAGAGCCGCGGTCGTTCCCGAGCGATATCTGGACCCTCGCTTGCTCAGTCTGGGGTATCATCGGTCAGCGATCGCTGTTCGAGATGATCATGAGCAGCGAGGATGATACGACCGTGCTGCAGGTCGACGCGCTTGGAAAGCCCCCAGATAACTGGTGGGAGCGGTGGGATGCACGACTGGATAACTTCACCGAGGACGGCCAGCCGAAGAACGATAGGCCGGATCCTATCAGCACGCTCGAAAGCGAGTTCAGAGCGCGATACAGAGGAGGCGTCGAGAGTCTGGAATGGAGATCATAGACACGGCAGAAGAAGAGGCATTCTTTGCTATGTTAAGGCCGATGCTGGCGTGGCGACCTGGTGATCGGTGCAGTATAAAGGACGTCGTCGAGTCAGAGTGGATGACGAAGTGGGCGATGCCTGACTATGATCGGATGCGCGGCTGACGGTCCAGGCTCCTATAATATTATGCATAACGAATCAGTCAGTGTATAATAGTGTTCTACCAGTCAAAAGCATCTCTCTTTCTGTAGATGTCAAGTTGCACCGGGCGTTGGCATGGCGGGTGGATATCCCCGTGAATCTAAGCCCAGCACAAGGAGGACATATTTTACCGCTGCGCCCTTTCATCGACTCACTTTGATGATGGGAGTATCAACCTGATATAAACCCCACGTCTTTCGCGTCGTCGACAGGATGGAAAATATTGTCCAGATTACTCGAGTACACATGATCTTGGCCTGGTTGTCACCATTGACTTCCCTGTTTGAGTCAAAAGAGGGAGGAGGGTTCTATGGAGGATCGAGACTGTCAGATCCTGAGCGGTCAGTGGCGTTGTCGAACACGGTGTCGGTGATGTCGGCGGTTTGGTGGCTGGCGGCTGTAGACGGCAGAGGCAAACGGGAAATCTGGCAAGCAAGATTAGTGGATTGAGGCCATCAGTTTCTCGGCTTCCTTGTTGGGCGACTGTGCGATAAGTGGCAGGTGGCTTCGTAGGCTTTAACTAGAGGGCTGTGCGGGTTTCTGGGCTCGTCCATTCGAGGCGCCGGTGGGCGAGAGCCTCGTGCGGTTATATAATTCTCTCAAGGCTCGGCAGGTCAGCTAAATCGTGGACAGTCGGTCCCCAAACTCGGCCGGATACTTCCAAGACCTCCAGCGGTCGAAATGACGTTCGGCCCTCCATTTGGTCCTCTACGCTAGGTCTCGGGGAGACTGTCAGCAGAACCAGTGGAAGGCCAGGACGCTCGAAGGGCATTGGTTGTCACAGGCGGGTTTTGGATATTCTATGCCCAAGTGAGCTGGGGCAGCGCAAGGGACGTGGAGACCATTCTCAAAGCCCGTCTTTTAGGGTTCTTTGCGCCGAGACAAGCAGAGTAATGGCCAGACCGTGATCCATATCGGGGAGGGGGCTGTGCGGCACGAGCTAGTTAAGATGCTCAAGGAGGGCGGAGCAGGGGCAAGCAGCAAACAGGCTCGAAATGGACCGCACAAGCACCGCCGGGACCTGTCTGTGAACCTGGCCGCCCGAACGTCAAAACGGCCGTCGGGAGTAAAGCAGTATGTATGTTCACCTGCAAATCAGGACAGCAACCCGGAGGAGCCTCGGCAACAGTCGCAAATCCCGCCCGCAGACAACGTGAGAGAGCCAAGGGCGGCAAGACGCGATGAGGGCTTCAGTGATGAGGTGTGGGAGCAGCTGCAGCAGGACGCAGCTGCCGAGACGCAGAGGGAGCTGGAGTAGCGCGGCAAGGTGCGCGAGATGAGGCGGTCGACAGACGAGGCGCTGAAGGCGAAGCTGGTCAAGGACCTCCTGGCGGAGGAAGACAGGCGCAGGAGGAAGCCGAGGCAAAGGAGAAGCTCAAGATGAGGGGCAAGTGCCCCGTGGGGTACCACTGGGTCCGGCAGCAGGGGGATATCGGTGCGCGAGAGGGTCTCACTGGGTTCTTGACGAGGACATTTCGAGCATAGAGGCGTGTAGTTGGTGAGTTGGCGACTGGCATCATGTGGCCCCCAGAGTTTCCGGGCTCGTCAACGCGTGACAGCTTTAGTCCTCGTGGTGTCGCATTGAATATAGGCCTATCTCAGGCGCTAGTAAGGAATACTATTTTGCCAGTAAAACGGTGGGGCCCGCCAAGCATGATAAGCTACCTAAGTACCAACCTATTTTGTATGTATACTTAAGTACCTAAACACATAGATACAGTCTCTCTTTTCACGTTCGAGTAGGCGTGGGTAATAAGGGCTTCGAAGTCCTGCTTATAAGAGGCATAAAACCTTAGAGGGTAGGCCGAAGCCGTAAGGTCCTAATTATTATTCTTTAGCTATTATATCGTGGAGTGAGTGTTATGCTTTAATTAACGATGCGGTGTACTACACTCTAACCCCTGAAAAAACGGTCAAAATGGTACTTGCGGAGCCTGAAAAACCAATAGTATCTAAGTGTAAACTGAAGCTGGCCCACTTTAAAGTCCGGCACTCTTGGTAGCCTGGCGTTTGTACTAGTATTACCGCCCGGGCCCCTATTACGGCTTTTTGCGGTGTTTTGCGGGCGACTGCCTCTTATAGTATATAGCTATACTACTTGTATTCCTGTATACTTTCGAATATATGGGTTATAGTCCGTTTTTAGGTATATATAGTAATAAAAACTATGCGTATCGCCTGTAGTTTAGACGTTTAGACTGTCCTGTTTTATATATCTGTTTTATATAGTTTTATAGTCCCCGTAGATTTTTTTCCACGCTGTATCTACGCTATAGTTCGTATCGCTTTAACGCCGTCTAAAGTTAAGATAGTTAGTTAATCCGACCGTGAGCCTAAGCGCTGCTATAGTTACGGTATCGTTAAACCGTTTTCCGAGTTCGGGTTTTATCCGCGGTTATATCGAAGGATTTACGCTACCTGTGTTACCTGTAGAGCTAACCGTTGAGCCGCCTATCCTGCACCTCCTATATGTTTTACGGCTCCTTTACCACCCGTTCTAACCGGCCACCCTCTACTATAGCCTGCCCCTACGCCTCCTTAATTACCCGTTCTAATAGGTAACCCTCCACTATAGCCTGCCCCTACGCCTCCTCCCCGAAGGGGTGGCCGTTATCGTGGCCGTGGCCGTAACTAGCTCTATAACGCTCTATACTTAATAGCAGGTTACTACTATTCTTCCTATAACCGTTACCTTATAACGGCTGCTTTTAGTACCCGTTATAATAGTGCCCCCTATAATATCTATAACGACTATAGTAATAGCAGAGCGCGTTATAGGGCGGCCGTTACTACTAGCTAGCGTAGAGCGCGCCCGTAACCCGACCGCTACGTAGAGCGTACTAGGCCGTTAGAGTAGTATTAGCCGGGTATTACGGTTAATTATTACGACCTTAGGTTAATACGGGTAGAGTATAAGTATTACGCTATACTCAATTAGATTAGGGAGAAGTTATAGGTTAGTTTTCTATCCCTGTTATTAACTATTAGCTAACCGATACTATTTTCTATTACTTAGGAATTATCGCCTATGAACCCGAAATTTAGCACCTATTATAACTAGGGCGACGTCGACGTTCCCGTTATCTCCTTATTACCCGACTTCTTCTAACGCCTACTATACACGGATACTACCTAAGCCGCGGATTATTGTAAAAGGATCCGTTAATATAATAATACCTTTACGTTTACTTTTATATAATATATAGAGACCTGTTGAGGTGCCGTTACCGGTGGCGTAATGGCTTTTTAGATCCACGGTACCCTTTACTATTATACGGGGCCGTTAAGTGCTGTAGGCCGACTCCCCGCCTTTACTTAGCTGTACTTTTACGATCCGTAGGCTGCCGCCGACTACCGCCTTATAAATACCTAAAGCCTTAACTCCACGCTGGACCGTTATATCCTGGGGGAGATTTCGGACTTCCTGCACGAGTATAACCCCTTTGTTAACCTATATAAAACGGCCCGCGAACGCTTTAACTCCCTCTGCGAATAGTGCCGTATAATACTCAACCCCTGTATAGAATTAGTTATTAAGTAGGGCGCCGATATATAACGCGAGAATCTGCCCGTTACAGACGAGGTTATAGCTATTATACCAGATGAGTAGGGTAAATATTACTATAGGGATATCATCGTTATAGAGAGACGGTTTAACGGTAGCGTTAGCGGCCTTAGGCAGATAGACTACGAGTATCCTGCCTACCTACCGTTATCTTACCCGCTTATATATCCGCGAGGCGGTTCCGGATATTACTAGTAGTTATAGTTACGGGATATTTATAACCGTTAGCGGCAGAATACTAAGGTGAAGTTCCGTTAGTTCTGCCGTTATATACTGCACCCGCGATACTAGTAGAGGTTTATACCCTTTACCTACGGCCGTCTTTTCTAGTAGTCTTTAGTAGACTTATAGGTATCCTACGATTAGAAGAAGCTTTTATAGATCTAGCACTACTAGAATAAGTTACGGGCTAACGTATATAACGGCTTACGGGATTAGGCGTATAAGGCTAACGGCGATACCCGTAGTATTAGCCGACGGATCGTCTTACCGTTAAATTACGTTAGCGGCTAGCGGTTTATCTTATAGTGCTATTAGGATTCTATAGTAATTATATAGGCTCTCGGCACTCCGACCTTTTTTATTACGTTTACGGCTAATCCTACCTAGCTAAAGATTATACGGGAGCTTTAGCTAGGTTAGACTACCGGTAACCGGCCCGATTTAGTCGGCCGGGTATTCGAGTTAAAGTCCCGCGACCTAGAATAATAGCTACGCGATAGTCTATTTAGTGAGTTTACGGGGATTATATAGACCGTGGAATACCAGAAGCGCGGTCTTCTATATCGTTATATTCTTCTTTTCCTTACGCCACGGGCGGCCGAGATATATAAAGACCCCGTAACTATCGATATGGTTATCTCTACGGAGCTACCGGACTATAAGTCGGATCCTACTAGCCGTCTTTTTAATATTATTAGTAAGAATATAATATATAGTCCTTACGGTGATAATAAGCCTTCTACGCCGTGTATATAGCCGTAGCCTAACGATAAGAACCGTATAAAGTGCTCTAAGCGGTTCCCTAAGCTATACTGCCTAAAAACGACTATACGGGAGGATAGTTATCCCGAATACAGGCGCCGTAGCTTTAGCCTGTATATTATAAAGAGAGGCCGCGTAGGAGAGGTCCCCCTTAATAACCGTTTTATTATTCCTTATAGCCTGTATCTTTACCTCCGCTACGGTGCCTATATTAATATTAAAATTTACGGATTTATTAAGGTGAGTTATTTTCTCCTGTATATCTGCCTCCGTTACGGCGTATATACTAATATTATCTTTTACGGATCTATTTAAGCGATTAAGTACATTTATAAATACGTTTATAAGGGTACCAACCGTATAACTACGCGTATATCGGGCGAAGAGGGCGAGGATAAGGTTAATATCTATCTCTAGAGTCGCTATATCGGTCCCGCGGAGGCCGTTATTTGGTTATTCGAGTTCCCCGTATACCGTAAGTATCCGCCCGTTATACGTTTTCCGGTTTACCTTAAGGGATAGTAGCCTATATACTTCGGCGATAACGTAACCGTAAGCTAGATTAAGCGTATATTATAGGAGCGGAAGACTTAGCAAATAGCCTTTTTCGACTATAACCGTGATAACGCTAATAGCCGCGAGTTATTCTGTTATTAGTTTCTTAGCCGTTATACGTGGAAACCGTAGTAGTTTACTTAGTAGTTAAGACAGCGTGGATTTTAAATCGGCCGTCTACGGTATATACCCCTAACGGCTAAAGAGGCGTATTATTTACGGTTACTCTTAGTCTCTGTTAGAGGGCCGATTTCCTTTACCGACCTTTGTACCGTGGAGGGGACTATCCATAATACCTACCGCGAGGCCTATATTACGGCCGGGCTTTTACACGATAACCGTTACTAGGTTACCTATTTTAAGGAGGCTATTATTTAGAAGACCGGGCGTGCGTTATAGGAGCTATTTATTATCACTTTAATTCACGGAGACGTTTCCGGTCTAGTATCGATTTAGGAGAGGTTTACGGAGTCTATATACGATAACCTGCTTTACACACTATAGCGCTAGTGCTTCCGATATCCTGCTAATCTAAAATGCCCATATATTAATTACGGTCTTTATCCTATATACTCTCGGCTCCTTAAGGTAAGTAGGACTATTACGGAGTCTAGGCTACCCGCGCCTTTATATAACTAGTGTTATATGACCGGTAATATATTATTTATTACAGAGACTTACGATCGCGATACTTAGGCTATGGTATACGAAGATATCTATTACCGGTTTAACTAAAGCTAGGCTACGGTATTTAGCTAGGTTATAGCTGCTATTAAATCTTGTAGCCGCGGCGCTTATTTCTTTTTATAGGGCCCCGGCGGTATAGGGAAGACGTTTATATACCGCGGTCTCTACGCGTATTTCCGGTCGCGCGGGTAGATTATACTCTATATAGCGTCCTTCAGTATCGCGGCCGTTCTTCTTAAGGGTGGCTATATAGCCTATTCGCGGTTTAAGATCCCCTTATAGGTTAATAACGCCTTAACCTATAGCGTGCTAAAGAATTCGGACCTTATAGCGGTACTGCGGGAGACAGTTCTTATTATCTAGGATAAGATTCCTATATAGTATAAGTTCTGTTTCGAGGCCGTTAATCGTATGTTACGGGATATACTAAGCTATAGCGATTACCTTTTCGGCGGTATTCTGGTTATCTTCGGGGGCGATTTTACTTAGATCCTGCCCGTTATTCGTAATAGTAGTCGGGCGTAGATTATACACGCCTGCTGCTAGAGGTCCTCTATATAGCCGTAACTTAGTATTCTTTACCTAACGGAGAATATACGGGTTACCTCTACTAATCCTAATAATTAGGCGTTTATTTAGTGGTTATAGGACCTCTCCTATAATACCGCTTTTTACGGGTTAATCGACCTTTTCCCTACTATCACGGTTATTTATAATATTATCCGTTTATACGGGCGTATTTACCCGATTACCTTATTAGAGTAGGCTGTGTTAGACTATATAGTCTTTATTAACCGTGTTATTCTAATAACACGTAATACTACTATTACGGAGATTAATAGGTAGATACTCGGGCGACTACGTGGTTAGTCGTGTATTTACCGGGCCGAGAATTCGGTGGCTAATCGGGTAAAAGATACTAACGGTCCTGCGTCGGAACTAGTACCGGAGTTTTTAATATAGTTAGAGTTCGCCTTTATCCCGCCCGCGCGGCTTAAGCTAAAGGTTAGCGCGCCCGTTATACTTATACGGAACCTTAGCCCATGGTAGGGACTATATAACGGTACGCGTATAGTTATTTTACGGATAGCGCGTAATACACTAGAGGTTAAGGTGCTATCCGGAATATACGCTGGCGAGATGGTGTTTATCCCCTGTATCTATTTAGATTCTAATAAGGAGGATTACCCGTATATTATCTGGCGCCGTTAATTCCCTTTACGGCTTTATTTTGCGATAACGACTAATAAGTTGTAAGGGTAATCGTTTAGTACGGTTAGCGTGGATTTCCGGTAACACCCTTTATACACGGTTAGTTTTACGTTACTGTATTAAGAGTTACGGATATTAGGAACCTGTTAGTATTATTATTAGCGTAGGAGGGTTAAGAGGTATAGGATAGTAGGCGTATATCTAATATCGTATACCTAAAGGTCTTAATTTAAATATTCTAATAGTCACTTTACGGGGGTACGATATTAATAGTTATAATTGTAGTCGTAGTATTCGTAGTTAGGATTCTTTATTATATAGTCTATAGTATAGACGGGAGGAAGTAAATTAACTATATCCGAGCTATAAACTCCTAAAAGTAAAAATAAAAAAATAACCGTAAATCCTTTATAAAGTACAAAAAAAAGACGAAAAAATAAAATATAAAAATAAGCCCTAGTAGTAAAAATCCGACCGTATAGCTTTAACGCTTTACGGCCGGGATATTATTCTCAAGGGCCGAGATAATATTCTTATAGAACTATATCATATCTTTTTTCTACGCCGTCGTTATACCCGTAAGGAGGAGGACGCCTAGGACTTTAATATTACTGAAAGTAACGGGCGCGGGCGTAGGCGTAGTAGAGGAGGCGGTAAAGGGGGAGGCGGAGGGAGTATACGTTACGGGCGGTGCTATAGTATTAACGGGGGGCGGCGCGGGTATTACGGTTATTCTAGACAGGCTAGCTATAGTGGCGGGAGGGGGGGGAGGAGGGGGCGTGGTAGTTATAGTCTTCTTAGCCTTCTTCGATAAAGGCGTAGGAGTTCCTATAGTATTATAAATTAATTAGTTAGTATAGAAGAATAAACGTTATAGCTATTTTCGGCTTACCTATAGACGCGGCACGCTTCTTCCCTTTAGAAGAGGCGGGAGTAGCGGGAGGGGGGCCGACGGGAGTAATAGGCGCGGGACTACTATTAGCGGTGGCGGGCGGGCGGAGGGAATACTTACTGCCCTCGGAATTAAAGTGGTAGTTATTATAGCTGCCGCTAGCGATACTCGGGACCGTAAAATAACGCGTAAACGGTCCGTCTTTATTACTATAGTGTTTATAGTCTTTCTATATACTACCTACTAGAGTTATTATAACCGCCTCGCGGTTAGCCGGGCGGTTAAGGTTAAGATTTTTATCTTCTTATAGCGTAAGGTCACGCATAACCTATTAATAGCCGTTAGTATATCGTGTAAGTTAGTAGTTAATTAGTAGTTTATAATATACCTTAAGGCCGCGTATAGTTATTAGCGCCTTAGTGTCTTTATAGCCAGTATTATAAATAAGGTTAATAACCTCGTTACGGGTAACCGTATAACCTTCCTTCGTAGGTATTATCTTCTAGACGCGCGAGCTGTTAGGGGAGGGGGCGGGCGGATTATAGGCGGGCGAGGTTATTAACGGGGGGATGGGCGAGGTTACAGGCGGGGGAGCGGGAGATATAGAGCGATCGCGATAAAGGAAAAAAAATTCGTTTAGCTTAGACGTATAGCCCCTAAGTAGGCGGGGGGATTCTTCGGGCGTGGGCGACCGGGATTCCTACGAGGGGATAGGGGAGTCGGAGAGGGCGGGAGGTATACTACGAATTACGGTTAGTATCGTCGCTTTTTATAGGGTTAACGCGTATATTTATACCCGTAACTTACTTAGCGGCGAAGCTTTAAGTACCGGAAGCGGAAGAGAGGGAGGGAATTAAAGGAATTAAAAAAAAAAGGTTACTTAGCGGCGATATAAGGGATAATAACGGTCGATTAATTAACGGCTTTATTTCTGTAAATAGAACGTTTAATATAATAAAGGGAAAACTGTTTTATCGCGATACTAAAAAATCGTAATAAAAAAAGTCGTTATAGTGTAGAAAACAGTAAATAGCAGTAAAATAACAGGAGGCAGGCGTTTTACGGTTATGTTCGGTTATTTTTTGGTTATTTGATTATAGCGGGGCAGGTCATATAATAAGCCCCCCCCCTTGCTAAGGGGGGGGGGGGCCTCCCGCAGGGACGAGCTTTACGGCGTTGCCCGTAGGGCAACCTGCTAAGCTCGTCACGATAATAATTACGACTAGATATATTAAGAGCATATATTTTATATATAAAACACAGGGGTTTAGATATACTAAGCTATACTATATTAGACCGCCATATTACTCCCTAGCAGATCAAAGTGTATATCTAGTAGCTTAATAGAAAATACCTTCTACGTAGTATATATAAAGTAGTAACTAAATTCTTTCCTATATATAAGAGCTATAAATTCATTCCAGATTAACTTAGAGATACTTTACAATTATATTAATTTTTTTATATCGTAGGTGCTAGTAGTGTAGGTACATTCCTCGAGCCTTCTTTAACTTCCTGAAAGGGTAGTTGACGAATGTACACTTTGAACGTTTATTCAGGGGTTATATGGTAGTACCTGGTAGACTAATTAAAGAGGCTGTATCTGTGTGTTTAGGTACTCGAAGTAATATACAAAGTAGGTGAGTACTTAGGTAGCTTATCATGCTTGGCGGGCCCCACCGTTTTACTAGCAAAATAGTCATCTGTACTGGCTCCCTAGTAGGGCCCTACATTTTTGACGTGCGACAACATATCCCTGCACCCCGCACTTTTTCTCTGCAGATGCACCGCAGCCGCTGGTGCCGTTTTTGAGCCATTGTAACCCAACGACAACCGTGAAGACTTCGTCAACAATCGACTAGGTCCAGACCTCTCGGCAGCCTTGCCAGTAGCAGCGGCAGCAGTCGTGCTTCTGCTTGTGATGCTGAGGTGGTTCCACCGCCGTTACGGCACGCGTTAACTGGTGAATAAAGCTATTTGCATGGCGAAACTGTGGGGGATCGGACGCTTTTTGGGAATAACTTGCGACTGGACTCGGTTGCTTGCGCCTTGCCATGCTGACAGTAATCAAGCTCAAACTCGTCCCACTATTGGCGGCTCCTCCTGTTGCCCCGAGAGCCGCCGTAGAGTGAGACCAGGCACAGTGAGACATTGTTGAGCAGGATAGTAAATCACCCCGGTTGTTTTCTCCCCCGACGATGGAGCTTCCACTCCAGACGCGGATAGAACCGCTTGTCCGTGCGGCTCGCTGGAATGTCCGTCTCATGGACTGACCGCCACTGGACAGACGGCCGATCATCCAGGGGGGCAACACCAGGCAGAGAGGCACCGAACTGCCGAATTGCGGGGTGCATAACCTAGCTTCGAGTACCTGCGCATCAGAGCGCTGGGGTGTTTCAATCTGTCATCCAAAGGAGTCATGTGCATCGGGCTCGGTGTCACGGGCAGAGGGCGCTCCAAGTCCAGTTGAGATACCTCGGCACTTGGTGCTGTGGGATATTGAGTCCCCCTGAAAAGCCCTTGCTAGTACCATGGCATGTCTTGCATCGCGCCATCAAGCCCGCCCTCTCGCCTGGATGACTTGTAAGCCCTCCGCAAGTATCGCCGCATACAGCTAGATCCCGCAGGTCCGTACAGCAGGCCCGCCAACAACGCTCCTGCACCCCGGCGGTAGAGGATTGCATACCAAGGTCAAGCTCGCAGTACCGACACACTCGAGTCGGCCTGATGAAAATATGGCAGATAGTACGGCAGGTAGACATTCTATCCCAAACGTCCCGTTCATGTTCTGAAATGGACAGACCAGAGCCGGTCCAAATCAGGAAATCAAGCTGGACTGACTTGTGATGGAGACGAGAGAGGCCGGCCTAGACACCTCCGATGGCCCTCGCGGACAAAAGTTTATAAAGACCTGGACGGAAGTGCCTTGACAACAAACCTGGACCTCCTCTACCCAAGCCCATCGCCAACGGCCCTTGACTTCAATCTATCTATTTTTCCCTTGCAGGCAGCGCCTCAAAAGCTTCACCCGCTACCTCCCACCTACTGCTCACAATGAAGTTCTTCTCCGCCGTCACCCTCCTGGCCGGCCTTGCCGCTGCCCTGCCCACCGCCGTCGACGTCGCCGAGGACTCGTCTCTTGAGACCCGCCAGCTCTTCGGTTCGACCAGTAGGGACCTTGAGAACGGCAACTCCCGCAACTGCCCCCCTATCATCTTTATCTTTGCCCGCGGCTCCACCGAGTCCGGCAACCTGGTAAGAGAGCGCGGCCAGCACTACCAAGACACAAGACAACGCTTACATTTAGATAACAGGGCACTCTCGGCGGCCCCGTCGGCGATGGCCTCCAGTCCACCTTTGGCCGCAGTAATGTCTGGGTCCAGGGCGTCGGCGGCCGCTACTCGGCCTCCCTGGGAGATAACGCCCTCCCTCGGGGCACCAGCCGTGCCGCTATTACCGAGATGGTCGGCCTCTTCAACATGGCCAACAGCAAGTGCCCCAACGCTAAGATCGTTTCCGGAGGCTATAGGTTCGCTTTCTCCGTCGTCCCTACACTATTCCAAGCAGCATATGTTCTGACTGCTTGCAGCCAAGGCGCTGCCCTGACCGCGGCCGCCATCGAGGACGTTAGCTCCGCTATCCGCAACAACATTGTCGGCGTCGTTCTGTTTGGCTACACCAAGGTAAGCTACGAGACCCCGGCCTCTCCGAGATATACCCCTACTAACGAGCTCCCTTCCAGAACCTGCAGAATAGGGGCGGCATCCCCAGCTACCCCTCCAGCAACCTCAAGGTCTACTGCAACACCGGCGACCTCGTCTGCACCGGCAGCCTCGTCGTGACCGCCGCCCACCTGACGTACGGCAGCGACGCCCGCCGCGACGCTCCCCGTTTCCTTGCCGCCAGGATCAACGCCTCGTGAGCGAGTTTATCACGCCAAGACAAGAAGCAAGGGACAAAACTTGGCGCAGCCGTTGCCGGGGGCCCCGGGATAGGCTAGGCGGCCTTCACCTCCCCCCCGCTTCCCCGGGACGGGCGGGATCATAGTTCTCTTCTGTGGCAATACTTGTATCTGCACGTCGACCGGCAACCATAGGCGCCTGTATGGCTGTTAGGAGATATTACGAGGCTTAGCATGCAATTCGAATCATTCGAATGTGTTGAATCTTGACGGAAGGTGCTTGGTGACATGAGCGAATAAATGCTGGTTGGTGGGCTGTCTCGAGGGCAACTCCGGTCTGCGGGTCGAGGAGGCCCCGGCCACGTGAATAATCAGCTTTCGTCGTCGCGTTATTATTATCTTAGCAATCCGGCCCGTTATATAAGGCCCCGTTCGCGAAAGCTTATAAGATAGGAAATCCTCCTATCGTGGCGGAAAAATACATAACTCATAACCCACTAATAGTATAAGGACCCCTTTTATAGAATATTTTTAGTATAACTGTATTTTTTATATATCCCTCTATTATCCCCCTATTATCCAGGTACCACGCTAAGCAGGGGGCCACGTGTTAAATAGGTAGTCGCAAAGAGTGAAAAGGTAGGGTTAAGTAAGGAACTAGGTATGATCACGATAGGATTATAATAGGGGAAGTGTAGGGGTAGCTAAAGAGTTACATTAATCGCTGGCCTCCCTCTTTAAAGGGGAGGCTCCCTCGCTCCTTAAGGCTACGCTCTACTCCTCGAGGACTACTTATTTACTTCCTTAAGGGCTGCCTTATTTACTTTAAGGGACTATCCTATTTACTATATAATAACTTACTTTATTTATGCCTTAAGAGGTCTTAGACTAGGTATACCTGGATCCCTATAGGTTTATACTAGGGGCCTATTATAACCACTACTATAGGCACCTGATATAGCGACCTCCCCCGGATACTCCTATCCTTAGGAGCGCCTTGATCCGTGCCGGCCTCTCGGCTCCTCCGAAAACCTAGTCCCCGAGTCCGTCCCCTAAGTTCCCCGACGCCCTAAACTAGAGCCCTCCACGATAGGACCCCGACGGGTTCCCGCCTAGTTCCTACGCGGGGCCTTTTTAGCCGTGGCCCTAACCCGGGTACGTGCCCTTTTCCGTTATTTCGCTAACCTATCCACTAAAACCAATATCCTAGCCGGAACCCTAATAGGTTCTAGGGTGGTTCCCTTCCGGGTCCTCGGATCCGTCCCCTTTATCTTCCTAGGTTATTCCTTTAATCTATCCGATAAAGACTCCTAAGCTAGTATTATATAGGGCACTAACGGTACTCCTTCCGTGTATTTAGTAGCTTCCTTCTTTATACTAAAAATAGGTGCCTATATAACTGCTACTAGGGGGATATCTTGTAATCCTACCGTTATTCCCTCTTCCTATTCTTCTTTTTCCTCTTCTATACTTAATTTTCCGATTATACTACGCCTAATAAGTCTACCTAATCTAAGGTATCTTATATTAACGGTTTACAGTTTTTCTTAATTAATTAATTAATTAACCACTATCTTATAAGTGCTTCTACACGTTTTTTAGTCTATAATACTAGCTAACTATATATTTAGTACAGTCACTATACCTTCCCAGGAAGATAATAATAATAATAAACGCGCCGCTACTCCCGCGAGTATAACGCGGTCCTCTAAGAGGATTAAGATCGTGGTTACGGCGTTAACCTTATAGTCTGTTAGGTAGTCTGCCCCGCCGTCGGCTATATAGCCTGCCTTATCGTAGGTTATCGCTCCGGTAGCGCTAAAGCCTCCTATTTCTACTACGGCTATATTATTATCGACTACTATACTATTAGTCGCTCCATGCTAAAGAGTAATGGATATCGGTATAGGCGGGGATCTAAGGGCCCCCTATATACGTTATACGGGTAAGTTAGTAACGATTAACTTTAAGGAAAAGGCGTATACTATTAAGGCCGAGATATACCGTCACGCCGATAATGGTTAGCGTATAAATAAGTGCCACTACTACTCTAAGCATAATAGCCTTAAATACCGCGTAGTAAGTTATATATCTTTATTATTATCCCTATACTTCCTCCTATTATAGACTACTCCGTGGGCCTGTTTCTAATATAATAATAGCTCCCTATTACCGGTAAGAACGCTACTAAGCAGCTATAAAAGGTTTTAGTTATCGCTATCGAGAAGGGTAGTCTAAATAAGAGTCGTCGTGTAAGTATTACTAACTATATCCCCTTATTAACTCTATATAGTACCCTTACTAATCCTTTATATTATTAGGCTATAGTAGTTCGATGCTAGGTTATCCTTAAAGAGGCTTTAGGTTAAGCGACGCTAAAGGTTAACCGGTTATCTGCCGAGGAAGCTATAGCTACTCGGCGTTAAGCTAAGGAAGTTACTAACGCCCGCTAGAAAACGGCGGAAGATATCTATAAAAGGCTTGATAGTATAGAGTCGATTCTTAAGTAATTTATCGGGCTATAGCAGCAGCGTCTAGCCGTTAAGCAGAAACGCCTTAATATTAAATAATAACGCCTTATATTACACGAGCGCGACCTCACGGCCTAGGAGCGGACGGCTACTGCTTTTGGGTAGATAGCCGCTCTTAACCTAGCCTAGGCTTAGAGAGACCTGCCTATACTCTTAGGGTCTGCCTTAGCCCCCGCGGGGGTTATCTTTACAGGTAACGATATATTTAGCGATAGTGGTGGCACTACGTAACCTTAAGGCTCGCCATCGGGGGGCACGATACCGTAAGGTCCGTAGGGCCCGCCGGACCCTTACGAAGTGCCCGACGATAATGATATAGTGCCGACCTCGTTAGTAAAGAAGGGGAAAAAGGCTTTAACGCCCTTAACTCCTTTATTAGGGAAGAAGAAGAAGAAGCAGTAGAAGGCGAAGACGCCTCTATCTCTTCGGCCTTCGATACTATCCGCGGGTAGTAGGTAAAAGGGGGTAACGGCTATTACCGCGGGGTAGAGCCAGGTATATATAGAGGATAATAACGGCGAGGTGGCTAGGCGGGAGCCTACCCCTCTAGACGATGAATTAGTGGGGTTTAAGGACGCCCTAAAGGGGCCGTGATAGTATATACAGAGGAACGGTTATTTTTTTTCCAGGTTTTTTACTAGCCTTCGGGTTAGGTTTTTCCTTGTTTTTTTAACTAGCTTTAGGGTATTCCTATCGCAACTCTAACAGTCCTAACTATAATCTAGCGTAATATATCGTCTTAATTATAATATTCGTAAAGGGGAGGGATAAGGTGTAAGAAGTAGAAATTATACCCCGGTAAGTATATTCGTGGATCCCGATTAATATAGGTAGATATATAGATAAGGGCGTAAGGGGCTATTAGCGTATAATAAAGAAAAACAGAGATTAAGAGCAGAACACTTAAAAAGGAAGAAAATAGTAACCGAGGCGATAACGCCTATATAGTTCCCGTCTAGGTTAAGAAGGGGTCCCTGCCTAAGAATTTATCTCCACGGCCTATCAAAGGGTTTTTCTAGGTTAATATAGCCGATATATAGTGATATATAAACCTATTTAGTCCCTAGTAAGTCTCGTTATCCGTAAGGAGGGGGAAAAGATAAAAAAACGTCCTTATATCGTGTCTATAAGGTCTCTTATAGGGATAGGGTATAAACCCGTTTAGTTCCTAGTAGGAATATTATAGGAACCTATATAGTCCCCTATTAGCCTCGCTTTAAAGTAGGCGTCGACGAGTTTATCGGAGACGTTCCGTTTTAGCTCCTACGTATTCTCCTTATTGCTATACCCTGCTTATTTAATAAGGTATTAACGTCGCTAGTCCTATAAGTCGTATCGCGTACCTTTATTATAAGTATTAATAATAAGCATCGTTAAGCCGAAAGTGCCCCTAAGGTGCCGCATTATCGATAAAATCAATTCTAACATCGGATTCGGACTCTACGCCCTTAAAAGCACCGGAGACCGATATCGCAGTAAGACCGCAGAGGGCGCGGTGAGTTATATACTATAGGGCGGCCCGTAGGGCTAACCGAACACGATACCGGTATACCACTATAGAGCGCCCAGAATACGACGACTAGAACTAACCCGGGGCGCGTGGCCCCGGGAGAGCCCTAAAAATCCTAGGCACCGAGCGGGCGCACCGAAGGCGTACTATATAAACTACGTACCTAATTTTCCAGACTACTAGCTAATAGGGTAAGCGCCGATAAGGCGCTAAAGCTAGTATAGAAGATCCTATAAACGTAATACTATAAGACTATTATAGGGAAGCCGCTACGCTAATAACCCGGTAGCGATATACCCCCCCTTACGACTAAAGGGCTTACTGACACGATCTAATAAGCGATTAAGGGTATACTAACGGAACTACTCGGAGTAGTAGGACCTAAGACCTACGCCTAAGTAGTAGGGAGTACGCCCGCGTAACGCTAAAGTATTAAGATAGCACCGGTAAAGGTTATACCTGCCTAACACGCCTAAGAGCTAATAGTCTAATACGGAGACGCTAAAACCGACCTTAAAAGCCGAACCCTATAAAAGATTATTAAGGCGGTTAATTAAGTTACCCGCTACGTAGATATAATAGCCACGCGATAACTCCTAAACGGTAACGTGATTCTCACGTTTAAGTATAGGAACGAATAATAGATAGCGAACGCGAATAACTAGGTTAAAGACGTATTCGGTATAGGAGCCACGATACACGAGAAAACGTACTAAGTTATAGTAAAAGGAATACTAACGGCGTAGCTACTAACTTACGACCCCGACGCGGCGCTATTAGAACTTCGGCTATAGAATAACGTGGCGATTACCCGGATTAAGGCCAGGAAACCTAGGAATAACGTAGCGCGGACGGCGCTACTAACTATTAAGGTCGCCCGCCCCGAGGACGCGGAGTGACTAATAAAGGAGGGAGTCTTCTTTAATTACGGACACTATAATAGCGAACCCTATAACCCTAAGATCTCCCTATAATAGTGCTTTAAGTGCCTCGACTTCGGATATAAAGCAGGTTAGTGCTAGGCGATAGAAGTGCTATACGGGCACTACGGCGGCGTAGAGTCGGTATACCGAGGGGGCTTCGCGGCGTGCGAGGCTAAGATAAACCCGAAGAAAAGGCGCTACGCCGCTTATAAAGGGTCGTACATGGTATTCGACGATAAATATCTAAGTAAAGTAAAGGAAAGGGCGCGGACTAAAGAGGTATACACTAATAGGGTAAGGGGGTAAGGGGATTCGACCTTAGCTAACTCGAGAAATATAGGGCGGAGAGGGAGCGTAGCGTTTTTATAGTATCGCTAAACACGATAATAGTCCCCGAACCGCCTAAGAAAACGAGAAAATAGAAGGGACGCCCCTTAGAGTCGCGGAATATCCTCCTTAGATCGCGTACCGCCCTCTTTACGCCCACGCAGGATAATAATATTATAAGGTTCCTCGCCTCTAATA